TGAATGAAGACCCGATCATGTTGGTGAAGATGCTCGAAAACAAATTTTTGAATGGGATGATGAAACACACCACGATGACGTGCGTACTTATTGTTTTGAAAATATTGAAGAACTTCAATAACCAACAGGTAAACATGACGGGTCATGTTTACACCTTTGCGTATTTTCGGGTCTTCTGACCAAACTAAGATGTTATTTATCTCGTGATTGTTGGTAAACTGAAAAAATGTGCGGCATTAATCTATTATCGAGATCGGGTGACGATAATCCATGTTTCACCATCAGTGTTTAACCTGACACTTGTCCAATAATGCGTAATTACACAAACCTTGAAGGAAACCAAAGGAAAACGGAATGCCAATTTCCTTCCTTGTAAAGCGTTAAAAAGATGTCAAGGTTGTCTGACATTCGCAGGGAGAGTGGAACGAGAGGATGTGTCCCTTCAGCTCATAGTCGATGAACTGCGTCATATCAGCATCATTATTATTATCAGTATTTAGTCACCCATACATTTTGTTACACATGAATTGACCTTGAACTATAAGTGCCACTACACATCTTCTCATGGCATTTGACTTGATCTGGTGATGGTGACGCGAGAGTGATCTGTTCAAGTTCTGGGAGAGGTGAGAAAATGTCCAATTAGCGTCTCATTACTACTCCAAGGTGCATGCATGAAAAGACGGGGTACAAATTCCAACTCAACTGCTACTATTATTAGCATTTAAAAATACATCCACACACCGGATTTACATATCTGGATTGTTCTCCATCACAAAGACCTTCTCGGAAATTTGAGCCAAGTGCGAAGAGGAACCTTTTTTAGCAGGTTGGCCATTCTCGGAAGAATAAAGACAAACGCTGGCTTCTTCACCACTGCTGAATGAACGCAGAGTGAGAAGCAGTCGTTGGAAAAACAGGTATCGTGTGGAAAACCCTTTTTGGGCCGGCCGTGCAGTCACCAAGTTCTCAACTAAATGTGACCATATGCATGGGCAGCGTTTACTTAATTAAATGTGTTCATGAGAATATGATGATGATTACGAGAGCTGGAAGGCGTAAAGTGGCGAACAATGAGCATTTCCTTAGGTAATTAAGTTGTTGTTTAATTTAATCATTAAGTAGGAATGACACGTCGTACGTATTATCAAATCAGTTTTTTTTACTTGGACAAAATAGTAAGATTATCGTAAGTGCCGGGTTAATTAAGACACCGAGCTACGTAGCACACACAGCAATAAGTTACTGAGCTAGAATGGTACAATAAATTGAGGATCAGGAAGTGCATAAGCCTTGAATAATGACATAATCTAGTAGGATGACGGGCTATTTGCTCCATAAGGTGGTGAACATGGGTATGACGTAGCTCCTGAAGACCAGGACGATGGGGTTCTTGGACTTGCCGGTCATCCAGGAATATGTGATGAGTGCTGTCGAGCTCCACATGGCCACGAGCGAGAAGAGGATCATACCGGCGACCAGCATGAGCAAACCAATCACTCCGTCCACCGTGGAATACTCCACCAGGTCAGAAACAACGGTCGACTCCATTGCTAAAAAATATACAGATTCCGGTCCACGCGTACTCTTGAGTATGAGAGCTTACCAAAAATATTACTCTGACTCTTGACGAATAGTTCCCTGCAGAATAAACCAACGTGTGGAAATCTGAAAATTGGGAAGCGAGATTATAGTGGAATGTGAGGAGGAACCAACGTTTCTAAAAAAGTGCAACTGAAGGTGAGACGTTACCTGTTCTGGAGGGGAGCGAAGTACGACGAGGCGAGCGTGTTGGTCTATCTTGGTCGAGACACGAGGAAGAACAGAGCGAGGATCACTCTAATCATCCCTACATTCTCGCATTGCACTTGGCGAGAAGGGCAACACCAACCAAGTTCACGCTTCTCAAGAACCACATTATCCTAAACGATGGTGATGGTGTGATGAGGTAACAATGCATACACTTCTCAGAAACTCGTCGTCACGTCAGCGTCGCTCATGCAGGAACTGTTCAAATTTAGAGACGTAATGCAACACGCAAGGAATCCCCATTACCTCAAATTTCAAAGATTTTATACCTCAATTTTCGAGACTTTGAAAATGCTGCAATTCGAAAATGGTTGTTGTACCAAATTATGATCAAGTACAAATCCACTGTAAACTTGTAATCGAAGACTGCAAAAAGGGTGCATATAATTATGCTAACATAGTGCACACACGGCTACGTATACACATATTTTTCAGCAACGGCATTAATTGGATCAACTCAAGCTGTGCAATCTACTGCGATGAAGTGCTGCAATAAAATCGTCCTTATGCAAAAGTGCATCTGCCATAAAGTTGAGCCGGTTAAATAACAGTACAAAAAGTATTGTGCATAAGTTGCAAACATTAAAGAAAAGCATAAAAAGTGACGAAATGAAGACTGCAATGCAATATTGTTTCAAAAACTACAAATTATCGTATTAGTGGATGTACTTATGTGTGACACGAATACGTGGCGTTGCGTTGGTTGACAGGCGAAACCATCCACGTAAATCCCTTCTGAATCCTCATTGCATAATCATCGTGCTGTGTGTTCATTACCTGCATAACAATATTCCGGCCATCTCGTCTCCTCCTCGCACACTTGATACTACTAGTTGAGACTGCACGCATTTAGGAGTCTTGGCCGACAATCAAGAAACATTGTTGACATCAGGAGCAGAAAGAATGCCACCTAATAAATATATGAACCAAGCTGTTGGATCCTAAATCTCAATCTCACGTGCTCACAACAAAGAGAACAAGGATACGTCCTGCGCAGCACCAATTAAATTCTCTACGTAGATATATATTTTACGTACATTGTACGGACTCAGTTGCTGATACTAAAAGCCAGCTAAAAAGGATTCAAAATTTGTGGTCATTATCAGCGACGAATTTATATCGTACAGCCAGACGAATTAATCATGAAACCAAGCACTAAATTTTCAATCTCACTCAAATCGCCAAACCATAACCACGTTGCAACCAAGCGCAATAAGTGATTCTGACGACCCATGACAAAAAGTCGCACAGATTGACTCCTGCTGTGGCCCTCCATCAGATTTGTTACAAGTCTGACTCATTTGTCTTTAAAATTTCCTCGATTCCACTGAAATTGGTTAATGCAGCTCCGCTTGGCTAGCACTAATTGCAAGTATTTAGGCACTCTTGTCGAGACTTTTTGTTGCAAAAAATGAAAATGCGGCTTACCTAAAATTATATCATAATGGAATCCACCACCACCGCGCCCCGGAATTGATAAGCTTTGAGCAGATCCAGCAAGAATGCTACTTCTGGAGGTCACACAAAACTCGAAGGCGACACTACAGGCTGAACACTAACAACTAAATAACAGTGTATTTACTTCTTGACAAGGCATATTTTTCTCATCCAGTTGCATGCACGCATATTTATGGCGATTTGATAGAAAGCATGGAATGGAAAGCGTGATTAAATTCCTTAATGAGACACTAACAATGTCGTGATTCGGCTGGACATTTGTCACAATTCAGCAATAAGATTATGGCCAGACCAGTCGTCTTCCTCACACAAATGTCTAACTTTGTCATGGATGGCTTCCCATTTCAGTCGTCGTCGTGTCAGAAGACTCAAACAGAGTTACAAAGTTCGCGAGCTACACCTTTTAGTTAACCCAATTTTTAACCAATGCAAATAAGTGATAAATATTTAATAAATCTCGTGCCCCACTGGATAAGAAAACATGTAGATATTTACAGGTGTGCAGATTTGATGCAAATTATATGAAAATAATTACACAGAGAATGTATACGCAAAATTTGAAATTATTTAGTAATGTATCATTTACATACTAAACAAATATCCATCCGCTCGAATTTGTTACTGAAAAAATGGTGGTTGGTCAGGGACCATGTTTTTCTACGCAGAAGCCTTCTTCATCCTCCCGAAATCCGGACACGCATCGGCACTCCCTTCGTCCCATCTCCGGAACGCATTTCGCATTCTCAACGCAGTTCACCGTGGGCAAAAGTAAGTCTCCTGTCGTCAAGTTGCCACACTTAAACCAGACTTTGGTGAGACACGCCTGCTTTGCCGGGTGATAGTCCATCCCGGTCTCGTCCACGCACCCGCATTTTCCTCCCCGACACCAGACACCGCCTTCGAAATCGCACCAACGTTCCACACGACCGTCGCAGAGGTCGCCAGGTTTTCGCCTCTGGGAATTCACGGCCCCCAAAGTCCAGAGGAGCGTGGAGGCGAAGAGACACGCCTGGAGGATACCTCTGGGCTGGGTGCACTGCATTACACGGAGATGAGTTTGAAGGGTATGTTGCGGAGATATAAATCGTGTGCAGTGGCGAGGTTAGGGAAAACGGCAAGGTTTTTATAACTGCCCTTTGAATTTTCTAAATTTTAAGCTGCACTCTTGCAACAGCAGCATTGCACAATCTATCCATGCCCAAACCATGCAACTACCAACACCTGCTGCACTGATCCGATTTCACAGGTCCCATAATTTATTCACCCTATTGCAAACTTATTGTATTCAAATTCTGGTGTGCAAGCAATATGTATGTGCAGCATTACGTGTTATTGGACGTCATCTAACAATAAGGTGAGGAGAGTTGTGGTGCCGTTGTAAAATAGTCCATGGTCGTAGTGGAAATTTCACTACGACCACGATTTCACTGCGAAATGGCTGCGAAATGGCTGCGAAATGGCTGCGAAATGGCTGCGAAATGCTGATGGATCGATGCGAGGACACGTGGGTTTTGCTGCACCAGATACGTCATTGGGGAGGGGGTCAAATACCTTTGATATGTGAGATGAGTCAATTTTAGAGTCGCAATAGAGAAAATTGAACTTATGCATGCCCAAGATTACGCCATCCGTGAGCGAAAATCAACGATAATTAGGGAATAAAATAATAAGCGGACCAACGGGGAATGATCGTTTCGTTGATTTGACAATAATTCCCCGTTAACAAAATTATATTCATTAGTGAATGTTTTGACTTGTTGAATGTTTTTTTTAAGAATTTGGTATAATCTCCGTTAAAAGTAAATCAGAGTGGTGCAGCACTTGTGGAATTTTGTTGGATGATTAATTATCCTGAATTTGTTGACTTAGGTGAACTTGCTCCGCGTCCGTCTTCCTCTGAGTCCTCTCCTTCGTTGCCTGGACCTGCTCTTTTTGAGGCACCATTGCCGCTCCTCCTCTGCCATCCCCTCGACCGTCTTCAGCATCTCTTCAAACACTTCTTGGGTCACGTCCTTGACGCCGTCCTCGTCGTCGCCCCAGCAGGCCAGCAGGATCTGTGGGTCGCGCAGACTCCGAGCCACCTTCACCAAGAGGTGAAGTGTGCGCTCCTGCAATAAAGGGGCCAAGGTGAGAAACAGCTCCTTCTCCGCCTTCCGCACACTCCGGATGAAACGGTCCCGCTGGTGGGCAACGTGGTCGGACCAGACTGAAGCCCAGGGTTCGTTCTGTAAAGAGCGCTATAAATAACTGCTGATCATGCAGGAAATACGGTCGAGTAAATAAAAGTGGATTTTTGCGTACTTGCGCCTTGTCCATCCTTTCCTGCATCATCTCTTGAAACTTTTTCAGCGGAGTGAGCAGCGCCTGTCGCATGAGGTCGAGTTGGTGTGGGCTCAACTTTCCATGCATCGTAAGAACAGAGATCTACAGCCAATTTGTATGCCAATTAATTAAATCTATCCTAGCATAAAAATTAGTTAACCATCTGGTCAAACCTCTGCAATAACGTTCAGGGTCCGTTTCACCAACTTTTTAGCCTTTCGCTTCCCCAACTGAGGAAATGCATGCACGGATTATTTATCATGTCCGGACATTCCAATCCTGCTAAACCTCCCTCCATGCTCACTTACCGTAACGCGAGTCAACTTGTAAATCAAGTCAACCAAATGTGCCCCATGCTTTCCTGCCGTGTATCGAACCAGCGTTTTGATGACACGTCGGCCCAACAAGAGGCAGATGACGTTTTTCTCCATTCGGAGGGAGAGTGGGAGTGGCGACCCTTTCCGGTGACGGCATCTTCTCCGTGTCCCATCGTCAGGGGAGGCTTGCTGACTGGTGGGTCGTGCGGACAATTTTTCCCTTCCTCTCTCCATCCTGTCAGTCCTCCTCAATAATCCAATGGAATTATTATTCTACTTGGAAACTGGCAATTTCGTCAAATGTGTGCAAAGATGGGTCCATGACTACGCTAAATTCGGACGGCATACGTGTGACAAAGACATGTTGGACATTACGGTAGCCGAATAATAATTAAGAGACGAGACAAGACGTGCGGATTTGCTGAGTCAGATTGTTTGTTTTATTAAGCCAACAAATTGAAAATTAATAGAGACGAGGACCCGATTAGAATGAGAGACAAAGGACTCGGCAGTAGCAAATAAGCTGCGGTGTGGTCGGGATGAGTTCAGTGTGTGGTCATGGTGGGAGCATGATGATAATAGTTAAGAGACGTAGTAAATATGGAACTGGACTTCTCTCTCTCCTCCCCCTAGTAGCCCGTCATCTCGGAGAAAGTCGTGTCCAACTCGTCCGTGATGTTCTTGTACTTCTCGACCTCGTTGGTGAGCTCGTCCTCAATCCTGTCCACCTCCTTCTGCAACTTCTGTACCGTCCTCTCAGCAAACTCGGCGCGAGCTTCGGCCTACATACGCACAAGTTAGACGTGTGTCGTCCATGTGGTGCGAGGTCAAGGGGAGCAAGTCAAGTAAATCACACAAATGGACGGGAAAGGAAAATGGCGAACCACCAGATTCGACCACTGACCGTCACCGGTCATCAAGGGTCACTGGTGGGTCGTCCTTATGTGTGCGTGTGTTGGTTTTGTTACACAGAGCGAGCAGTTACACATACATTGCGTTAATGACGGTACAATTTCCCATCTTTCTAGACATAGCATTTGTGATGCAACTTTAGGGTCAGTTACGGGCAGTCAAGGCGTTACTTTGGATTAGTTCTCTACTCCTGGTCAGGATGACCACCGTGTTGGCAATGTTAAACGTGTTATGGCCCATAACTTATGGGATTTTGGTGTGAAACATACAGGCATCCAAAATACGGAACGGGTGATAAATACAATACGTTTTTGGTCACAACGGAAGAGGTAAGTGCTAGATAGTCTAGAATGGATGGGTGGGTAGTTTGGGTGGATATTATTGGATACCTCTTTGAGTTTGGCAGTGAGGACCTTGATATTTCGCTTATACTCCGTCTCCCGTTGGTTACTCTACACGAGGCGAGGCGGGGGACAGACATTACATTTTCATTATTATTACTCATTCCATGGCGCATTCACATTCCACATTCAACGGCCCAAACCCTCCCATCCCCTCCCCCCAAAAAAATCCCCCTCCTCATAGCAAAATTAGTGTATTTAAGGTATCATGCTTTCACACGCCAAACTCTTATCATTCCGAGTTTGTAATTCTTGTTAAACAACGCGCACGATGTACAAAATCTAGTCAAACTTATTTTTGCAAAAAAATAGCAAAAAAAACTCGTGTATTTTGTTGTAGGGGGTGAAGAAAAGTGAGAAGTAGACCGTATTTCATGTCTACGTGGTGTCGGTTAAGAGTACCTGCTTCAGTTTTGCAGTGAGGTTCTTAATGTTGGTTTTGTAGCTCTCCTCGCGCTCTCGGGCCTGATTTGACGCACATCACGGCACGCAAATCACCAGCACCCACCCACCAGGAAGAATAGCAAACCAAACACCACAAGAACAAAGAAGAAGAAAAACACGTTAGACAAATAGATTTCTATGTGATCTACTGCAAGATCAGTACACGAACCCCCCAAAAACAGAAAAAATAAAACATGTATAAAAATTTGAGAGTTCTGAAAAATAAAAAATAAAATTGGAGTTCTGTATAAAAACTGCTCTACAGTAGTATTATTTTTGCTAATGCTGAGCGATACGCACTGCGCTGACAGTAAATGTAGGTACACTGTCGCCAGCGGTGGCGGTCAGTTGTCTACTCAGATCATAAATACACCACGACGAGTAAATACGTGAAATTAATAAGGTTATTACCTCTACGTCAACAAGAATTAAGAAATAAACCCTCCCCAGAAACAGAGCCCCATTGCTCATACATATCCCCACCCTTCGAGAAGATCACTTTGGCTGAGGCTAATTGTTGCTGTCACTTTTTTTTACCCCGTCACGAAATAGCAATTACCTTCTCTTCCGACACTTCGAGAGACTTGAGATTGTTGCCGACAACCTTCAACTCCTCCTCCAGCTCCACGATCTTCCTGTTGTGAGGGGCACAAGAAGGAGGGACTCTTTAGGGTGAAACATGCCGTATTTATAAATGAAGAAACACTCACGCATCCCCAGACGACGCACGGTCTTCTGCCATCTCAACGTCGGTTTCAACAATAGCGAGTTTTCGGGCAACCTTTGGAATTAATTATTAATAACCACCATTATGAACCACGGGATTTATTGGTGAGTAAATCTGAGGGACATCACCTCGTCGTATTTGCGATCAGCCTCCTCAGCCAAGTTGGTGGCTTCCTTGAGTTGGATTTCCAAAGTTTTCATCCTCTCTTCATCCATGACAGATCGGTTTTCCAACACCTTGCGCATACTAAAGGGTTACACGAGAAAACCATTTTTGGGGCACAATTTCGTTGTAAATTTTCTCGAGAAGAATTTGACCATCATTCGTACCGTTCCGACTCGTCGTTGAGTTGTGCGGTCTGTTCCAATTTGATTTCGGTCTTCTTCAGGTTTTCCTCCGTGGTCTCGAAGGTCTCCTCAATCTGCTGGACCTTTCTGCCCAGGGCGGCCATCTCCGTCTCGGTGGCCTGAAGCGTCTTCTCCTTGGCCTCCAGGTTGGCGTTGGCCGTGACGAGTTGGGCTTGGCAGACGACGTACTCGGCCTCGAGCTGAGTGGTTCGCTTCTTCAGGTTGTCCACTTCCTCCTCGGCTCGGTCGGCACGAGAATTCGCATCCCTCGCCATTTGCTCCATCGTGTCAGCCTGTGTACAGCACAGTCAAACAGCACTTCTCATTTCGCCAGAGTGCATGGCGTCATCATGAATATCTAATTTGTAAGTACGCACCTTGTCCATGGCAGCATCCTTCTCCTGCTTGATGGCCTGCATCTTCTTCTTGATGGCGTCCATTGCGGCGGCTGGTTGTTCCCGGAGGGATTCTCACTCAATAGACAAAACTAAATTATGGAATTGTGGAAATTATGGTATTAGAAAATTCCCTAATGCGGGTTCTTAATTAGAAACAGCTCAAGAATGGAAAAGCAGATGAGATGTGGTATATTTTTTAGAGGGCTGCTGTTTCTGATCGTCGGGTGGGATGACGTCGGAATGCAGTCGTCCTGTGGTGGTGGTGGCGGTGGTTGTACGGTTGGTGGAAGGAAGGAATGATGGGGTTCGAGATATGCTCGGAACTGCCACTGCTCTTATTTGGTTAGGCCAAAAATAGGCTCACATCACAACCCAACGAGATGCAATGTTTAATCCTGTGTAAGCCAACTAATAAAAAAAAGAACGTCATCCCGTGTCCTATTTTCTTCTCCTTTTTTCCCCAAACACAATCTGGTGGATTCGATTGCAGAAAAGTCCACCAGCCAGAAATAATCACTCGCCAGCAAATCCAATGAAACCCCCCACCAACCACACACACACACTTTCGACAACTGGATTCCACTTCCTCCCCAACGAACTTTCAGAACTAGCACCACCACCACCACCGCACCCACCCACTCAACTCACCCACCCATCCCCCACACACACACCCCTTTTGTGGAATGTGCCAATGATGCGTCGATGAAAACCACACCCAGAGCACCAGCAGCCTGAGGCAGCATGTGCGAAGGAAATGAAGGTGTGGATGGGAGGTGGGTGTAACACTCACGCAGTCGTTTTCAGCAACTCACCTGTGAAACCGTGTGGGTGGAGGTGACAAGTGCGAACTCAACGCTCAGAATTGTGCAACTGGACGAAAATAGTTTAGTTTAGTTTGCAATGTGCGAATAACATGGGGAGATGGAGAGCGGATAAAGCCGGGATGATGAGGATTAGATGATGGAGGAGACGATCAGTGGCCGGGTGCCAGACAAAATCAAACGCCATGCCATACGGATAGTTAAAACATCCGCATGGCCCGTTGGCTCTCTCCCAATAGAACGGGAACGAGGGGGGAAGGAGGGCAGGAACCCCCAAAAGAAGGAGATTCAAACAGATGAATAAAATGTCCACCCAGCCACTTTTAAGAAAACTATGCAAACTCCAACTCATGCATTTTCACTACCCACGTTTTCTTTGTTCCAAACGGCCAAAACGAAATGAGTTGCATAATGGTCGGAGTCATGTCAGGCTCTTTGATTAGACCACCTTTGAACTATAAGTACCATTGCACTCGCGTGCCCTCTCCCATGCACTTTCAAGTGTCGAGTGTTGCCTACCTACCTACACCGCATGTGGGGCTTGCCATCTGGTGGGGTCGCCTCGTGGACGCAGCCAGTACGACGCCAGTTCTGTAAACAAGCCTCAATCTGATGTTGGGCAGTATCGTCATCACTTCCCTTCACGGAATATTGCTCGCATGAATTTATGTTTTAGGCTACTGTTTTATTTGTATAAATGCATGCGCACACATTCATTCACTACTAGAAAGCAGCCTTGGAATAGACACAACGGAGCCGGAAACCGCAAATAATAACAATAAGCTAAAACCAATGGGGCATAGATTACCACATCGTCGCGTATACACGACCAATGACATTTACTAGCGCATACGTATGTTTCCTCGATTTCTGCCTCGCACATCAACATCTTTTCCTGAAACCGACTTTGCTCAGATCGTTTCTGCTTTTTGTGAAAATATTTAGCTCATAAATACGCTAGCCTAACACATCCATTTAATTGACTCCATACTAACACTTTCCTGTGCTATCATCGGCTAGCTCAGATGTCTGAAGGTGGGCCAAGCATGGACAAGTAAGTATCGACGTGACCTGCAGGAGAGGCATCGGAGCAAGGGTTAAACCAATAAATGCAGATTTTGTACCGTGTCTGTGCGCAGGGAGTCAGAAATGACGCGGAAGTTCTTCAAGCGCCTCTCCTCCTTCAAGGTGGACTACGAGAAGGAGAATCGGCGGACGTTGAAGCGGTATCAGTCCTCCTACCGCGACTCGGGCGCCACCTTCCTTCGAGACAAGGACACCATCATGTCACTTCTCAGGGACACCCTCCAAGGGGACGATGTACGTGGTCAAACTAATCCTAGCTATCTTCTGAGCCTACATATTTCCGGGGCAGGTCCAATCACTGTGTGTTTGACCAGCTAAAAAATTAATTCGAAATCCGTGGCAGTTGGAGCAGATGTACGTGGAGCTCTTTTGTGTCCTCTTCCCAACGGTGAAAGAGCGAGAACGGCCCGACTCCAAACCCCTGCTCGCCTTTCTCCAGAAAATCTTCGCCCTCACCTCCCAGGCTCATGATGCTCTGATGCACAGGGCCAAGTCACATCACGTAATCACACTAACGAATCATGCATTAAGGTGGCACGCACATAAAATGATCCACTGGTCAACCATGAGCAGATGGAGCACCGCGTCCTATTTCTGGAAGTCGTGGAGGCCAGGAACCTTCCCGGAATGGACCTCAATGGTGATATAGCATGGTCACCTTCGTCGATGGGTTCAAGTATAAATGGGCCAATATGTTATGTTTGATAGGTCTGAGTGATCCCTTCTGCACTCTCTTCGTCACTTCCAAAGAGTCCTCCAAACGGACGAAAGTGGTCGAGAAATCTCTGAACCCCCAGTGGAACGAAACCTTCAAATTGTGAGACAGCATTGCTCCCACTGTTCTTCACTCGTCCTTATAAATAAAAGTTACTCTAAAATGAAAAGTCGAATTTTTCAGCAAATTAAAGGAGCCCAACACGGAATTTTTCCGCATAGAAGTTTGGTATACAAAGAAACGGATATTACGACTGGCAGATAATATGCAAGCTATGAGATAGCTGCCATTCCTGAATATTTACAAGTCTTGTTCTATGCCCACGCAGGGACCACGACCCGGAGGAAAGACTGCGGGACAAGTTGCGAAAGTACAAGGATATCACGTCCGCACGTGGGATTGGGAGTTTCGTTCGAGACTTGGGGCATGGGCGCCACTCGGCGCAGGAATTTATTGGAAGAGTCAGCATTCCGCTCAAAGTGTGACAACCTTACGATACAATTAACACTCATGCAAGCGGTACTTACAAGGCTTCGTCGTATTCAGTCCTTGTTGTTGCGCCTTTTTCAGGACGTGACAACAGAAACGGTGGAGCGTTGGTGGCCACTGGGAAGTGATGAACAGAGTGGAGAGGTTCACCTGTTATGTTATGCCATTCATTTATTGTAGTCTTGTACAAGTATCATTATGCGTGGTTTCCTGACTATTGGCAGATTTACTTGAGACTCGGGCTGGGTGTTGACAAGGATCGGACAGACGCGGTCAACTGGTACCGAGGAGTCCTCCAACTTCTGATGATTTACGAACTGGGGAAAAGCCCCCTCATGGTCCCTTTCCAATGGGAACACGTTTCCGAAGCCTGGTGCGTACGGTCGCCATTTCGTTTCTTGCCATTCCTCTTATACCTGACATGTCGATGATGAAATGATGATGAGCCAAAGGCTAATTTGCACCTGTTGCATGTGGACGCAGGGGAGAGTATCTTTTACGCCAAATGCAGACGGGGTGGGGTCTGACGGCCAAGGATATCCTTCTCGCCAAGTGGGTAGCCTACACTCGCCTCCATCCCATCTTCCCTCTCAGCGGCAGAATCCTCCCTCCGCTCCTCTTCCAAGTCTTCGAGGCCGCCATCAACTCGGACTTCAACGCCAACGACGTATGTACTCACCCCACCCACCATTTACCATTTGCTAATTAACTCTACATTCCTCACTCCACATATTTGCGTGCTCCCAAGGTTTCCCTCATCCTCCAGGCGTCCAACGATCTACTCAAGTTTGCTGTCGCCTTCGTTGAGAAAATCCACGAGTTTTTCCCCTGCATCGTGACAACCTCACAACTTTACTACGTGCTAAAGTGCGAACTACACAAGTTTATATTTGCATGCGTGAATCATGGTAATGGTTTACGATTCAACAGGACTTTGGAAATTTTGGGCAAGTCTGTGGATCGACTTTGCATCACTTGCGACAACAGGACAGCAGGTCGGACAGAAATTACATCCCTCTTGATCTCCACCGAGATTCGCACCTCAATCCAGACATCTGCCAGAACAACGTGACACACAACGAATTACATAATTTCCTCCCACATAATTATGCAAGGCGTATGTATATACTTTGTTTCTGTGTCCCCATATGTAGTGTGTCCTCGATAGTGAAAGCAGCACTTCCTGCACAGGATTCACCATTAGCAGAGGAAAATGAAGCTGATGAGGTACCCATCGAACGGGAAGCCAAACAACTCCTTCGCGTGGGACAACTCCTCATTGATGACCTCGAAAAAGGGTTGGGAGCTGTCGACAAAGACTTCAAAATGTGCGTAACACGTGGCGACCACATATAGAATTGGCTGTCACATCCCATCGTACGATTATTACGACTCGTTGTTATTTTATTTGTACCCAGGATCGTGAAGTTGGACTTTCATCGGCTTACGTACGAAATTTTTGACCTAAAGGTGTGATATTTATTCAGTTTCCTTTTCATAATTTTTGAAGACGTTGCATAAATGCCCTTGAGAAGCCTTGCTAATATTCATGACTGACCTGCATTCTTCAGTTGGAGGAAATGATGAAACCTTTCATATCCAAGTTTTGCAACCATTTGATGGTCTTGTGCACAAAGCCGCCTGGATCTCCCAAACCAGAAGGCAGTGATCCTGCTGCGGCCTGTCAGCAGTCAGATGCCGCCTCCACCTTCCTCCACCTCTACCTCTGCCTCCGCAAGTTCTCAGAGTGAGCAGTTGCATAATATAACTTCATAAGTCGTCCTAGAGCTATGTAACGCCGGTTACGCTAAATTCTAATTACTGCAATTCAGCCTGTCGCCAACGGACCACGGGCTTCCTCTTCTGATCAAGCCCTACTTCCACCTCTGGTTCTATCCGGGCGTGGGCCACCTGTTTGACCTCATGAGCTTGGTGTGGATGGGTTGGATGCGGAGAGCCGTCAAGGCTGACTTTGACTGGGTTGGTCCCAGCCACGAAAACCTCATGTCGTATCCCAACGAGGCGGATGCTAAGGTCACGTCCTCCGCCATGGACTCTGTGCAGATCTTCACCCAGGTTCTGACAACCAGTATTTCCCAACGCCATTCATTTAAAGCAGGACGTTGTGGTGAATGAATGTCGTAGTGAACGTCGTTGTTTTGCACATTAATAGATCCAAACTTTCTGGACGACACTGAACTGGCCGGACCAACGCCAGGCTGCCATCTTTGCAAAGAAGCTGCTCAGAGTAAGATCATGTTCCACGTGCATATGTGTCCTACGGCCTTAACTTGAGGCTTTATGGTGCAATGGTTTTGAGTATTCAAGGTCTTACTCATCAGAAGAATACCCAAGAATATGGAGAAGTTGGATTTATTATGTATGCAATATATGTCCATGAATTTGCAGGAGCTGTGTGGATTTTCCATCCTCTTCGCCAACTTGACGATGGACAGTCTGGAGAAAGAGAACGATAAGACTTCTGAGACGACATCCCCCTACAACATCACACCACGGGTTACTACCAGATCCAAAAAAAGTCATTACCAGTGGACTGATTAAGATTAATTGCAGTTGTGCCGATCCATCAACAACATCATCTTCGTTGGTGACTACACAAAAGAAATTGCCGTCCACCTGAACCTGCAGCAATTGCTCGTCGACATTCAAAGTGATTTTGCGGGTGATGGGTGTTTGATGGAGAGACAGGTCGAGATCCAGGAGTCTGGACTCAACGGGATCGTGGACAGCATCATCATTTCTACAGTCTCAAAGGTCCCAACCAACGACGTCCAATTGTTCCACTCGGCATAAAGACATTAATTGTAACACTAGATGGATGGCTGGGCGTCTAGCCAAATCAGCGGAATGCTTCGAGCCCACGATGAGAAACAGTCGATCAGTTTCGACGCCAAAGTGATGGAGCTGCTCAACTTTCTCACGGTCAACTTGCGAAGGCTGGATGAGCACCTCCTCTCCTCCCACTTTGTCCCATTCTTGGCCATCATCTGGGAAAGCTTTGTGCAAATTCTCAAAAGAGCCATTGCCGCAGGAATACGGGTATTCCTAAAAGACGGACATAATTTGACACGTATCCTACATAAGTAATATTGCAAATTAAAAGCATATGGCAATTTTGAATAGGATGGGAAATCCTGGGAACATTTTGTGGGTCAAAAGACAATCTTGGACATTGTGAAGGGTTATCTTGAAACGGCCATCCTTCGTCACTGTGGGCGCGCCTCGGGTTTGGGGGGCATTGCCAGCAGCAGCGCCCTCAACCTCTCTCCTAACTTCCACCATGTGCTGAAACAGCTCGACGTTTACGCTGTCCCAGTGGCCGGAATAAAGCTGCGCTACCTGGCACGACGCCATACAGATGAGGGGGCAGAGAAGAGGGGGCTCATCTGCATCCACGCCTCCTACCAACGGGACCATGATATTCTGCTCTTAACGATTCTTAACGCCAGCAAATTGCCCTCCGCAGATTCAAACGGTGAGACTTGGAAATTTCTCACAACTAAAATATATACGTAAATAAGTATACGTGTACGTACATAGGCAAAAGTGATCCCTTCGTGCAAGTTGGATTTGTTCCTGAGGAAAATTTCCCTGGTTTGTCTGTCCTATCCACAAAAGTAGTCAAGGAAGACCTCTATCCCATCTTTGAGGAGAAATTTAACATGTAATTTAGTCCAAATTAAACCGATTAAAATATTTATTTTTTGTCGGTTTGATAATGAAACTTTCATTACTGTACAGAAAGGTGTCTCAGGAGATGATGAGGTCAGGAGGGTACTTGAGACTCGTCATCTACGATCATGACTTTCTCAGGAAAAATGAGTTTTTGGGTGAAGCATTAGCTTTATAAATACTATTTTGTACTAATTCGCACAAAATAGCATTATAATTCTTGTAGGTGAAGCATTCTTGCCTCTCAGCACCGTTCATCAAACCACCACCAACGCCACGACCGTTGCAGTTTCGGCCAGCCAGGAGAGGACTATATTGCAACTAACCGCACCTTCCAACAAGGACATTGAGTACTTGAAATCACTCGTGCAAAATCGGGTGGACAAAGAGTTGAAGCGATTTCTAGAGTCTGAACGCGAGAAAATGGTTCCTCCTACTCTAAATTAAAAATATATGGATTAAGTATAGTATAGTAAATGTCTAATTCCATATGGACTAATAGAAAAGTTGTATCATACCATCTGGCTAAAAATAAATACAAATTGTTGGTTGAAAATTGAACGTGAACAGTTTTTTTAATAAACATTAAACAACTCTGCTGAGGACAAATCTTAATGACTAGATCCCAAAACTATTGATAACCTTTGCTTGCACACACGGATCAGTATTTATAGGTTAATTAATTGGGTCACACTGGTCGTGGTGGTGGAGAGTTGGGTGGCTTTTTATTACTTGTACTTTTCTCGAAAGCTTTCCTATCCACTGCAGCAGCAATGTCTTCAGGTCTGATGTGCAAGTCCAAGGGTTTGTCATACCCCATAATCAACCCATAGTGATTCGGGTGAATAAATGACTCCATTGCGAAGAACAGTGGGATTAATTTTGTTGGATTCTCCTTCGTTTTCACCAGAACGGATGTAAAAGGTCCAGGAACGTCGGGAACGACGACGTCTTCTTTGTGAAATATTAGCTACAATTAAAAAGTTAAAAATGTTAGTTGTCCCGTCTCTCCTACTTACTACAGACTTGACTTGTAACCATCTAGGGCTTAGATTCTAGGGTAGTATATCAGGATAAGCTCACCTCCTTTTTCCTAAGAAAGAATGAATACGTTATCGCCGTGTACAACCGAGTCCTTGGGTCATAGGAAATTTCTGTGACATACTTCTTGGCCAACTGGTGAATGAGAATGGGTGTGCAATAGGTGAAGAAACCGACCATGCTGAGCATCGCAATTGTTGCTGCCATTCCATGTTCACCAGAACTATTAAAAATGATTGGCTGCAGTGGTAAGCCACCCATGGATGTGGCCAAAGAGAATATCTTGATGTGCTTCAGCTGACGTTTAAGTGCTCCGTCGTAAACGACATAAGGCGTGTCTCCTTCCGGTTCCATGTCTGAATTTTCAGGTGACGCAAATCTTGTTGACGCTGGCACCTTTAGTTTTGCTACGGTAGAAAGTTTTCGCAATCTTGTAGGACATCTCGACCATTGCGAAATTTGAGCACTACTGAGCGATAAATGATTCATGCTGAAAAGTCGTGAAGGATAGCATTTCCAGGTTGACCAGACGTGTTGAGGATGAGGATGCGTCCTTGAACTCACGCCATGGCAGTGAACTAGTGAATAGAGTCGTTTTGCCATAATTCCTTCAATAACTCCTGTGTAGTAAAATTAACTAGTTATGATTCATAACTTATGATCAGACAAACAAGACAGGTCTAAACAAACAGGTCTAAACAAACCCAAAACAAGCTAACCTTAATTAGTACTAGCCTTGAATCCAATATCCTCAGTCAGTCAATAATTTGACAAGGGTGAATTATGGTTAATCCGTCTCCATTTCCTGATGGAACTTTTTCCTAGCCGGGCGAGCAGATATTATTGTCATCATTTCAGGACACACACATGATGCAAGCATAGGTGAGGAGCAGGCTTGTTGAAAGTAGCGGGTGCCTGGAACAGTGAACATCTCATTGGCAGGTCATTCACGTATATAGTCGCATTGGGAGAAGAGTTGGGGGAACGTCAACACCACAGTTTCCCAGTACGCCGAACAAGAAGCAACACATCACACACTCGTCTCTCTCTACTACCATCTTTCCAACTGCTAAACTCCCTGTCACCATTTCCCATCAGCACTAATATTCACAGTAAAACTGGCTGAACCTCACTTTTCTTGAATTACTGCAGCGGAAGTAATTCACATCAATTAGCGACAACTCCCACCCAGCACATAAACTTCACTTGATGAACAGGCAGCCAGCCAAAAAGATACAAAAAAAGTTCGACCGTTCACTGATCTGCTCATTCCTCATCATCTGCTGCGTCAACATTACAGGAATTAAAGTGGTGTGTGGATGAATTTAAATCATTGGATTTGACCACTTCTGTTTTGTGAGTGTGACCACATTCCTCATTGTGTCGCCTGACATATAAAGTACTGTATCGTGCTTATTCGAATTACTACAGTTGTTTATCTCGTATTCCGTCCGTCCATCCGTCGTCGTCGGCTTACATTGGGTAAGTTATAAAAGAGGATATATATACTTTTTGTATCACACTATTTTTGTTTGTACTTTTTCAGGGTAATCTATTCAATAATTAAACATAAGTATATAAGCTAGCCGTGCATAGAAAGTCAGCGTTTCTTCAAAATTTGAAGGCATTGTTTGCATCTTTTGATTGTTATCTTATTGACCCCGCTGCCCGCACCCTGGCCACCAAAGGGAAGGCCCCTGAGTGATCGTAGTTTATAAATAATTACTGATTCATTGGTTGGTTGCCGTTGTCGTTCATTCGTTGTTTGTTTGTGGTCGTCGGACCCTCGCCGCTTCAGTCTGTCTGTGGAAGAGAGGGAGAAAGGAAGGATATGTCAATGTTTAGTTCATCAGCGGTGAAAGTATCCATCCACGACCACTCTACTACTCTCTCCACGGTTCGGCTCCACGCATTCTCCTCTCTCTCTATTTAGCTCGTAATAATATTCAGTCTCTCCTCCTCCTTATTTGTTGCATCCATGTATATACGGAGGACGTTACATTGCATTGGCGTCAGAGAAATTCGCAGAAGCTCACTTTGCCGTAAACTAACAATGATGATGACGATGATGAATTCCAAAGCTCGCAGTTTGATCCTTTCCTTCCTCTCTCGTTTCTCATGGGTTGTCGACATTTCCAACTTTTGCACATTTGCGATTTCTTGTGCCTTCTCTCTCTCCCTCTCCATACCTTTCTTGGGTAGTTTAGTCGAAAGAGCAAAATATGGAGCAAATTGACTTATTTTTAGCGTCCTGCATTCAAAGTTGGTTGGATGGAAGGCCGTCTCACTTGTGTTCAATAAAAGATGGGGAAGTTGACTTTCTTTATCTAGGATCTTGTTGCGAGAGACGACCTTCTTCGATTTCTTTGCTCCTTTCTCCGTGGAGAGCCGTAAAGCTGTGGAAATCCGATTAGGGGACAAAGTGCTCTTCCTGAAATCCTTATTATTATCCTTTATCCATCCTCCTCGTCCATTTTTCATCCACCTTCCTTCCTCCCATATGCTTTCTTCATGTCCATCATTTACTCATGGGTTGAGAGAATTTGCCATTTGGTGAAAGTGTGGGAAAAGGAAGTATACAACAGCAGCAGTTGCGTAGATATATATGAGTAAAATATGGAGAGGAAGCATCATAAGTTTGCTCCCTGCACCAGTCTCTGTTTTATGTTGGTACTTGGAAATGATGGGGAGAGAGCTTTTCGCCGAAGTCCTTTGTGCATCAACAATCTGTAGAATGGGCACACAAAGACCATTTACTTCTGCAGCAGGCAGGCTTCCTTCAGGGCTCTCGAATTCTTCGAAATTTTACTCTCCCTGACTGAGCCTTTACCAACCAGTCCTCTGCCTGAAAACTCTGTTCATCACGACTCCTTGTAATTTTCTGTCTTCTTGTCCCTACACATTCTGCATTTTTCAAGACCCTGCTCATATGTATAAAGAATAGTGTAATGTTAGCATGTTGTTTCCATTCCTTCTATGTTGTTGTTGTATCTGAAACCTAATATATTTCAATGTCGTAAATACACATGTAGTTGTCTCGCAAAGACAAGCCGATAGAGCTTGATTGTATCTGTTATATAATGACATTGGCAAGAAGCTACAGACCAGACAGCATATATCGACTCACTTACGCACGCATCTTGTAGAACTAATGCGATTGAACTTTCCTAGAATAGGATTGACGGAAAAGGAAGTCGTGGAATAAGCAATAATGTAGCATCCCCACTCCATCGTAATTCTCTTATTATTATTCTCAATTACACATAACTACGTGTCTCCAAATAGAAAGTGTATGGCTTATTAGCTGTCCTCTTCATATATGTATGCACATATTTGTAGCATACATACTGCTGACAAAAAGTGCGTGCCTAGCATGACGAAATCAAAGATTATTAAGAACAAGTAATAGGAATGCAAGGAATATTTTTTTTTCCTCTTGTGAGTAAAACTAGAATTGAAATTAGGGAAATAGATTCTCGGAATCGATTATGCAAACCCTCAACCCTACGTGGCATGCATTTGCATACTACTAAAATTGTGCTTGCGGAATATCCCTTCTTCGTGTTGCTTTCTCTGCTAAATGGCAGTAAAATATTATTAGTCGCCAAAGTTTGTGTAATAACCGAGGAACGTTTTACTTTCAAATCTGGCTGGAACACTTGATAGCTTTCTGTTACTCCGGTCTAACAAATAATCTAACCTTATAAGATGTCTGTTTGTTTGTTTGCCTTTATTGCACGTGCCATTCAACCTATCGGTACAAAATTAGTCTGGTTAACCTAGGGTGAAGTGCTATCTGTCGCATGTGCATATGTATACATATTTCTTGAGCTTTAGGTCTACTTATGGGTTTGTATGACCTCGTAGCACGGAACCTGTCATGATGCTGAATGTATTCTATTCTAGTGAGTGACCATGCCTGGCAAAACAGAGTTTTGAGAGCAATGAGCGATAGATGTTGGTAGAATAATAAAAATGGGAGATATTCTGTGAAATGTGGCCGTGATTAGTGATTCACTCACAATATTCGAGGGAGGAGGACGGGGGTCAAAGGATTGAAGTTTCTATACTTTCCAGGAAACCCCCCTCCTCTGCAAAATCGAGGGTCGGTTGAGAGAGCTGAGAGCTCCATCAAACCTACATTAGTTGCCAGTTGGGTTGTCACATTACCGTGTTCCTGGAACTTGTAAATTGAATTGACATCCATCCATCCATTCGTCCTCAGTCAGTGTGCCCACCGTGTAGCATAAAATCACGTACATACAATAAATGCTCTCTACTCTTGGTGTAACTGGATTCCAAAATGGCTGAAACCCGACCAACGCCAAATGCGGATTTCACTTTATTGTGGCGTTGGATAATGTATAGGGCTTCAAGTGTGTATGTAAACCACTTTTCTATTATTGACATTTAAACGTCAATAATCATGCTGGGCATTGTTTTCAAAATGTATCTAAATTTAGGAACGTTCTTATTTCGTGATACGTCGAACTAAGGGAACGCACAATTGCCCAAGGTAGGTTAACAAAGCAGGGTAACAAAACGACAAACAAGGGAGGTGAAGACATTACGTTCCTCGCACCTCTCCTGCTTTACCTCTGACTAGTTTATCTACCCAATTGGAATCTATCTACATTTCAATTAGCAGCACGTGAACGCTGCATTAAACACGTCTTGTTACCTGGTTCCTTGCTACACGTTTTTTTGTGGCCAATTCCTGGAAACGGAGAAGGAGTAAGCAAACCCGTGATGATGAGACGGAGAGTCATGACATTTTTTGCCCCCTACAATATATAGTATGCACGTCTGTGTGGCGCATCACACTGTCAAAGAAGAACTATTTATTAGTATTCGTCTTTAAAAGTGTAAGATCAACAAGTTGATGAAGGAATAGAGTCCAATGTGCGTGGTATTGTATTTATAGAAGGCGTAATCCAAAGCATGTAGCCCTAAAAGTGTACTGATTCTGGGTAAGTGTTCAAACCCAGGATAACGTATCACCTCCAAGAAGTTTGTTTTAAATAATTGGCTGAACATGTATTAAGAAAGTTGAAATTGGGGGTCGATTGAAATCATGTCACGACAATAGATATGACTACGACATGTGGCAAGCACGCACTGTATTTATTAAGCATAATCTACGCTGCACAATCAGCATGGTTTTCTAGCTAATTTTATTTATCATTATTAACGGATGGATTATGGAAGAGTTGACAATGTTTGAGCTCTTCTCGGAACATATTTAGTGCGGTGTGTAGGTAGAGCAAGTAAACATGGTGTGCTTCATGAATAGTAAGCACTTGCTTTGCTCATGTACGATTCCTGGAATTGGTGAAATAGTGCAGAAATGTGTGCATATGATTAGGATAATATTATGTTAAATAGTGCAAGAACTCATCCTTACTTGAAAAATTAGAAACACGTTGGCGAAACCCGCATGTCGAAATTCGAATCCGTTCTAAAATTATCGTGGATACGGACAGACGGACAGACAAGACATTTTCATAAAGAGATGCCAGCTTAAAAAGCCCCTGCTTGGAATAGTCTTTTTACATGTCATCAAATGGTGACATGGTTACCTTACTTTAATAGTTTTGATCAAAATGACGACGATTTTCATGATTTTTTGTGCATTTACGCATGTTGCACCCGAACCAGGCATGCCTCTTTCACCAAACTTTGCTAAAACATGCTTACTTTTATAATAAGTAAGTGTGCAAAGTTTGAAGAAAATCGTTGGAGGTCTTCAACGATTTTATCCTAGCATGATTTTAGTACATGCATTTCTCCCATTTAAATGCATGTAAAAAACCCCCACCACTAAAATAATTAATACGGGAGTTCAAGGCATGCCTCTTTCATGAAATTCACGGGGATGACACTTCGATACTTGTATCACACCATATAAAAAAATTAGCAAAATCGTTGGAGGTCTTCATTGTTTTTATGACCCACCCAAAAGAGGGGCTAGGCGGATTTACCTCTTTGTTCATGCCAACGAATGAACTTCAAAATCCTATAGAATTGTTCTTCATAATGATGAGAATACTGTATCAGGCTAGTCTGCATCTGCAATTATTTTATACTAATGCCAACTTGTGGGTCAGCCATTTAAGAAATCAATTACTGAAATAATGTATATCGTGAAGTCCATCCAACAATTTAGTCATGCATAATTGACAGGGTTATTACTCTTTGTCTCCGCCTTTAATAGTCTTGCTGATCATTTGTCATGATCATAATGCACAATTAATTTAATTTAACACTCATCCTCCGAATTAAGTATTTGGTAAAATGTGACGATAATATCAGTGATGGATGGACGACATTCGTGTTTTGTCAAACCTATGAAAATTCAATTGAAGGTTATGCACGCATGTTGTTTGTGATTTCTTATCATCGCTCAGATTGACGCCGTTTGTTTACACAGCCGATACATGGACCTCATCATGATTTGAGTTCAATTGGGTCCCTACATGTGTGATTAGACGCATTCGGTATATTATGACTAACTCATGTCAAGTTCGTACCTATGACTTGCTAAGTTGCTAGTCACCGAATATCGTAGGTTTTTTACGAAAGGGAACAACCGCGATCTTGGACGGGAATAAATCGGAAGAAGAGTAGACTTTGGCAGAATTGTATCTATGGCCGAGCGAGAATATTTGATTTTTACTTTTTATGCATCTCTCGCTTTGAAATGTACAACCCATCCGTCTTGTTGATGGATGGATGGTGGGCTGAATGGACGACTCTCTCTTCGTAGAAACTATACACCGAGAAAATTCTGCGAATTGTCTTCTTTTGAAGATTTGCTGATTGAAGGAGGTAAGGAAGGAAGGAAGGAAGGAAGGCAGCTAGTATGTACCTCTACTAGAAGAGAAAAAAAAATCTTCCCTAGAACTTGTTTCGACCAATTTCATTCATTCATGCATGTACGAACAGAGCTGACAGTTATTGAACATTGAAAATCAGATCAGATGCAAAAATAACTTACATATTTTTGTCTGATCAAGTCATACTGCTACATTTTCTAGCCTATTTCAGTATTTTGTCATTGGCACTGCAGATCTCACTTCAGACGAACCATTGCAATTATAAATAAGTATTGTTGCTCATCCGCAGAGAGAGAGTGACGTAATTTATAATCTCGGACATGGTCACATGGTGCTGGGTTGGAATTTTTCTAGCCATGTATTCATGTAAGGAAAGAGTCGTCAAACTGAAGGCGTGTCTCGTTTCTGCGGATGCACTCAATTCAATGTGTCGTGGTGGTGGTACACTGAAGGGCGGAATAAAGAGATAAAGACTGGGATTTATATCAGTAATATCAACATGTGACGATGAGGCAACTCGATTCTGGAGACGATTAGACGATTTTATACAAACCTTTAAACTATGCAATGGAAGGGATACCAGTCAAGATCATATAGTTTACGTAATGAAATTATTCTCAAAATTGACTAATTCATAATTCAATGTAAATCTGCTGACCTGATCTGCTTATTACGCCGATCAGTGAGTACATTGTTGCCTGCTAATTGCTTTGTAGGTATGTATACATGATTAGCATTTAAACGAAATAGCTCATATGCTTAGGTATGCAATTCCCTTTGACTATAGCTGGGTTGGGATGAGGGAAGCTAGCTTTCCAGTGAATTGTGTAACAACACAACGTGCACATTTCCTGTCTGTGGTTCTTGGTTTGTGGATGGTGTGAAATGAAAAATGAAACAACAAGAAGTCCTTTACGTGGTATTATTAGTAGTACTCGTTATATCGGAATTGTGCTTTACTTGCTATTTATGCGGGGACAGCTCATGTCAATAAAGAGGCTTCTCCACTCGTGTGGATTTTCTATTTATGGAAATTTTGCAATAAAGACATTAACTGATTTAAACTTGTTCATTACACATACTTGTGTCGCTATGTTTCTCTATAGTGTGCCCTGTTAGCTAGTCAGATTGAGTAATAATTTGATGGGGACATCTATTTTACTAATTTTACCCATCATAAATATCTCACATTTCCGAGTACATTAATAAGAGTTCCGTGGATGTAAATTTGTGTTTGATTTGAAATTTGCAGTGATCACCAATAACCAAGTAAATCATCATCGTTACCGTCGAGTGGGTTTTGCGGACCATTACGGCTCCAATTTCTTGGTAAGTCAGCAGAGTACATTCTCCAAACTATTTTCATCGCAGTTACTGATATCTTGACTCCATTTTCATAGTTTTGCTGAATTACTACATACTCTAGACGACGGGATACAAAGTCAGCTGAAACCTGCTGCATTTGTTGGGTTGGTTGGTTGGATGGTGGTTGGTTGGTGAGAGAGCGTCTGCTTTTTTCCAAGTACTTCCAAGAACTCACCACTACTGGAACAAGTTTTAGCCCTGTGTCATCGTGATTCGTGACTCTTAATGATTAGAGCTTACGAGCTGGACGACTAAGCTGGTCAACAACGACAGCTCAAATATAATAACTTCAGTGCTAGGAGACACACCCCCCAGGAACGAGTGCAGCGAGTTAAAAATATATACACCACTCCTGACCAGTCCACCAACCGTCCTTTTCTATTTCTAGACCATCAAATATTAATTCGTCCTCCTCTTCTAGCTACAAAATCCTACGACGACAACGTCAGAATGGTCTAGTTATTATTGTTGAAAGTTGTTCGTAGACTGAGAATATTGAGATTGGTGTGAGTATGTTCATGAGTCGGCTCCTGTCAATAATCAAGTGAAGAGTTACACAAGTTCATGTCCAGAATGGAAGAGTATCAAGAACAAATCAGGCAGGAACTGTCAGAGATTGAGTCAAAGGAGGGATGGAATTCTCGCTATCAGGTGACCTCCCATTATTACTCGCTTACCTTATTTACTTTGTATTTTCTTTCGCTGCTTTTAACCTACAACTGTACTCAATATTGTGACCAGTCCCGTGCTGATAATTTATTTCTAATTTTGCAGAAAATCCGGATGGAGAGCATATACAACGAGTATTCATGCACCGAAGCCAAAGCACCCTGTAACAAATTACTCAACCGGTACCGGGATGTGAGCCCGTTTGACCACAGTCGCGTCATTCTTAATAAAGGACCCTGCTCATACATAAATGCCAGCGTTGTGAAGGTACGAATAATCCTGGTTCATAATTCAGGTTTGCATGTCGTGGTAAACTAAGCTCGTTCAATTTTAATTGCAGGTGAACGAATCTGGACGGACTTACATCCTAACTCAGGGTCCACTTCCTCAAACAGCCGGCCACTTTTGGCTCATGGTCTGGGAGCAGAGATCTAAGGCCGTTTTGATGCTAAACAAAGTTATTGAAAAGAACCAGGTTCGATAATACATAACATCAGCCATCAGAATCAGTTATACTACAGAGGGAAACCCTAATCAATAATTTATCATTTGCAGATAAAATGTCACCAATATTGGCCAGTCGGATCAAAGAACGGTGGCCACGATGACATGGAATTTGACGATGTAGGCATCAAGCTCGTTCTTCGCAAGGAGGAAGAATTAAGACACTTTATTGTCAGAACATTCAGGTATATATGCATTAAGTATGCGCTAATTACGACTACCATCAGCGGAAGAAATATACCAAACTCCTTGTGTTCATCTCTTGTTGGTATGAACTAAAACTACTATTTATATTTTCACCATAGTTTGGAAGACATGTCAACGGGTAACTCTCGGGAGGTCTTACAATTCCACTACACAACATGGCCAGATTTCGGAGTTCCGAGGTTTGTGAGCAGAAAAAAAACAGTTCGTGGTGTTGAACTTTGGAAGAAATTGTGTCATATTGTGTTTCTTTGTTTGTTATAGCACACCCCGGGCGTTCCTCCACTTTTTACAAGTTGTGAGAGATAGCGGAGCTTTAAATTCCAACGTAGGACCCCCAATCGTCCACTGTTCGGCTGGAATTGGACGATCTGGAACGTTTTGTTTAGTTGACTCGTGTTTACTCATGGTACGTTTTATCCTTTGAAGTGTCAATTTATATTATTAGCTGATGGCAGTGGGTATATTTTTCAAATGAGTAAGGATGTTAAGAACATGAGCCGGCTAAAATCATGCATCTAGCATATTGTACGTATATAAAGATACATTCAAGTCAAGTCAACCTTTATTCGAGTGTAATGAAGGTTGACTTGATTTGACTTGAATGTATCATTCAGCATGTGTATTCAGGGTGCAAGACCGCAATCACCGCAAATTTCTAGGGATTGTGGATTAACAGTAATCCAGCGATAGGGGACAGAATATTAATAAGGATTTGTCGTGTCATTTGTCAACTGGTGGTCTGAGAAATTTGTCGAGTTGAAAGATCTGTCGATATTGTAGGTCGGACACATACATACATATGTACATACTTACCTATGCATATAGGGAAGCGAGTACATATAGCGTGGCCGGCACATGCCTGCAAGTCATGGATGGATGCAATGCAATTTATATTCAGCTGTCTATAGCTCACATGCATGTAGAACGTTTGCAACACGAGCACAATGTAAATTCACAATTCTCGGAATGCAGATATTGCTGCCTCCTGTCTTTAAGAATTCTTCAATTTAAAAGTGCCAACGACAATTTGAGGCCCACTTCCTACCTTTTTTGCTTTGTTGGATTGGGATGAATTATTTATTGGGAATTGTCAAAATTATTCATTTTTCTGGGTTCCGATTAGAATAAAGTTTGTAATGAAGTTGCCGTCAAATCCGGTATTGTGGCAACATCTTTTAGACTTTGCTTCAATATGATTTAATCCAGACGGTGGTGTCCAATAATGTTGTCCATCCAATAGAGACATAGAGATAATTATTGTATTCTAGCATTTGTTAAAAATTTACGTTGTACGTTCTGGATGATTTTTAGATGGAGGAAGGGAAACCTGTGAACATTAATGAGATTCTTTTGGAGATGCGACGCTACAGAATGGGTCTTATCCAGACTGCGGACCAACTGCGTTTTTCTTACTTGGCCATCATTGAAGGCATCACTCAACTCGCAGAGGTAGTAGACCATGCAAAATCTTAATAATTTGCAGCCTTTCAAAATTTTCACTTTGTAAATTTCCTCTCTCTAATCAACAGGGAAAGAAGCGATTCTTGGCGGACGAAGAGAATGGAGACTTGATTGAGTTGGACGACAAACCTTTGCCACCTCGCAGGATTGATTCATTGCCACAAAATCCTGTTGCGGAAGAGTTATTTAGACGACTTATTGAGGGTTCGTAAAATCATAGTTGAATATTTCAGCTTGATTTGAGAGTGGTTATTTTGTTTAAACATTTTATTTGTCCATGACAGACCGGCAATTTGTGAATGAAAGGCCCCTTCCAGAAACACCATCGTCAGACGACGTTTCAGATTCCAGCGATGATTCAAGTTCGGACGAATTGGAGGACGAAGAAGATGAGATCGTCGGCGGTGGTGACGGCGACGTTGCTGAGACCACGAAAAATATTCCTACAAATGGCAGCGCGTTGAATCACAACAACCATCATCACCTCCACTCATCCTCTTCCGACGCCAATAATGGCAGCTCCAAGTATATCCTCTATTCTATCACACTCGTCCAAGTATTCTCCACAGAATGTCACGAGGTAGTTAGTAACTCTGTGTCTCTTTTCAGAACGAACGGCGTGGAGGGGGCGAGTGAGGAGAACGTGGCGAGACGACGCTTAAAGAATGAAGCTCTGCGCGAAAAGATTCGTGAGATTAAAGCACATCAGAAGGAATCCGAAGCCATGAAAGGAATTCACAGGTCTATTCCACGGAAATATTTATTTTTAGTCTTGATGTTTGGCGTAGGCGCTTTTTCCTTGTACTATTACAGGTCGTCTACGAGCTAGGTAGGTAGTGAGTCAACTCCCCCTTCAATTACAAATATTCGTCAATTAATAATAATCACAATTATAAGTAACCTATTTAGCAGTGGTATTTAGTATTTAAAAACAGCGACTCTGGTCCGTACAATTTTATTTGGGAGCTTGCTTTGCTTCCTGCAACGCAAGGCAGTCGGGCGGTGGAGGGAAAGTAGGGAGGGGGTAGATTACTGGAAAAGCATGTTATTATATCTCTTACGTTTTGTACATCTACATTATTATTATAAATATTCCTATGCGATATTATTTATTGTACGGTTACTATTTGTGCGTCACCCCCTACTTACTTACCACTTCCATTTCGATATGTATACATGTCTACCCTCCAAATGACCTTAAAACGTTTAATAATTTGTGTACAGATTGGTTTGAGGTGGATGAAAAGAGGGAGAATCTTCTTAATTGGTATGGTCAGTCTCCTCGCTTCAAGTTTTTTGTGTCTTCTCCTGACTCTCTCTAGACTAATAGTGAAAGTAACGAATAATACATCCCACCCATCACATCACATCACTAAAGAGCTTCCTACGTCCCACCTAACAATATAAGGGGCGGAGGACCTATAATCCCACACACTGTCCACAGAAAGCACAAAAAATAGTAGTTGGCAGTTACCTCATAATAATGATAATTTAATACTAATAATGCGCGTGGTGTGGTGATAGTTGATCGGCACACCCATCGTTCTACTTGGTGGGTGGGTGGGTAATGTGAACCTGACGGACTGACGTTTGTTGTTATTTTTTCAAATCAGTAAAAAGAAACATTTGACTGTGTGCGAGAGTGTTTGATTCCTACAAAAAATATTTTTTGTAGGCTGTTGTTCTATGTACGTGCATAGGACGAGTTAATCGGAGGGTACTAGCGGATATGAGGGGGAGAAAGTGCCCGAGAGATCTACTAATCTAAGAATATCTAATAGTATAGTTAGTTATTAGTGATGAAGGGTGTCTGTCCACAATTATTTATGCAATTAATTAGATGAAATTATCACTACAAATTTAAAACTATTTAGAAGGTACGGGATTGTGTAGATATTTTGATGAGATGCGAGGGGAGCAGTGTGGCACAAGAGGCTGACAACAATAAGCAGCCCCCTTGCAGTTGATGAGATGAGACATGACTGATTTTGAGGACAAAGTACAACCTTTTTTATGCGAAACAAACATTACACACTGGAGAGCTCTTCTTCCCACCACTACACACGTTTTTGTGTACTAATAACTCTCGGCAGGGATGATTAACTTAATCACATTAGTTTAGGTTAAGGGAAAATTAGGCTTGTCTGTCCGGTTGGGGTTTATCCACCGAACTGCGACGAGATTTTAAATCTCGAGAACGTTTTTCCACATACAAATTTGTAGCATATTGCCAAACAAGGAAATATCACATTGAATAGGCAGATTTAGATACATATATAGTTAGTAAATAGGTACATGGGTTCAATTTCTACTCCCATATTACATACGCACGCACATATGTATGTATGCAATAGTACGCATCCCTGCTCTGTTTTTGACCAACTGGGATGTATATTTGTATTCGTCCATGCCGACGTTATAAAATGGAGGGTATTTATTTCATAATAATTTGGAGCTGGTTGGGGGTGTTGCGTAGTGAGGAAGAGGTCGGGGTGTGACGGACTTAATAGATGAATGTGTAAGCGTTTCGTGTCCCCCTGTATAATGTATGTAGAGTAGGATACGATGTATGTAGACTAGACGAGACTGATGAACTTGTAATATCCGTGTGTTAACCTTGTTGATTCATGTTTCTTAAAATGTTTGATATATTTGGAAATTATTTACTAATGTGGATTAAACCGAAATAATACCCCAAAGTTTTGAAACCAAATCGTTCCTTGCGTTTCCGATTAAACTCATAACTACCCAATTTGGCGATTTGTCAAATTCAACAAAGTGCATCAATCATAATGACCTCTTACGGACCATTTCTCATTGCATTGACTGAGCTTCCATGTCGGAGAATACCTTGACTGACTTTTTACTGGGTTGAACTATTATTATTGAACTCTTGTGTTTGTGTGTGTGTGTGTGTTAAAAAATTCCATAGCTGACTGAGCCGTGTCTCCGTGTAACCAAGTGTGTAAGAGTACTTTTCCATCCATGAGAAATTGGCAAAACTACTGTTGCGCCGAATTAGTACAGTGAATCGATCACGATGTGTTGCAATAGAAAAAAATCTGGATAGTAATCGACGTATTTCTATGCTTATTTGGCTTGTCTATTAAAGAAGGCATCGTGTGGAAATTTTTCAGGCTTTTATTTTGACAAACACTGGACACATAATATTCGATCAGGGATTAACGAGCCGAGTCCATGGCAGCCTTTGATAAGGCTGCAACATGGGCGAGGCACAATCTTTATTAACTTGGATGACATCATATCCTAATATTATTGTGGGAGACAGGCTGGCTGGCAAGTCAACTCTCTCCTTGACCTGTCATATTCTCACGAATTATCTCACTCATTTTTAACCAATTCCTTCTCCTCATCAAAAATTGAAGAGACTTCTTCTCCAAATCGCTGCACAAGATGTGTTGCGGGTGTTATTTATGCAGAGCATGACACAGGATTTTATTTCACTGCCGATAATTGTACCCCTAGCACCAGTCGCACCTGTGGATTACACCTGCTGCTGTCTACGGAAAAATTGGGGTATAGTTGGTTGGATAGGTAGGGAATATCCCATCATGACCTGACCGGTACAATTATTGCTTCAATCCTGTCTGTTTTTAACCGGCCAGGTTAACAGACAGGTTTTGCACGTGCATATGAATTCCACTCCTCCTGCAATGTATCCATGCATTCGCTTGACCCTATCCGCCACATGTAGCGCCTCTTTTACCTGTTAATATAGGCTTTTAATATACCCTAGGCCATTTAAAAAGGGAAATCACCCAAGACGATAACCAAAACTGCACATCACGTTCCCCATGTAGGATTATACTCGATAAATTGATGAAATGGGTCAGAAAGACGGTGGTGGTTATAAATCTCACCATCTTGTTCCAATTATGTATGTATGTGCAGCCCCCCGTCCGTCGATCGTTGATGAAATCGCAAGGTGTCAGCAGAACCAGTTGATGGTCTGATTGTCCTGGGGCATGCAGATTGGTTGGAAGTACTCTTCCGATGAGTGAGAAAGATGAGATCATCAGCGTCGTCGATTTCAGTTCCACCCATGCAAACTCCCACCAAAGTCCTCTCACCACTCTTCTTCTCAAACAGTGCCAATCAATCCAGACTCGCATGCTGGCTTCATACACACGTAAGCATAGCATACATAAGCAAGCCGGTGGATGTGAAAGCATCATCGGTTCCAATTTATTGAACCCTTACAACTCCAATCCAATTACCACTGACACATGGCGTGCGTGGGCCGTGGTTCTCATCACGACCCTTCTTGGGCACCCCCATATCTAAATTCATCCTCCTGCAGCTGTGGGACCAAATTGCACAGTTGTTCGTCTTCCTTCCTCGTCTGCCCCCGATGGTCACCAGGCTGGAGACTCCATGGTGGCGACGGAATGACAACTTTTTCCCCCTCATCCGTTCACGGATGGCTTCTTATTATTCTGCCACATTTTGCTCCAAATTGCTCCTCATTATGAAACATTGAGTCCAAGGAAATGCTAAAATTAGCGGCATAGCCAACTCCCATTGGAATTGAATCTTACTCACTCCCACGCAGGACGGTCCATGATTCTTGAATATTCTTCTGTGACCCCGGTCGGTCGTTGCACCTCGGGTACAATCCCATGACGATTGTGGCCCAATTATGGAGTCAGAACACTTCTTGGGGCTTCCTCTTCATTCGTATTGCAACATGTCTTCCTTCTTGCTACACAAGTGGCTTGACTAATTGGAAAAGTTAATGGACTCTGGAGGAGGAGAAGTGTTGCAGCCGGAAGTAGTGGGACGGGGGACCCAGCTCTGAAATATATTAGCAAAGCATACACATGACTATGTCACAGCTTTCGCTTGGCCCACCGCAGCTTCCCCTCCCACTTCTCCCGATAACTAGATGCTTGCTTCCCACTGCTTTCTCTAAACCTTTGCATTGCTTGTTCAGAGAGTGATGTGAGCAATGAATTCCGTGAATCATGCCATCATATGATCATCGCATGAGACAGTTTGGTTGGAGGTGACCAATCCAATCTCCTTTTGTTGGTCCTTTCAGATCTCCGGAGGCGAAGCGTAGGAAATCCGAACCTTCGACGACAAGGTCTGATGATCCAGCCAATAGCATGAACAGGTCAGCCAGCACTCGTCGCCACTCTCAACACCGGTGACATCGGGACCCCAACAGTTGACACTCCCTCTAACGACGGATAAACCTCTCTCCATTCTCCTTCAAATTCACGCCCGCATCCAGCCCCTCGTCCTAGTTTAAACATTACATATCTCCACATGGAGTTAATCCTAAGTTATATAATATGAACCCCTGGTTTTGATTTCAACACAAGTCTGACCAAGTGGAATGACACGACACACACTATAATTAATTACTCAACGGTAGCCACGTAGGGTTCACACAAAGACACGCTGCTTGTTTATCATTAGAGTTCATGGTCCACTGGATGGACGGATGCAATAAAAACTCGTCTATGCAATCTTCCCTTCAACGCAAACGTATTTATTCAGGCTTGTTGGTCGGAGGATTGATTCCACCACGACATGCATGCCATGATAAATGTTCTTGTGAAACAATCAGCCACATATTATGTATGATAGGTATGTGGGGATGAAACCTACGAGTTTCTGATCCCGAGTACCTAGTTATGCAGACTACAAGTAATAAAGCTACTAATAGTAAGTACTTATGCGAGCTATAATGAATTTAGGTTTTTAAATCTAGATTTTGAACGACATGAGAAGGCAGCCTGCAGGTGGCATATATAATTTAATATATAATGTTGTGTTTCACGTTGATTGAGAAGTGCTTGCCGATTTGTCTGGTTAATTGTTTCAATCATTGTATTCTGGTAATTAAGTAATGCATCATCGAAGGCCTATGTCAATAAAACCTATTTGTGTTTGATTTTAATCGTGCGTAATTGAATTGCTAATTCGACAAGTGTTGTGAGTACGATGCAGGAACCCATGCGTCTGCAAATATATTGAGCGTCTATTTCTGGCGACGGCATAATCACCTCGGCCGGTCCTCCCTCGTCTTAGTGCTGATGGAATGTGGTTCAACCGGTCATCACGCCTCCCGACGTTACAGATTGCCCTTCTCCGGAGGAGAAAGCCATGAGAAACCTGGCTTCAGTGTGAGCAACAGGTGCATATGGGAGAGAGCAGGTGGAGGGAATATATAATTAGGGAAACCTAGTTTATGTCTATGGTCCGTCCGTCCGTCCGCGCGTTCGTCTGCATATGTTCTGAAGCTCTCAGACATAATAGAGCCCTGCGACAATGCATCAGGGAACTAGATGATGTAAGTTCGCTTTTTAACGCTGTGTCAAGGTCACAAAGGGTCATAGAATGCCACAACGAGCTTGAAGTATGAAATCATGCTACATATAATTTTAAAGATATTTACGAACGCCACCAATAACTTTGAATTTCACGGTCAAAGTAAGGTCATAGAACGGTCAAAATATGCAACTTACAAAACCCCGGCCTTCTTGTCTGTCGGCAAATATTTCGAAGCTCTTGATCTGCCATGGCCTGCAATAAGATTTACATATGATCCAACTAGGTTCATTATTAATATGGCTGCGACCTTGCGACGCAAATATTGAACTGTCACAACACAGTCGTAAAAAAGTCATGAACGGGGTATCAAATTAAAGCTACTTCAGAGAGGGGTCGTTGGAAAGGTATTTTAAGTTGCCTACTATTTAACGACTGATTACATGTCTAACTATAAGAAGCATATATTTCGACATTTTTTATATTCCTTTTTTACAAGGGTTTTATTGAATCCTGAGAATCCAACTTGAGTATTGGATGGAATGCCGAATCGAAGTGGAATAGTTATTGGCAGGTGTGCAAATATTTGAACCACAGATCAATGTGGCTCAAATATTTGCCCACTCACCCAAAACTGGTCCCAGTATGATGCATAAGTACGAGAACGATTTATGCAGGTCTGTCTCTCATGCTTGGAGCACCTTCGTGTGTGAAGTCCACATTATCACTAAACAAAGCTCACGCTTTTCCAGGAATTCGACTCACGATCGCAATCTGCAACCTTCGCATCGCACAATCGTCAGTGTCGAATGGGGTTGCGGAATGTGCGTGTGAATGGAATGACGATTGTCTGCGCCGATATCTTTGGACTTACATAACTGCATCGTCATATGACAGGTTGAAACAATGCCAACCACCACCAAAGTCAGTCAATGGCTCCATGCACACCGAGTATATAGTGAGGTAGTAAAACAAGAAATTGCGATAATAATCCCATCACTGCATCCACCATCGTACTGGGATTCGTCATCTGGTTTTATTTATGTGCCCACCCAGGACACCACCCAGCCTGAAACTCTGGATCACAAAGCCATCCTGATTAAAAGCCCTCCTCGCCCCGACATGCCATCCAATTTGACTGACTGACTGCGCCAGGGGTCACGTAGTCAAACAGCATTTGTCAATGGGCGACTCACAAAATGACAGGACAGTGGCGGAGGTACACCGTTCGACATAAGATTAAAACGAGGTACCTCATCCTGTCAACAGTGAGATATTTACATCTGATGCATCTCAGATGTGACGATGTGAGACATGGGGACCCGACTCTCAGGTCTTGGGAGGTATGCAAGTGGTCAGCTCCACGGGCTATGAGCACAGAGTGTACATCCTGAATCTATTTATATCCACAACTTCATAGGTCTGCCAGGCAGCACATTACTTAATTTGCCATCTTTCGGCTACTGCGCGTCCAGTTCCATATTTAGGCACGCAATTCGCAGATGAGCGACCAAAGTTGATCTTCCAAGTCGTAGAAGTCACTCGTAGTACTGTGCGTCAGGGGGTCGGCCACACCTTCCTACCAACCTTGAAGGAGGGTGAGCTGACTTTGTCCGATGATGCAGCCGTCGTCGTCGTCGTAGTCGAGGAGGAATAATTGAGAAGCAACTTGTCCAACTGATTTCACCATCGCCTCATTGTTGAATGCATGCTGGTGGTCCCGCTATTGGACCGCCGCCTTGGCCAGGCAATAGTGGTTCCCAAATTGGGGTCAGCCATTGCCAATCACGATACGGTTGTTAGGAATGACGTCACCACACCACTCTCATCAAGATTGTCACGAGACGATCCATTTGTTGATACTCATCAGAGAGGACACATTCTAAGTAAGTATGCAAAGATGGATCAGTTGCTTTGTGTCAATTGGAGTCCAGCGAACGTGACCCATGATACATATTCATGCCATACATACATATTGCGTACCAGTGGGCGGCCATATTGTAATCGGACCAAAATAACGATGCCAATAATGAAGAGTCAAGTTGAAAGAAATGTTTGCAGGATGAACAGCCTTTCAAGGCCATAAACTGCCTCAACTCCAACGACGATTGCGAGAACAACCCCCATCTCCAAATACTGCGAACGAATCTGTGCCTATGTGCAAAATCTCATCACATGTCACACATCGTCAAGAGTCCAGGCTAAAAATATTGAATGTAATTCAATGTAGGCTATTATTTTAAGTCGTCCATATAAATGTGCTACTAATTGCAAATAAGTATGTCCAATTCCAGTCTGAGTTTTCCAGGAAGGAGGAGGAGGACACGGAGCGAGGAAAGTTGCTTGGACTCCTCTTCTGAGGAAGACTAGCTTCCAGGAAGGATTGGCAGCAACAGCAGCAATTCCAAGAGCACATTGGAAAATTATGCAATGATATGATGCCCATGAAATTGGAGTCGTATTTTTTGACGTGAACGCAAATAAGCAAATAAGACGGTACATTCACAGCTTCAACCTCTCATCCAAACATACTGAGCTACATAATGACAATTTATTTCATTTCGTTGTAATTTTTGTTCTAGTTGTGTTTGCCTCGCCAGCCACCAGCATTCATTCATGGAAGTGATCCATCAATCCATCAATTAATGTGTGTGTGACGACGGCAATTTTCCTGACTCGTCCATTTCTGAGACGCACTCATCATGTTCAATATCCTGGTGGTCAGAGAGCTGAGACATGTTTGACAGAAATGTGACACAACACATTCAGTTGTGTCTCTGGCTGCTTCTTGAGCATGCATGTCGCAATTAATCTTCACTCCCAAGCCAATTACAAGCACACAAGCAGTTCCACGAACAAACGATACAATTTGGTACATGACATGAGTGACATTCCGAACGAGGAGTCATCGTCACTGTTTCCAATGTGTTCTGTGGAAACACATTTTTTCATTCCACCCCGTGCTCCACTTTGGGCAAGGCAACTTGCATTGTACTCATTGATGGGGGGCATAGTTCCACTTGTGTAGGCAAGACTCACTCAAAATCTATTAATTATTTGCAATCCGGCCACACACTTGGCATAATTTGACTATGTCGCGACGACGACAACCATGTGCGTTGTTTGGTTTGGCCGACATGGCTTCAGAGTCCCGGGCTGATGAGCGAGCGAGAGAGAAATGTTGGCACCGTGGCGATGAAGGTGATGCAATCATGGATGCTGTTGCCTTTCCCACCGGAAACGGAGGATGTACTCCACTTCCACGTGGAACTACTGAAGCATGGTCGTTCATGGAAAGTCGCGTAGACTATCGGGTGTTGCGTCACACGATCTCACACCCATTTCCAACCACACTCATCCCTGCACAAAACGATGGCATGTACAAGTATGAGAAAGTGCAATAACTTCGTCGTTGCTGGCCTACCTGCCGAAGTACCGGTGGCTACCTTCGCTGTCTATACGACGCACGACTTCTCCTGCTTTGACTGGAATGCATGGTGCCGAAAAAAACCGGATGCAAGCATGTGAAACGCTTCCGCGTGACATCGGACTCATCGGACTATTTAGCATTTCATTTCTCATGCTATTCGCTCTTTCAGACTTTCTTCAGCTTAATCATAAGATTAAGCTGTCTTAGTTTCTTAGTTCCTTCCTCCTCACAGCTCTCCTCCTTAGCCAAGGATTGTATTGGACAGTAGCTGAAAGTACCTGGAAGTTCACATTCTTCTCAAAGACAGGTGTTACTAAATTGGGGTGAAGGATTGGGGCTGCGTGTGGTATATGCAGCCCATCGTTCGTTGCTATACCATGTTGACACGCAACGTTTTCCACTCTTACGTCATCTCTCTGGTCGTACTGACAGTGGTAAGTTCCGATGACTCCTTCTCACCTCACAGAACCGGCTTGCATCGAATTCCTTAAAGTATTCAACAACTGATATGGCGCATCTCAATCCATCCGCACCAGTCCCTCTTGATCCGCATCATCAAAGTAACATCAACGCAACAAACTTTGCTTCGTTTGTAAAAATCCTGATCACACCATCAACGAACCACGCCTTCAATTCATTACCAATTAAACGCGAGTTAGAGGTTCCACACTAACTACGTTCACGATGTCTTATGACTGCCGCATCTGCTCCATTGTTGGATGGCACGTATTGTTCGAGTCCCTTTAAAGCAACCCTTTCTCCCGTTCCCTTCGGTATCCGAACGTTTCCATGGAATTTTTTGCCACCGCCTTGTGACAAACGTTTCAGGAGGGTGAGGGAGACTTGGGATGCTTCCATGCAACAATGCTCACCCCACAGCCAGCAGTGATGGTGACGCTGACGGAGATCACAATCTGAGGATGACTCACAATGAAGGAAATCTCGACCTGACTTGAGACGAAGTGACTGAAAAGATAGAGTAGTAAGTAAGTGAGCGAGTTTGGATACGTATTTGTCCTTATTATGGCATCTTGCTTCAGATTATGGTGGTGGTTTGCCGATGGTGAATGAATGATGATCGTGTGGTAGCCAGACCTGGGTATAAAATGAGCCGCATTGGCAGAGCGCTGTTTTAGTCGCAACCTTCCTCATGCCAGACACACATCGGTTATTCCAACCAACCTGCTTCACTCAGTTCGCATTCTAACTTTCTACTACTTTCACCCATCTCAACGACGTGCGGAGGACGAGCAACTACTGTCAGCCACAAAGCTCTGAGGTAACAACAAGTCCCGTGGACAACAACCACCGAAATTCATTGATTTTCTCGGAACGACAACAACAGGCCGACCAGGGTAAGACATATTTGTGGCTCGAGTGAATATGGAGTAGAGCGAAGAAGGTCATTTGAGAGGACTCATTAAATTAATCTCCTTGTTTTCCTCCTCTCCTGCGTCGATAACCAATCCTACGATTCCCAATGGCCCTCCGATTTAACTCCGCTCTTTAACTGCGCTATTTCCGTTTGCGCTTCCTCCCTTAACCCCCACCACTCGCATCGCGTACAAAAAAAAACAGATTACCTCCCCACTGCTCAGCCAACTTACTAATTCACCACCATCGATTGAGTACGCTCGTATGCTCAGCTGTCTCACTCTGCCTCACTCACCTGCATGCATGCATCCTTCATATTTGCATAGTACATGTAGATACGTGATGGTTGCCTCGTTTTCTCCATCAACCACCATCAATTTGTCCCATTTCAAGACTTTTAAGCTGTTTGTAAAGAGATGACAAACTGCTTTCACCACGCGACCATAAACTATCGCTTCTGGGTAGCCTTTTGTAAACCCGGTGTTTTACTTTTTCCAGGAAAATACCTGCCACAAATTCCACTGCAGAAGTCAACGTGCCAACAAGATTTGAAGAAATGAGTCCCTGTGAATTCTCATCCTCCAAAATGACGACCAAATCATCCCGAATCTTTGTCATCCTTATGGCCTCCATCCTCCTCTGTGCCTTGCTCTTCACGACCACTGGACACTGTGCAGCCGTCACCGTTCGGGTACGTTTACAATTTACCTTTATTCAAGTGTTATTCACATTCAGTCGATTAGACTGGCTAGAGCATAAGGAATCTTACTTGTGCTCTGGCTACGACTCGTAAGTAAGCACAAGTTTAGACAAAAGGTGTCTCAAATCTCAGCACGTCCAAGACTCTGAGTCATCAGCCACTGGACACATTGGTTCGAAACATGTGCAGACTGAACCAGTCGAATCCACATAATCCAGTTTGATGTGGCTGTGTCAGGTCAAGTCAGGTGTGATATCGTTGTAGGTATGTGTGTATGTGCTCATCTCTGAGAATGGTCTCACACTTTGATAAGCAACTCAAGCTGTACTGAAGAGATTGTCCAAAGTTCATCGATTCATGGAATGCCATCCACGAATCGTACTCATCACTGCGGACGACGGAGGGTTGGAATTCCACAGCTGACTGACTGATTGATTCTTCATCCTGACATGTTTATGTTTACTCTGAGAACGTACATTGCGATAAGTCTTCCTCGCCCCTGTTATTCGCTACACTCGCTCGTGTAACAAACCAATTAATGTAACTCCAACGAGCCCATGATAAGTAGGTACACAGCTACATAAATGTTCGAGCATCTGCCTGCAGAACTCAAAAGCTGAGACCATTTCATCACGAGAGCGTCCACACATTTATGTTCAGCATGTCTGATTGACAGGAGAAAGTCGGAGAAAGCTTAAAGTTGACCACAACGGTACATGGCCACACGTTCTTAAAACAGTTCCACAAATTGGCTCATACTCAGAATGACTTCATGACGAGGAACCTTTTCCCACGAAACCTTTTTCGCACAGCTTTGAGATCCAACACGCATCAGTAGTTTGTTATGCTTGTGTAGGTATTTACGACGACTCTTTACGAGGACAGGGTTAGAAACGCAGATAGATCTCGAGTGATTAAACAGCAAGTCAGTCTGTTGACTTGCAATTCAAGTTCATGCAAAGCAGCGTAAAAAACAGTTTTGTTGCACTGTAGTTGCTGCTATAATAAATCAATCATCATCACCATCGCAGGACCTGCTCAACTATTTACTCATCCTCCTGACTCACTGACTAATAAATGACTCTGAGCAGCTCGGTTGTTTGTGCGAGTAGTTGGTTGGTGCCACCAGGATTTACTACGGACTGCGTTTGTGTGTCAAAACGGAGGCGCAATAGAAGGAAGGTCGACTTTGTTTGCAAATATTTGGCATTGTATTCTCCAGGCGTTTTGTGTCGCTGCGGCGGCTCAGGATGATTTCATGAGGTTACTCAAGCTCCACGAGGGCTGGAAGGTGTGCGGGTGGGGTGATGGCCAGCAGCGTCATTTGAACTTAATTATCTGCTGCACAACTAGTTCAATGACTCGTGTAATGTGTACATTTATAAGCACAACTGTTTTACTACACGTAGTCCTTCCACGTGAAACAAGATGTAGTCGTTCTGATACATCTGCTGAATATTAATGGTCAAGAAACTGAGCGATAAACGCCCCATTTTTTCCTCGTATTCCGTACAGAGAGAGAAAAAGAATAAGTGGTTGGACGATTAACACATCATAATCTGCACGAGGCTGGATGAGGTTCATATATTTTTTGATGTGCGACGCAATAATTAATAATTCTCTGATTAGAGTGGGGTTGGTGGTGGTTGAGTGGATCGAGTCGGTGGTTGTATAATATCGCAGCATGAATGACTTTGGAGATGAATTATGGGTTGCGGTGGTCGTTGTGGCATTTAGCAGTTTGTTAAAATGATTGTCGAGAGTCAGATGGAGTCGGAGCGATAACGTAGGAGCACAACTACGCACTTGTGTAGTGAGTAAGTGAGGAGGAGGGCAGAGTAATAATTGATGATGAATTATTGTCGTGAATGGACTTGGGTGCTCTCCTCTCGACGTGAATGAATGGGAACAAGGGACGCTTTGTTTGCCTCGTCGTCTCAAGTCTCAGCGTTCTTGGGCACAATGTCCTGGGAGACCCAAAATCCTGCCAAAATTATTTTAAGGCCCAAAATCCTCCCATGGGGGTCGGAGACCATAAAAATGTGGTTCATTTTGATTTTCGAAAGTGGGTGTGGTCAGGAGGGGGGTTTTTATGGAATTTTCAAAAAGTCGCAAATCGCCCCTAAAACCACACCCACTTTGTTCAGAATTTAACGCTGATGAAAATGAGGTATCATACATGCCCCTAGCTCTTACCATTGTCTCGCAAAAAAATAAAATGTAGCGGAAGATCGGTGTTTTTGTCAAAAATCGTCAAAATGGCCAAGTTTGAAGGGCTCTCAAATCCTTGATACTGAATTTGTGCAGGAAATCATTTCGGAATTTTGAAGTACACCCATAGGACTAACTTAGGTCATGACCTTGGTCGGATCTGAGACGGAGGTTTTTTGCAAATTGAGCTCAAAGTTGACGAAAAAAACATCGCGAAAAATGTGGATGGGAAGGGACTTTTGAAGGGCTACTAAATCCTTAAGGATAAACATTATCACCAACTGACCTATGCATCCTAAGCTACGGTCATACTACTATGTAACAGCGTGACCTTTGCTCCATTCTAAGCTATAGTGTTCCTATAAACGCTGGTCAAACTTGGCTTTCCTGAGGAAAAATTCCTGAAATTGGCCAACTTTAAAGGGCTCCCAAATCCTTGAAACTGAATTTGTGCAGGAAATTATTTCTGCATTTTGAAGTACTATCATAGGACTAACTTAGGTCATGACCTTGGTCAGATCTGAGACGGAGGTTTTTGGCAAATTGAGGTCAAAGTTGATGAAAATAGCGTCGAAACGACATCGTCGGGATTTTTTCTAAGTTTTTTGTGATTTTTGGGGGAAAAATTTTTTATTGTTGATTTGCACGAATCATGACCTCTAGATCACGAAAAACAGGTTTTTGGGGCAAATTGAGATTTGTCTCACTTTGCCCCAAAAATCTCAACTTGCCCCAAAAACCTGTTTTTCGTGATCTAGAGGTCATGATTCGTGCAAATCAACAATAAAAAATTTTTCCCCCAAAAATCACAAAAAACTTAGACAAAATCCCGACGATGTCGTTTCGACGCTGTTTTCATCAACTTTGACCTCAATTTGCCAAAAACCTCCGTCTCAGATCTGACCAAGGTCATGACCTAAGTTAGTCCTATGGGTGTACTTCAAAATTCCGAAATGATTTCCTGCACAAATTCAGTATCAAGGATTTGAGAGCCCTTCAAACTTGGCCATTTTGACGATTTTTGACAAAAACACCGATCTTCCGCTACATTTTATTTTTTTGCGAGACAATGGTAAGAGCTAGGGGCATGTATGATACCTCATTTTCATCAGCGTTAAATTCTGAACAAAGTGGGTGTGGTTTTAGGGGCGATTTGCGACTTTTTGAAAATTCCATAAAAACCCCCCTCCTGACCACACCCACTTTCGAAAATCAAAATGAACCACATTTTTATGGTCTCCGACCCCCATGGGAGGATTTTGGGCCTTAAAATAATTTTGGCAGGATTTTGGGTCTCCCAGGACATTGTGTTGGGGCTGCTCACATCTTCATGTCACAGCTCCCATTGTTTGCCTACCCAGTCATTTCCAGCAACATAAGACAATCATGTGTTGGTCTTTCTCCTCCGTCAATTGCCGCGATGGTTTACGTGGACCACGGCTGGACGGGTGCGGACGCATGTTGAGGGCGACAGAGTCATGTGATTTACGAAACGTTGAGTGGCATCCATATCCAGCACCATTGTGTACAGCCTGCAATCGTGGACGCACAGATAATAATTTGGGTAGACCAGACAGTGCTGGGTTAACGTAGTTGCTGGATATGCTAGTTGCTGGCGTATATGACCACCTTCCTTATACATTCTGATAAGCAATGTGGCACATGAAAGGCTAATTGCCGACGAGAAATGCTCTTATCGAGACAATTATTATATTAACCCATCCTTTATCTCTGAAGCGTTGAGCACGTCCACTTATTCTGTATATTTACTTCCCTGCTGCACCATAATTGTAATTGCTAGCTCGTCTAATTCCATTCTATGCAATTCTAAGTATGTAGCACGCATGCAAATATACGTACAACCGAATGAAAAATCGAGAAATGTTCTCATGTTGACTTTTTTCATTTTACAGCGATCCGTGCGACAGAGTTCTGGGAACGGGGCTGTTGTGGAGGAGTGCCGGACCAACGCTGTTTGCGGATGGCAAATCTACAACGCCTCCACTCGCGTCCACCAACGCTACGTCCCCACCACGTAAGTTCATTCGTAATTAAAAACCATGGGTAGAGACGGCCGTTCTCAATGGTTGTGTCCGTCTACACAGGTGTCGCTGCAACAAGAAGGACCTTTGCACGAGGGCGGAAGACGACATCGGAGTGCCCGCCTACGTCTACCGCTGTCGGGACTACACGTCCCGGAGAAACAGGACGACCGTGCGGCCCGCTGCCACGAACGACATCACGGCCGGAGGACAGTCTTCTTAATCCAAACTCTACCCCTAATTTATAAAATTACTAGTTTACCGTAGCGTTTTTACTATTTTTTCGTTTACTTTGTTGTTGCTGAGAGTGGAGCACGAAGCGATGTTCCATCATGACTGATGATGAGCTACAAATTAAGTTTGTATATGTCATATGTATGTAAATGAGCATCAGGGTATAGATTACCCTCCTCCCTCTCACTCTCCCGTGTCTACCTTGACACTTCTTGACACTTCTTGATGCATGCTGGGGGTCGTACCCACAAACAGTTTTCTATTTTCTTACAACCCATTATTCAGGAATGAGGAGGATTTAATTCGGAAAAAGGACTCTATTTTTCTCCCACTTTCTCGCCCCAGGATCCACTCTACTCCACTCAACTGTGTGTAATAAGTCTACATTTTGTCTCAGGTTAATAGTTTCTCGGGGTCGTGTTGTTTAGTGTAAAAAAACCTTGCTGTTGTTGGACATTGTTGTGCTCTACAATCCACCAACAACGATTGTCAGTATTGTTATTGCTATTAAGTATCGTAGAATTTGAGTAGTATGTAGATTCATTATTTTTTACCATTGTTTTTTTTATGCACATTGCTAAATGTTGCAAGTTTCCATTATTACCAAACCCACAGACCGAGACGGGACAGGATTAAATATTTTGTTGCAAACGTGTGAAATTGGTTCGAATTGGTTCAATTATTCCAGATGACCAAGTTATCTCCTGTCCTTATTTTATTCTTAAAAAAATGTTAGAAATTACAATAAATTGATGTTTGAACATAATTAATTCTAGGCGTCTACATTATTAATTAATTATGCACTTCACGATGCATCACCCGAGGACGAGTCAAGTGTGGGTGACGAATCTACTTGCAAACCTCTCAGCTCGGTCCTTATCTGATTTGCATCCCGCAACGCCAGACTCAACATGGGGGAGTACTCCTCAGCTACATATATTTAATTGTTAATTAGTTAATTAGATTGGCAATGGGTTACGCTATGCATATTGTGATCCAGTGGGGGCGGCAAGGCAATTGCTCACGTCGGGTGGAAGTCAGATGGACCAAGGACCATAATCCAAATATGCGACAAGCGAGGTTTTTGCGGTTGTCACACAAGCGCAGGAAGTGATCGAGCGATCTGCGTAGGAAATAACTTTTGACTTTGAGGTACTTTGATGTGCTTTGGGGACGATCACAATTAATTTCGTACTCGTGTTCAATCCCGTCATCAAACTCCAAGAACCGCCCCCATCGCGTGGTCATCAAAGCAGTCAAGTAGCAGCTCAAGCCATGTTTGGACCGAACTTGAGGACAAACCTCACCCCAGTCAATCTCATCCCAGGAAAACCTACCGTCCGCTTCCAGAAAGGTGACGAGATACATCGTGGCAATATATTCCATCTGTGCCGTGACGAGAATTAATATTTGGCATATCCACCAAGCCTTCATGTTTAATAAATACTGTAAAGTTGTTTTCGCCTGGGAATTGGTCGAGCACATCTTCCGGAGTCCAGGCCGCAGTACGATCGGTCAGCCCCACAGTTTTCAAAACAAAGTGAAAGATGAGCGTGTTGTTAAAACAGTGAGCAGAACAGGTTTCGTGGGAGACCAAATTGCACAGGGTCACTGCAAGAGAGACGGGTCTAGAATAATGGCCACTTGCATAGGTTTTGCATGTATAGGAAAATTTGTATATGGGGATAAGTATACTCATGGGAATTTCGCTTGTAGATGACTGGTCCACAAGACGAGGGGAGCTGACCGTGTCCAGAAACAGGTCCAGACCTCCGGAGGCCGTGAACGCTACACAGTGATGCTCACTCTGGTCAGTCAAACCAGCCAAAAGTCTCCAGCAATCATCCACCAGCTCCAAATTCCCAGCCAGAAGTAGTCGACGGATACACGTACAGATTTCCTGCCATTCATGACAACATTATTGCACAACATTGGTGATTGTATTATAATAAGTGCACGGAAGAAGTTGCACCTTCACGGGGTTCAGCTCTCTGAGCGAGACTGCTTCCTCCTCCTCCGTCTCGGTTGTGATCTCAACAAAGACCATTTTCATCAGGCGGAAGAGCCCAGTTTTCAGGTCTGACGGGGTGAGGGCAAACACGATTTGGCGCAACACCGCACCCACCAACCTGCGAAAGTTGGTTCCTTTCTAGAAAAATGAGGAACGAAAGACAACCAAAAAAATAAAAGCTACAATGGCCAGCATTAATTTGCATTGAGCTAATATCCTACCAGGAGTCCAAGTCGATTGAGGGGACCTTTAAGGAAGAACACGAGGGGGACCACTTGGTAAATTAGAGAAGTATCCGTCCAGTACTTTTCACTGATTTCGAGCACAATGTGGAGAATCCGTCCCGATTGGGTGGACTGACTTGCGCCACTCACCATTTTGGCATCCAAAACTTTGGACAAAGCCACGCGAGCATTTTCGTGGGCTTCTAGCAACTTGACGATTGTAAAGATGCAGGTAATCGATACCATCACGACGTACTTTTCATGAAGATGTGCCTCGACCATGCCCAGGAGTTCATCCAAAAGGAGGCCCAACATGGAAGGTGCAACTGTTGAGGAGGGCGACAAACTAAGGTTACTACTATATTTTAATCATCCTTCCTTCAGGCTATAGCCTTGCATTATTATGGTCAGAACTTGGTCTTCTACACACCATCAAAGGGTGCGGTTTCATGCAATTTTTTGTGAAGCAGCAGAATTACTTTGCACAGGATTTCGTGGTGGCTCCAATTCTGGTACACCTACGAACGTACGTCATCCATCACTTTGAGATCAGTGTCATGTGCAGCTTGTCATGAATTAAAACTACTCTGAGCGAATTCAGCAATTGTTGGAACGAGGCATGTCCGGTCACCAACTTTGCAGGGATGTAAGGTCGAGAGGATGGGTCGTTCTGTTGGGCGCAGGAAACTAACCCTAAAAATTGGAGAGGTTGCTGTCTCAACGATTTCAATCCCAGAATTTCTTCAGGATGGTCACCTACGTATAAATATATGTACATAAACATGTAAACATGGCCCTTCATCATCCCCGTATGCAGTACCTGCCAAGTTGGTGCCAGAAATGTCCAGACTTTGCAAGTTGACCATTTGAGATATGAGGTCAGCAAGGAAACGGTCAGGAGCCTCGAAGATCACAACCAGCTCGTTGAACTGAGAAATGTCCAGATGCCTTCAAATTAGAGAAAAAATCAGTACATACTTGTTTCACTAGTAGAAATATATTGATTATCCTGGATTCGACCTCAGAGTCGTCATCCCCCTGATAACATCCCACCCATCATTGTTTTCGTCCGAAATCACTGTCACGCCAGACAAAATGAGACGCTCCAATTTTATAGCTTTTCGGAGAAAGTCCAAATTCGCAAATTCTATGCAACCCGACAAGTCCAAGTGGATCAGATTTTGCAGGCACGAGTTGAACATGGTCTCCCAGTAATCCACCCCATGGTTTAGAAATGATCCACAGCAAATGGTTTGGCTGAACAACTCTTGTTTTTCAAGCCACTTGAAATATCTGGGCTCGACCTTCTGCTCATGAACAATGTCCAGTCCCCACACGACCAACTTTTCCACATTTGGAGTCTGGAGCATCTGAATTGTGTGGCAGATACCCTGCAACTTCTTACTTGGAGATGATCTCCAGTCGTCACTGTTTTCAATACTGGGCTCAGCAACGAGTTGATTGAAGTAGGACGCGGAATAAGATGCCGACACGCTTTCCTCCTCCTCCTCCTTAGTTCTAGGTAGAGTTGCAATAGTTTTGGGAAATAGTTGCGTCGAATTTCCGAACACCAGAGTTTTCAAATTCCTTCCGTAGGTGTTGATTGTGAGGAAGGAATTTTCTGAGAGGACGGGACAGTTGTGCAGTTCGAGGTGGGATGGAAAGTGTCGCATGAGGAAAGTCAAGGCTTTGTCCGTCAGTCCAGTCAGGTTACTCAGCACAAGTTTGTCGAAGACGAAGGCATTTGCTGTCGAGAAGGTCGACTTGGATGCGAGCTAAAATTATATGATTGCTACTTAATTATTTCAAATACGGGTGCAACTATTACAAAAAAGTGGTGCTGGCTGTTGGCGACGTGGTTAATAATAAACGGATGTATTTATATACTCTAACCTTTGTAATTTTGCTCATAGCCAAAAATAGCCAGATTTTATGGTCTTGTGACACCCACGGGGTGTGACGACGATCCCCCAGCAAGATATTCCACAAGGATCGAGGTAGTTCCACATCAGAGCGGAGGTTGTAGCTCACACCCACCTCCCACTGCTCGTCATCTTGTGTCGGGGAAGTTTCAACCAAAAGGATCCTTGGGATGTTGGTCATGACCGTGTTGGCAGCCAGCAATTTTAGTGTTGGATTCATGTTCAAATCATATGTACGATTAATTAATTGATGTACATTTGATATAAATTATTGCACCCACGCGATCTGAATTCTGACATGCTTAGGTTTCAAATTCTGCGAAATGCCTGGAAACCGTCACTGAGGCCAGAATATTCCCCCACTTAATTTTTGGATGAGAAACAATGCATTTGCATGAATGAATGTGAGGATAAGAGGTTATGCAATTTGAGATTATTGAGTGAGTCTCATCATCATCATGATGAAGATGTGAACGAGTTTCGTGACGTGGCTGGCTCTGGTTTCCCCTTGATTTTAGTCCACCAACCGCCAGTATCTGCTGGATTGGATTGAAGGCTGGCAGAATAAAAATGACGTGGATATCATCGTGTCTGCAATTCCTTGGCGTCGTGGCCGTGACCGCGATTATTGTCACGGTCACGGAGGCACATCAACCTCCCAAGCAGTCAATCACGACGAGACTTCAAGCCCCTTGGGCTCCGACCTCTTTGCTCCACGAGGCGAGCGAATATCTGGGCGAATTAAACCCCAACCTTTTTTGGAGCTTTTTGGAGACAACGTTGCAAAAGCTGGAACACCTGCCGACACCAGCGACGGGTATACAACATGCACTCTGGTGACACATTTGGATGTATTTAATTCAACAACTTTTTTTCGATCGTGCAGGGCGTACGGAACATGATCTGGCGTTGGTGGTTGCATATAATTTCCTCTCTTCTTCAAAACTTCGTATGCTAGACTGGGCCCTCACGTAAGTAATCGAAAACCTCACTATATTTTAGGATCGGATATACATTTAACGAGTTTAACAAATCAGTACCTTGTTGGATATCAATCTTATCCATGCACAAAACTGGATTATTTCATTTATGCATTGTTCAATTGTTTGCAGGGCTAGAACGCAGTCCCCCAAAGTACTCAGTTTACAACAGGTACGGTCCACTTAATTTCTAATACGACAACATCCAAAGGATCCTTTTAGTTAAGGGGCAGACGGATGACGGACTGAATAAAAATAACAATATTGTGCAATACAGCTCGCCCCTGAGAATACCCCTCCAGAGTGTCCAGATGCCTTTGTGAATCTGGGTTCCAAGACAAGCTGTTCTGTTGAGGTTTTGGAGAAGCTGTTGGAACAGAGTAGTGGGGCGGAGGGGCTCTTGCAACCCCCACTGCTCACAGACGACGACCACAAATTTCCCTCCCTCGTCTGGACCCAACACCAACGCACGGAAGGAGAGGAGAGATCGTCCCCTCCCAGCGTCGCCATTCTCTATGGTGACTTCAAATCTAAGAAGACGCCAGAGCTCCATCAGTTGTTAAAGTAAGAAAGGCTCACAAAGATGGGACAACTAGGCGTCTGGTTAACTTTCGAACTGACACAACTTGTTATTTTTTTGTCTGGTGATAGGAGGTGGAGCGATCGAGTGGGCTACGTTTTCAGACCTTTTGAGACAAAAGGGAACAAGGGTGATAATGATGGAAAGAAGCTGTTGTTGGCCGGTTATGGGATTGAACTACAGTTCAAATCCACAGAGTACAAGGCTCAAGACGATTCTGAGCAGGGTAAAATTAAACAAACTATTTGATGCTGATAATTAATTAACAAATACTAACATTTCAATTAATTACAGCGGGTTCCAGAGAGCTGGGTGGATTCAATTTCGACAAGCTTGAGGAGCTTTATCCCGACAAGGGGGAGGAATTGGCTAAATTCCAAAATTATCTTGCAGCTCAAAAAGGAGCTAAAACGGAGTTTGAAGCACTGAAAGCGTGGCAAGTACAAGAACTTGGGCTCCAAGCCTCCTACTTTGCTGCTGAGAAGCCTGATATGTTGACCGCGCTGAGAGATGTGTCTGGAAACTTCCCCTCTAGAGCCGCCACTCTGTCCTCCCTCCGAGTTCCTCCCGAGTTTAAAAAGTCTGTAGCTCACAATCAACGCTTGCTGGCTTCCCATTTCAACCTGGACGAAGGTGAAGGCGCCTTCTTCCTTCAGGGCTCCTACGTTGACCCTGACGCCCTGGACCTCTTCACTTTCATGCAGAACATTCAAGTGGAGCTGGAGTTTATGGAGCTGCTCCGAAGTCTGCGACAAGACTGGCCTGCTGTCACGAGAGGGGAAGTGGAAAAGATTATCGCCCTCGGAACAAAGTCACAGGCGGAGCCAGAGCTCGCTCTCGACATGAGAGACTCATCAATCTTTTGGATCAACGACTTGGAGAAGGACGAGGAGTACGAAGACTGGCCAGACGACCTCACCCAGCTCTTCTTTCGAATGGGCGGCATTATGCTCCGCCCGGTTCGACGGAACGTGTTTAACCTCGTGGTCACTGTCGACCCTGCGGACCCATCTGCTGGAGGTAGGTGACCATTATTGGCGATACACTATCTATTGTCACACTGTAGAAAATTAGTTGTAGAAAATTTGAATATTGTGCTCATAAAATTAAATTATCCTGCAGCCTTGCTGAAAATGGTTCATTCTTTTATGGTGCACAAATCCCCTGTTCGGATCGGCGTCGTATTTTGCTCGGCGCCTTCTACTCCCGAGACGGATACCACAAATGCATCACTTATTCGTCGGCTTATGAACTTTGCTGCGTCTGAAGGGAAAATGCGCACCGTGTTTCATGATGTTGTCAACGTAAGGATTTAATAAACTGCAAAGGCTGTAAAGTAAACTGTAAAGAGTTGCTTTTTCTTAGGCATACGTGACATCTGATTTTGTCACCCTAAAGAAAAAGTGGGGGTCTTTAACGAATGGGGACGAACTCGAGTTTGGGGCTGAATTGGCTTGCGATTTTGTTCGACGAAGTGGACGCCCTACTCCATCTGCCTTTTTGAATGGCGTGCCTTTAAAATGGGATTCCTTGGACGATTTTGAAGACGTCGTCCTCAATCAACTCCTCAAAGAGGCACAGTCCGTACAGGTGGAAGCCTATAACGGGAAGGTGAACGAAGACACGGACATATTTGAGCATCTGATGGTAAGATTTCGAGCCTCGATTCGTTTATCTATTTTATTTCAACCCGTGAATTTATTTCTCCACATAATTCGAATTAACTCTGTTATACTCCTTGCCGTCGCCCTTCCACTTTTCCTAATACTGCACTCAAACTGTAATTGTCTCCCGATGTTTTATACGCAATCAGCTATTTTTCTCGCTTACATGAATCTTCTTCACTCCTGACTTTGAATGTCCACAAAATTTCCCTATTCATAACCTGTGCGTGTTATGATGAATTCCTGACTGTTCCTTGATGTTTGAGAAAATCTAAGCCTTATTATATGCTACCAAACGACAAGTTTATTGCATGATAAATTATAGTGAACACTGACTAATGATTTCTGAATACTCATCAGAACAAATGTCACGTCCTCACCCGCCTCAACGACAAAATACTTGACACGTCGAACTCAAAAGTCGTCTCTTTTGGGACGGAAAGTTGGTCAGCTTTGGGAAAACAGTTTCGAGATCCGCTTGCCAACATTGCAAACTCGGTCGCCTACTTGACACCAACTGGAAAGAAGTCCGTTCCAGTTACCGTGTCGCTCTGGGTCTTTTCAGATCTAGAGACTGAGCAAGGACGGACTTTCCTCTTGAGGACGGTTGAATTTTTGGAAGAATCCGCCACGCACGCTCGAATTGCCTTTATTTCAAGCTCAGACCACCTGTCCAAATTTACGCAGGAGGTGCTCGAAGCGTTCGGTAATGCTGACCTGAAGGCGATCAAGAAATTGTTGCAGAGTGACACGTACGACGCAGGAGCGCGGGTAAATACAACAATTTGCACATAAGATGGCGAATGTTTAAATAAATTTACACATTGGTTACAGGGCGAGAGTAATGTGCTCGGTCAAGAGCTGATGAAGCAGTTGGGCTTAAGCGGAGGTGATCGTGGAGTCCTAGTGAACGGTCGGTTGATTGGACCTCTCCCTCCCACAGAGTCATTCGAGTTGGGCGACTGGGCACTCATTCAAAAGTTTACATTCGACTCATGTCCCAAACACTTGGAGGGAGACGACTGGACTCCAGATGCGGTCATGCGCCTCTGCTCAGCCCTCGCATCATCCACCTTTAAAAAATCGGCCAAAAGATTCATCTTGCCCGAATTCCAGTCTCCAGTCATGGCTGGAAAAGGCAGGGAAGGAGGCAGTGGAACCGGTGATACAGCTGGCGACGTGTTTTATGTCGACCTCACCGCAGTTATTGACCCTGCATCGCGACATGCTCACAAAATGTAACACGATTCACCGTATAATTACTACTTGATCCTTGGCATTTTTATTTTTATTTATAAACATATTGGTGTTTTTTGCAGGGCTGCTTTGCTGACGGCTGTTGAGCAGAAGGTTGGAGAGTGGGTCCGTTCCCGTGTGGTGTTCAATCCACCCTCAAAGCACTCTGAGCTCCCACTAAAGTCCTACTACCGCTACGTGGCCGGCTTGACCCCTGATGAAACAGTGACCTTTGAGGACATTCCTCGTGAACCTCTCTTTACCCAAAATATTGCTGTGAGTACTTTGCCTAGCTTTAATAATTTATCAGATTATTTATGTTGCTCATTATGATTCGCTATATGCATAACTGAAACATACAATTCATTTTGATTTACATGTGTAATATTTTTTTGTTAATTGGTTTAATTGGTTTATTTGTGTTAGGCTCCGGACAATTGGATGGTGGAGGTGGTGACATGTGAGAAAGACTTGGACAACATTCGACTCAAAGATTTGGGAACGGATTCTGTCGACTCCGTGTATGAGCTGGAACACCTCCTCGTGGAGGGACACTGGTGAGCTTACACATTATGACATAAGAACCTGTGTTTTCTTTGGTTAGTCTATGACATGTGGTTTACGAAATTATTATTTTCTGCAAAGTTTGGAAACAAAGACGGGATCACCTCCTCGTGGGCTTCAGTTCACGCTCACCCCGCATAATCCAAGTAAGAATATATACTAGGCTAACAATTAAAATCAGTCAAATCGTGCTCCAAAGTATAAAAAAGACTATGTTAAACTCGTAACTTCCCTCTTCAAGATGTTCGAACGGCGGAAACGATTGTGATGGCTAATCTTGGCTATTATCAGCTCAAAGCATCTCCCGGACTCTGGGCACTAGATCTTCGAGAGGGCCCGTCGCGTGACATCTTTGCCCTCGAAAGCAATAAACAGCGCATTGTCTCAGTCAACTCGTTCCAGTCTGTTGTGCTCAAAGTGAAGGTGCGACGCAATCCTGGCAAGGAGACAGCTTCCCTCTTGGACACGGAGGAGGAAAATTCATCATGGTTTGGGTTCGGCGGCTCAAAACAAAAGGAGGCGGAAGAAGACACCATCAACGTCTTCTCCGTCGCTTCTGGTCATTTGTACGAAAGGCTGCTGCGAATTATGATGCTGAGTGTGGTCAAAAACACAAAGTGAGTTCCGACAATAAATGACATTGACATTAACTGGCATGTCAAATGTATGTCTATATTTTCAGATCAAAAGTAAAGTTTTGGTTTCTCAAAAACTACTTGAGCCCTACTCTTAAGGACATACTTCCCGAGATGGCCAAAGAGTATGGGTTGGAGTACGAGCTGGTCCAATATCACTGGCCTCGCTGGGTAAGCACATGCACCAAAAAAGGTTCCATTAACTTGATTTGTTCACATATTGAAATACCTTTTATCACAATCAGCTCAACCCACAAAGAGAAAAGCAGCGCATCATTTGGGGCTACAAAATCCTTTTCCTCGACGTCCTCTTCCCCCTCTCCCTCAAGAAGATTGTCTTTGTGGATGCTGACCAAGTTGTTCGTGCCGACTTGAAGGAATTGTTCGACTTGGACTTGGATGGGAACCCTTACGGCTACACCCCGTTCTGCGACTCGCGCACGGAAATGGAAGGTTTCCGCTTTTGGAAGCATGGCTACTGGAAGTCGCACTTGGGTCGCAGGAAGTACCACATTTCGGCACTGTAAGACAACCCGAATTTTAATAATTCATAGTGCACACCACTTTAAATCATATTGTCTAATGACGCCTATTATGCTCTCGTGTAGATACGTAATTGACCTGTTGAGGTTTAGAAGGATAGCTGCAGGGGATCGATTGCGAGGCCAGTATCAAGCACTCAGCCAGGATCCCAACTCGCTGTCCAATTTGGACCAGGTATGCGCACATGGCACACACTCGTTAAATTCGTGAAGTTTGTGTTAGCTAAAAGTGTACTCTGGTGATTACGCATATAATTCCAAATTCTAGGATCTTCCCAACAACATGATTCATCAAGTTGGGATCAAGAGCTTGCCGCAAGAGTGTGAGTATTTTTTGTGCACTTATCAATTTGCGTCCTAGATATTTTTGAGGGGATGAGTTTAGTAATAAATTATACTAACTTGAATTATGCTTGGGCTTCAGGGCTTTGGTGTGAAACATGGTGTGACGAAGGTTCTAAAAAGGCTGCAAAGACCATTGACTTGTGTAACAACCCTCAAACAAAGGAGCCCAAACTCGATGCTGCTCAACGAATCGTTCCCGAATGGAAGGATTACGACACAGAGATTCGAAACTTCCAACAACGGCTCCACAAGGAACGAAGTGGGGATCGCAGCAGCAGCAACCAAGACAAAGACAAGCACACTGAATTGTGATAATTCTTCCCTTTAGCTCCTTTAACAATTATTATTTATTAGTTAATTATGTTATAGTTATTATTAGCGATGTGTATAGCATTTTGTGAAAACAGAAGATGCGTTATTATTAATTCGACATACATATTTACTTAGGTATTTCTGGTTGTGTGTGGTATAGTTACATATGTATAATCAGGAGATATAGATGCATATTTAAGAACAGGTAAAACAAATAACAAGTATTTTATGGCATCATTTCGGATTCCGCATTTGATTTAATACAAAAATAATAATAATCAGTAATTTCCCATTTTACTTAGAGAAAGAGCTATATATTACAGTGCTCACTTAAACTTAAGCTACTTATGTTTTTCGTGTCCATATCCCGTCATTCGTGTTTGTATGATATTGCCTATTGAGCCGTGATTGTAGCAGAAGTTAAAAAAAGTCATGACAAGCATAATATCGTTCGCTGTTTCTCCATCCTTTCTTATTGGGATTACTATATAACTATGTTTAGTGTAAATAAGAAGGAGCAAATGGTTGAGTGGCTGGTTGGTGATTGAGTGACTCTGCCTGATTGTACGTATGTATCGTCGCTAACTTTGTTATCTTATAACTTTGCGTATCTCCGGTATAAATAAATTCATGTACGATTCATCGCAGTCAATACTAGGAATGGGTTTCCCGTGTTGGTTTTCAACACTTATTCGCATTCACATTTATGTACATATGAATGTACTTATGTACATGGATCCTCGTACTGCTTATGTACTTGGGATTGACATCATGGATACGTGCGGGGCACGTATGCAGCAGCATCTTCTTTTCATGCGATGCAAATAATCGAATCAATCATCATCATTTTGGGCTCTATCGGGGACTCAATTATGAGATGTTGTATTTAGAACCGGAAACAGAAGATGTGGGTGGCAATGAGCTCGTACAGCAGAATGCCCGGTTTCTCGCCTTCCCCCCTACTTCCCCAAGTCGGGGATGGTGTTGTTCTCCCGGAAAGGAACACCGGGCGGGATGGGAATGGACAAGTACAGAGCGATTGAGAGTGAAAACATGGAAATGCTGACAAATAAAAGTGTTCATTTGATTGAGATTGTTCAGTTGGGTGAACGTGTTAAGAATTAATTGGAGTACTCATTGTTTAAATGCAGAGGTATTATTATTCGCAATTGGGGTCGACATGGGTTGAATAGCACTCGGAGATCTCATGGCGTGGGGGTGACTGGCAGTGAAAGAAAGGAACAACAAGATATTATTTACCTACGTATTCTTTGAACATGGACCGCAACAAATAAATATAAATTACTTATTATTTATTCTGTATATTATCTCCGTCGCAGCGGCAATAGCCTGCGAACCCATCATCGCATCATCACATCCCTCACTTCCCTCAGTCAGTGGAACCACAAAAAACGGTAGAATAATAACTCTTATTATTCATGAGTAAGCAGTTTCATCGGGCGTTGATTGAGGTGAATTGCGGTGGACTTGAGACGGAAAGGAAGCTCTGCCGGCCACTTTTTATCGGTGAGGGAACAAGCACAAATCCTCCCTCGTCAGCTGCTGCTACTGGGCCCTGCTGAGGAAGCAGGGAAGGACGTCAGACTATTTACTCGAATCAGTGATACTTCAGGTGATCATTAAAGTCGACCACGACCCTTCTCATTCAACCAGTGTGTCGACATACATAAGTCCTCACATTTATTAAGTGCTTGTGCACGTTCATGGTTATCAGAGTAGCAACCCCTACAAACTACAAGTTCCAAGTGTCCAAGTCTAAGTTCTAACGGCATGTGGAGTTTGGATGAAGACGAAATTGAGTCCTCGTCCTCTGCTGACACTCCCACCAACGCTCGGCGAGAAGACCAAAGTCCTTTCGTAAGTCGCCTACTGTTCCTGTTCTTGTCCCATACTTACTTATTCCCAAACAACTTGCTCATTATCAAAGCAAAACGAGAAGGGTCGCACGCAGATTGCAAGTTTGATGAAACACAGATGAGTGAGAGAGAACCTTCTTTACATTATTATCCACACAAACAACGGGATCAATCTTTGGCTGATTAATCCGGTTCGCCATTAATAAGTCAGGTTGGCTGAAGTAAATAATCAAGCCGTCAAAGTGGTTTTAAACTATCTCATGTACGTACTAGGCACAATTACAATCAAATGAAAAGAACTGTCAATCAATCAACTCTCGCTCGACACGGCCCCGTTTCATTTCGCTGATATTACTAGTTGAGACTTGATTCAAGATTTGTGTGTCATAGTCATAGTTATTCTTGAACTGTACGTTATTTTTGCTCTACAGGAGGAAGAGGGGACACCCAACTATCTCCTCCGTGGGTGTGACACTACCTCCATGACGTCCTCTAGCCCCCACAAGAAGGTCCAGTTCCACGTGGGTAAGAACACGTACTAACAAATGCATGGTAACGGGAAAATCGATCGACGACTTCAAAAGGGGCAGATTGAGATGCGTTCACAATTTCTTGCCCTCGGGGGCCCTGCCTTGATATCTGTCCCCCGGACGGCGTACAATTCCACACATGCTTGCCCCACCCACCACCCGCATCTCTTGGTATAGTTCCTGGTCCTCTGTTTGGGTGCAGGTGGGCTAATAATTTGTGCTGATGTCATCCAACAGCCTCCAAAAAGAAATCAAAATTTAATGAGAATTTGCTACAATGGAGGAACTACGAGGAGCAGAACCATCAGCAGCAGCTCTGCAATTATTTTTCCTCTTTGATTAATTAGCCCCAGGAGGAGGAAGATCTGCCATGAACATAGTTTGTTTGGCCGAGAGGAATTTGCAATAAACAACTATCCGAGTAGTAGTGGCTTCGTCGTCGTCGTCGTTTATTCTTGTTGTTTTGCATTCCTTCTCGACACCATAACAGTTTGAAAATAATAACAATAATCGTAATGTGCAGGGATGAGGAATCAAATTGCACGTGTTTCATAAGGATGACTCAATAGGCTATATCCTACACCATACAATTTCTTGTTCCCATCAAAACCATGCCCATCAACCATGCCCAGCAACTTGACACTTTTTCTAATCCATAAATAATTTCTGTAAGAGAAAGACCAGATTTTATTATTATGCACTAAATAACTGCGAGGTTTTTCTGTTCATCGCATAATTGTCAGTCAATTTATGGGCAAGCTTTATCCGTCCGAGCATCGAATGTAGCATAGGTACAGACATACATATGCATGCATGTAAGTCGTTATGCTACCAATCCACTACTTTATACATGATGCATTCACACGGTCCAGTTCAGTTGAGCAGTTGACACTCGAGGCGAGGACACACAGATATATGCGTTATCTGTCCACGCATCAGAATAAAAACAAACTTATCACCACAAGACAGAGAGAGGAGATAAGTGAAGGACAGCGCGACTGACGGGAAGTAGGGTATCAGGTTGAATAATATTATTCAACACTTTAGCTAGAGATCCTGGTGACCACGGCCGTCGTTCTTGCCGTTGACTTTGGCGTTGAGGCGCAACAACTTGATTTATTCTGCGGACAATTAGGCAAATTGGAAAATGAGTGGACCTGCTGGGCGATCCAAACTTCGTGACTATTTCGACCGGCGCAAGTCAGACGTTCCTCAATCCGGCTCTTTCTATTTTGCAGGTGGTGGAGCAGAGGACGAGGTCGGAATGCCCCTCCAAAAGTAAGTATCACAACCCGCCCGATTTTGCATGAATTGTACGAATATGTAGATGTTATATATGAATTCCTTTCCATCTCCGCAGCCTGAACGATGAGTCGTCTCCGTTGCCTGAGGTAGGAACAACGGGTTCAAATCGTGCAGAGCAACGAGATTATACCGCGTCGGCCGCCTCGACCGGTGGGTCCGTAACCACCCCACTGCTACTTCCAGCCATTCAGGAGGAACGGGCCAATGGGAGTCGGCGACCCCAGTACCAACATTCCATGAGTATGGTGGACACCGTCAAGTACGGTGCCAATGCTGACATGGCTCCTACTGCTTCTCCCAATCCTGAGGTCACACCATTACCAACCTTGCGTACATGTCCTTGAGCACTCTGTTAATTTTTGTATTACAATGGCGCAGATGGTCTATGGCTTTGTGGAGCTGGACGTTCTTTCGGGCGGCGATACTGGGGCGGATCTAAGCAACCGAGAATGGAAGGAAATGGCCAGGTGGATCAAGGTTTAAACAAAATTCCACTTCAGTCCTTTGTCAGACGAGAAATATGTGGATGGATGATTATAAATAATTTTGAATCGTGTTTCACAGTATGAGGAGGACCTCGAGGCAGGTTCTGGTCGATGGGGAAGGTAAGTAATCACAGGCCAGCGGTACAAGACACTGAAATAAGTTGGTCTGATAGCACTCGTAATAATATTCCCGTGTTCTGAATGTAGACCTCACGTGGCGTCCTTAAGTTTCCACTCCCTGCTCAAACTTCGTCAGCTCATTGAACGAGATGGTGTGGTCATGCTGGACATGGAGGAACATGACATGCCTGGTACGTACATGTTTAATAACTAAATAACTCCCCTACTTACTGACTGATTTGTGTGTGTGGATGTGTGTTATACGTAGGTGTTGCTTATCGAGTCGTGGAAGAGCTCGCAAATAAGAATCTCATTCGCCCAGACGAATCGCCTCTTCTCATGAGAATCCTCCTCCTCAAACACAAACATGTCCAGGAGAATGCTCAGTGGTTTGGACTGAAACGAACCAACACGAGCGCTGTCAGTCTCCAGGTGGGTGGATCAATTTGCTTGGGGTGTTGATAGAAGACAACCAAGTTATCTGCAGTTGAGCCGTCTGTAGTTGTATAACCATCTTATGCATTTATTTCTACACAGAGCTTGTACGAAGATAGAGGGAAGAAAGGTGGCGGTCTCCCGTCTACGACGGACCCCTGCGTTCTGGTGAGGAGAAACAGCTCCATGATTAAGATGTCCGCCCCCGTGGACATTATCAAGTCCCCTTTGCAACGAACCGCCTCCGGGAACTACCTTAAGCCCCCCACTTCCGTAGCGGCCTCCTGTCCCACCACAACTACCCACCACGTCCCCTCATCCATGGACTCTGGCGCATTGGTGAGTCAGTTTTTATTTGGTTAGCATATTTGAAATTTGAAGCATATTTTGAAGTCTGTTTTCGGGTTTTCATGATGTCGCTCCAGAAGGACAAACGGAAGGAGAGCTGTGCCCCCTCGGAGGAGGATCTGAAGTGGGTGGGTAGGCGAGACACAATGGTGGGTTTAAAACGGCTTTGTGGAAATAGACTTGGCAGAAATAAAATGTACAAATTACTTTTGTCAACGAATTTCCAGTATCGAATCCTTCCCAATGGGGCTGCGGAGGCCACGATGATCATGGTGGGCGACTATGACGCTCTGCGTAAACCAATTTTCGTCTTTGTCAGGTTGTCAGAGCCGCAGTTCATGTTCAACATCACGGAGGTAATTAACATTAGGAAGGCAATTCTTGTACTCTTTGTATGTAGATGAATGTTGATTCATTGCAATTTCCGATATTCCTCTCGAATATCTACAGATCCCTGTTCCGGCTCGATTTTTTTCCATCCTCCTCGTCCCACCCTCGCTGGAGATGGACATCATTGAGATTGGACGAGCCTTTGGAGCTCTCATGTCCAACAAGCACTTTTATGAACTGGCCCTGCGAGCCAACGGGAGGAAGAACCTCTTGACGGGCATCAACGAGTTTTTAGACGATAGCATCGTCCTCCCTCCCGGCGACTGGGACAACCATGATCTTCTCCCGATCCATGTGCTGCAGGCCAAGAGCAAGGCCATCCGCCTGCGTCGCCTCAAGAAGCAGATTTCATTCGTACGGAATAACGACTCCTTCGTGGATGGCATCACCCTCCTTCCGCCTAAAAAGGATGACTCTGGTACATTATGACCACTATTATTAGCATAAATCTTCGTTATTGACGTGTGCATTTGAAGCATCAAATCTGTTTCTCCTTATTTCAGCCAGCAGAGGCGATGATTCAGACCCGTTCAAGCGAACTGGGAGACTATTTGGCGGGGTTGTGAACGATATTCGCAAGAGATTCCCCTATTATAAGTCAGACTTTACGGATGCTTTCAATTTCCAGTGCTTTTCGACAATCTTTTTCATGTATTTTGCGTCCATTGGATTGGTAATCACTTTTGCAGGGTTAATGGGTGAGAAGTTTGACTGGACTTCATTAGAACCTATAAATAGAAGGCTATTTAAGTTACAAGTTTTAAATATACAATAATAATTCCGTAGGCGAAAAGACACACGACTTGATCGGAATGTCGGAAACCTTAACGGCCACATCAATAGCCGGGATTTTCTATTCGCTTGTAGCTGGCCAGCCACTAATTCCAATGGGACCCACAGGAGCCCTGCTCGTGTTTGATGAGATTCTATTCAATGTAGACATTTTTAAAGCATAATTTAGTTAAATATGTAGGGGGAGATTTTGTTCAAACCTTTCTGCTCGTTTCCCAGACATGTGGACGATATGGCTTTGAGTTTCTTCCTCTTCGAGCCTGGATCAGTGCGTGGCTCATACTCATCACATTCATTGTCGTAGCTCTGGAAGGGAGCGTCCTGGTCAAATGGTTCACCAAGTTCACGCAGGACATTTTCGCTGCTCTCACCGCTCTCCTCCTCATCTTCGAGTCGGTCAACAACCTCGTCGAGATTTACGAGACCCATCCCGTGGCATCCCCGGGAGACAAGAGACCCATATTTCTCCACGTCAACACGACCAACTACTCGCTCGTGTATGATACCACATATTTATCCCATTCATGATGAGCCCTGTGCTCGCTTGTGCAAATATTTTCACGTCCTGTCAATAAATACGTCTGTCCAATAGATTTGAGGAGACGACCAGCCCGGAGGAAATGCGGGACGGGTCGGAGGAAGAAATGTCAGCCCAGCCCAACACGGCCCTCCTCTCAACCATCCTCATGCTCGGAACTTTCTTCATCGGCTACTTCCTCAAGGAGTTCCGAAACTCGGTCTTCCTAGGGGAACGGACACGTCGGGCGTTGGGAGACTTCGGGGTGCCCATTGCAATCCTTTTTATGGTATCCTCTTTAATTTCATTTTGCCCTTACAACGTGTCCTCACATTCGGTTGATTCGATCAAAACAGGTCGGCCTGGATGTTCTAGTGACGGACACGTACACGACAAAAGTTAAGGTTCCAGTCGGATTCCAACCGTCCAGCTCGGAGCGCGGCTGGTTCATCAATCCCATGGGCAGAGACAATTCATTCAGTCCTTACGTCGCTCTGGGCGCCATCGGCCCCGCCCTCCTGCTCTTCATCTTGGTGAGTGAGCTGAATTTCTTATTCTGTGTAGCAGGAAGCGGAATGACTAACAAAGCAGATAAATAATGTCCTCTTTTTGTCCACAGATCTTTATGAGCCAGCAAATTTGCGAACTGCTCATCAGCTCCAAGGAGCGTCATCTCACCAAAGGATCTGGTTTCCACTTTGATCTTCTGCTCGTCGCAATAATCAATCTTGGCGCAGGTTTCTTTGGCGCCCCGTGGCTTTGCTGTGAGTACTTTTATGCATACATTCAACTTTTGCGTGTATTCTTGTCCCAGTACAAATTGTCGACTCCTCTCCTCAACTATGTCGTGTTGTACGAAAGCTTATCTACAACTAGGCGTAACTGGCGTTGTATTGTTTTCTTCGTATGCAATTGAAGGTGCGACGGTCCGAGCGTTGGGTCACATCACAGCACTTACCGTTTACTCCAAGAACAACCCTCCGGGAGAGAAACCTACTATCGTAAAAGTTCAAGGTGAGATTATTGTCAATTAAAGGACAAAGCTAAACTTAGAGTCTGATTTACAATTGACGATGCCTTTTGTCTTGTGACGTACAGAGCAGCGAGTGACGAACCTGTCAGTGTCAATTCTCGTCGGATGCTCTGTGCTTCTAGGTCCACTCCTAGCCCTGATCCCCATGGCCGTCCTATTCGGAGTTTTCCTGTAAGTCCCAGATTGATCCACGTCTCCTCAGCTCAACCACTACGTTTTTGCACTGCATCCACACTCATAGGTTTAATTCATTACTTTTCCAGGTACATGGGGGTCACTTCGCTCGCAGCTACGCAGCTTTTTGACCGTTTCTCCCTCCTGTTCATCCCCGTCGAGTCCCACCCACAAACGAGCTACGTGCGGAACACGCCCACGTGGAAAATGCATCTCTACACGCTCATCCAAATTCTCTGCCTCGCACTCCTCTGGTTGATCAAGTCGGTCAAGGCCATCTCCATCGCCTTCCCCCTCTTCTTCATCCTCCTCGTCCCCATGAGACTCCAGCTGACCAGATTCTACTCGGAGAGCGAACTGGAAGCCGTACGTTTGCAGAGATTTCAAAGAGCGTCACCATGTCCCCTAAATTGAACTTTGCTTTGTGTTTCAGTTGGATGGGAAGCCCCCAACATAACGGCTCTGGACAGAGAAATATCGATAGTGAAGACTGATTGATAACGATAATAGCAGTAATAATAGTCGTACATAGTAAACTGTGGTGATAATAAAGATGAGTGAAAAGTCGACGACTAGCAATAGTAGCAGCAATTTAGTGCCGAGCTATGTATGTAGGTGCCTGTTACTAACTAGTTACATACAACTGCGTGTGATCATATTGTGAATATAGCAAACAAGTGAACAAATCAAGAGTAGATGCATTTGTAAAGCCTATAATTTATTTTATTTACTCGTCGGTCGTTAATGTCATTCTGTTTTGATCTTCAATCTTCACGAAATTTCAATTTATTTAAAGATCGATCTTTGGTGAAACTGTGCAATTAGATATTTTTCAAAGTTTTCTGTAACACAATTATTAAATTGCATAAGAAACTAAAGCTAAATTTTCATTTCGACCGAACCCTGCTAAAGTGAATTTACAGGATTCAACTATTTATGCATCATAATGTAGACAAACAAATTCTGAATACATAAATCGTGGGCATAGAACTCTTGGTCCGTTAAAAGAACAAAATATAATATTCTGCATGGGGGCCGGGCTAGGCTAGGCAAATGGTGCGCATAATGTCACAAATAAAGTAGGCGTGCCACCCTCTATATCATACAACCTTTTTATATTTTAAATAGCTAGAATTTCAAATCCATGCTCCAAATGTACAAGGATCCTTGGATTGCCAACTATTTTTTTAAATGGTGAGGAATGAGTTAATTTTGTAACTTTACCTCACTCACCCCTCCCTGAATAATGCTTATCTAATAATTTTAGTGAGTGAGTGAATTTTATTTCAATTTTGCAATCTATTCCCCGGTCCGAGAAGAAGCTATAAGGAAAATGCATGCTCACAAATGTCAATACCATGTTCAAGTATTGATCTTGATGTGTTGAGCGAACCATTTCGAACTTCCAACCACTGTTGATAACCAACGGCAATGTTAACACGGAGGATGGTAGGTCTTTTTATGTCATGTCATGCTATGATTAGTCAGGCAGGACCAAGCCTAAGCTACTGCGTACATATTCGCTCACGGTGTGTTGCATGCATTTCTATCGGCGCATCGTGCAAACTCGTGCTGGGCAACACCCTTCTTGCGTACCTACCTGAAAGGTCAGGGTTCAGAGAAAAGGAAAAACATTGTCCCATTCGATAATGATGATGATTATGTAAATATTATTGGCTCAGATAGATAGCAAAATGCGACGTGAATTGATAATGGTTACAACACCAATATTAGAAGTCGTCTGCTGAATAAAGATCGAAGTTCGAGTTTGACTCTCCATTGAGCTTGTATGTATAGAAACCCCTATAATTAATCAGCAGCGTCCCTGATATTGATACTTCGATTATCTCCACCTGCCTGGCAGTTGTTACTTATGGTCTGGAGTGGTGGTTATTATTTACTTGCTGGTGTATTTACCAATATTATAGAAGCATCGAGTGCCAATCGATAAGCACTGGAATTGTCGGGTTCATAAAAATTGCAACTCTTTATAAGAATTGAGGCAGCAACTCTTGGTCCATTAATTGAACTTTGTGCCCGACGTGTATCCTTAGCTGTTGACAAAAGTAATAGTTTTTATTTTTAGATTTTCTTTCTTTGAATTTTATTTTGAAACGTTCGTAGTACGAACTTGGTACGGTCAAACTGAACATGAACGACACTTTGTCATCCATCGGCATGGATCTAATCCTGCACGGGATACGAGAACTTCAGGATTTGAGGGGTACATTTTAGGAGGAATTATTTATATATTTTTTAAACTATGTCCATAAATATGTACAAATATGAATATCTTACTGCATTCATTATCATGCATACATAATTAAGCAATGCACTTGCATTTAATTTCAAAAACAGGAGTGTTGAGACGCCCCCAGATTCAGGTGACGGTGGGGCTGTTCCTCTTCGTCCTCTTGTGCCTGACCTCCTATGCGATCATGACCCTGACGAGGAAGGCACGCATGTTGAGAAAGTTCCCAGCTGCGTGGAAACTCCCCATCGTGGGGTCAATTCCACTAATGCTGGGTTCACCCGAATGTACGATTCACGAAAGATTTCCATGCATTCTTGTTACATGTAAATTACATATAAATTATGTATTTGCCGCACAGCAATGTCGTCCAGAGTTGCAATTGGAACGTGGTTGTGGGGGAGAGTTTTCACGTTTTGGTTGAGCCACATCCCGTACCTCGTCATCACTGATGCCGACGCCGTCCAAGTAAATCACTCCATTCTCACACAGCTTTTATTTTGAGTAGGAATTACTTACGACGAATAACATCTTTTACATCTTTGTACGCCTTGTAGAAAGTCCTGTCCTCCACAAAGTACATTGAGAAAGGGAAGAACTACAATCAGTTCGAATGGCTCTTGGGGAACGGACTCATCACTTCGAACGGTAGGGAAGGAGGCCGATTTTTCAAATGCCCAATAAATAAAGTGTGGTGATGTAGACAAGTTAACTATTTGGCTCACAATTGCTAAAACGCAGGGCACATGTGGAAAGAAGACCGCCGTTTGTTGAGCCCCTCTTTTAAGTATCAGCGATTTGACGGTTTCCTGACCTACTTTAACAAGCACAGCAAAATTTTGGTTGAAATTTTGGACAAAGTTTTCGTGGAGGGTAACAGTAAGAAGGACAAATCTGGGGGGAAGGAAAAGGACGTCAACCTTCATCCCTACTTGAGCAGAGCCACCATGGACTTCATTTCGGGTAATTTTCCCATGAAACGTATCCCGACATACCACTATTTCTGGGCAATCACTAAAATTTTCGGATTACAAAAAATGATATGCAACAGAATCTGCTCTGGGCCTTGATTCCAATTTCCAATCGGATATTCATGCAAAATTTCTGGAAGGAGTTCACATGTACTGCTCCCATTTTTAGTCACATTAAAACGCAGTCCCATACATAATTGTTTTTTTTCACTTTCAGGGCGCTTGCTGCTGTCAGAACGAGAGTAACCCGACCATGGCTAACTGTCCCAATTATTTGGGACATATTTGGCTTCGGAAAGGAGGAAAAAGCTGCGACGGCTGTGTTCAGCGAAATTATGAACGAAGTTAGTGATCCTACAGTTGGTATTTGGATTTGTTGGCGTAGTACGTGACTTTACTTTTTAAATCGTGGGGGATCGTTTCTTTCAGAATATCTTGAAACGAAGGGAAATCCTGTCGAACAACGATGGTATTCAATTATAGAATTTAAGAAAGCTTAAGATAAAGATAAATCGATAAACTGTGCAGCCGGAAAAATGATTCTAATCTCGACAAAATCATGTGTTTTTTCCAGGAGCCATCGCAGGAACGAAACCATTTATTGATGCTCTTCTTGATTGTAAATCCAACAAGGATATTACCGGACACATTCACACAATCTTCGGGGCTGTAAGACTCGACTACGACGAAGAACACTTGTCGCTTTTGTTAACACCTTCACTGTTATGGATATGGTATTATTGCAGGGATTTGAAACGACGGCGAGTGGGATGAACTACACCCTCTTCCTTCTCGCTCTCAACCCACACTTGCAGGCCAAAGTTCACGAAGAGCTGGACCAAGTGTTGGGGAAGACCTCTGAAGACCTCGACGTCACATTTGCGCATTTAGCCGACCTCAAGTACTTGGAAATGTGCATTAAAGAAACGCTGCGCCTCTTCCCTCCAGCCCCGGCCATACTTCGCAATGCCGTCGAAGACATTCCGTTGGGTACGATTCTTCCGTTCGAATGCACATAATTTATGGTTGCCCTCGTAGATATGTACATAAGTCATGCATTTTTGTGTGTATGTTCATCATCAGAGACTGGCCAGGTCATCCCCAAGGGCGTGGACATGCTCTTCTTCCTCCGAGATGTCCATTTAGACCCGAGACATTTTCCGAACCCCGGAAAGTTTGATCCGGACAGGTTTCTCCCTGAAGCGTGTGCCTCTCGACACCCTTACGCCTACATTCCCTTCTCTGCAGGGCCTCGAAACTGCCTCGGTAACACATGCATAAATTCTCACATAACAAAAATGACAAACTACAAACTTTTATAATAAAAACACAAAAAATGTTTGATTGGCTCAGGGTTGAAGTACGCCATGGTACAAATGAAATGTTGCTTGTCCCACATTCTCCGACATTTCAAGGTGTCAACCCAACAAAAAAGGGACGATTTGAAGATTGTTTACGGAATGGTGTTGGAAACTTCCCCTGCAATCGAGCTGACACTGACCCCGCGAGAACAATGAGAAACTGTGAAACAGGAAAACTGTGCTATAAGCAATTAAATATTTCGATAAATTAAAATGTTAGTTACAAAACCTTGGCAGAAAGTCTAGTAAATAAAAACCTACGTGCAGACTTGTTGCAGCCCGTGTCAGGCAAGTTGTGGTTATCACCCAATCCGATTTGATTGCACGAAATTTTATCGTAAATGCATATCAATATTTTTAAAATAAAAACTAATGTTTTCAATTTAAATTCACATTCTAAAATTAGTAGCAATTTGCAGCATATGTAACAACTTTCAGTTCGATACGATGATTAAAATAAATCCGCATGGGTCACACAGTAGGGTCCCTCACATGAAAATTTTTCTGATTTTAATTCATATTGTTCCATTACGAGTCATTACCAATTTCTCTACCAAATTTCAGCTCGATTTTATGAATTTGTAAAATCGGTATCGGTCGCTTAACAAGGTCTCTCCAGACAAAAATGTTTAAATTTCAATTCATATTCTGCTATTAGTTACATCCAGCAATCCCTACACCAAATTTCAGCTCGATTGGACGAGTTGTAAAAATCGGCATGGGTCACCCCCTAGGGCCCCTCCACATACAAATTTCTTGAAATTTTACTTTATATTCTTTAATTAGAAACCATTATCAACCTATGTACCAAATTTAATCTTTGTACGAAAATATTGAAATTTTGGTGCATAATACCAATACCTCACCCACCTATATGACCCCCACCGGTCAACCACTTGACCGATTTCGCCCATCGTCGAACTTAAATCCTCATTTGACCCATACTACATATGTGCAAAATTTCAAGTCGATCGGATTTGTTTTACGACAATTATCGCAAACCAGACAGACGGACGTGACGGGTACATAAGCCCTGACTCGGGCTAAAAACTCAACTTTACAAAATACAAACGCTGGTTTTTATTGTATTATTAAAGGTGTTGTGGTACTTGGGTTATCAAAGGTACCAAAACCCCGCTACAATTAACGTTCGGAAACGAAAACTGGAAATTCTTGACGCCGCGCGTTCTAGGGAAGTGGTGGCGGAGAACTAACAAGGGAACCTTAAGTACTGTCACCTCTCGATTTCCTTCCAAATAGTCTTAATCGACAGATAATTTAGTGAAACTAAAACTTTGTCATAGAACATGCGGTGCAAAATCACGTTTTCGCGAAATATTTGCGAGAGCTGCACCAAAACGTGTCATTTTCCCAATGCTTTTAATATAGCCACCAGCCTTCGAACGAACTTTATAGAATATTGATTAATTATAAACCTGTCCGTGTAATTTCAAGCCTGATCACGAGTATGCTATAAGCTGATGCAAATATTTGCCATTTGTTGCAAACTTTTTTGCAAAATTTCGCAATTTTAAATTTGGTTGTTTTTTTAATTTTGCAAAATGTGTAAGTGATAAAATTTATTTTTCAGGTTGCAAATATTTGCAATTTTTTTGCAACTTGCAGAAATGAATATGGGAAATAATTTTTAAAATTGCTTAAAATTTAAAAGGATTAGTTATTTTAAGTGTTTTCATGAAAAATTTGAACGATGTAAATTTAATGTAAATTTCAATTTTTGCAAATGTTCGTAAATTTTTCGAAATTAGTAAAATGAGTTTTTAAAAAACCTTGCAAAAAAGAGCAAATTTTGTGAGTATGACAAAATTTGAATTTGCGAAATTTTGCAAAAAAAAGTTTGCAAAAATTGGCAAACATGACATCAGTATTCGTGATCATCTTTGAAATTAAGCGCACAGGTATGTACGCACAGGTTGAACAATATTCTACATATAAACTTCATGAAAAAGCTGCTGGCTATATTAAAAGCATTGGGAAAATGCCAGGTTTTGGTGCAGCTCTCGCTAAATATTTCGCGAAAACGCGATTTTGCACCGCATGTTCTATGACAAAGTTTTAGTTTCACTAAATTATCTGTCGATTAAGGCTATTTGGAAGGAAATCGAGAGGTGACAGTACTTAAGGTTCCCTTGTTAGTTCTCCGCCACCACTTCCCTAGAACGAATCTGGTAATGATTAACAATTTTAGTCCATTTGTAAAGTACGGGAGAATTTGGGAAAGCTCATGAGTACTATGATTGATTTCGTAGTTGGCAAATCCCAAACGTACTTGCAAATGCATGTTGGGTGCTTAAAATTAAAATTGTATATTATTTTTTTCAGGTTTCAAGGTTCAACAGTTTCGAGTTACAATTTTCCTGTGATGCAAGGTCCTGAATTTTACTTAGTTACGTGTCTACATAAGGTTAGCTCATTTGATGGTAAATTTTGTGACCGAGAGCTTAGGACGAGTTTGGGATTATTTTTGGAAAAAAATTCGTTGCCACGCGAAGTTAAGGCCGTTTTCATGTAAAGACACTGATCGAACTTGATGGTAACCGTGGGCCCCTTTGCATTATTTTTCATTGATTACAATGCAAAATGCTGGGCCCCCGATATTAATTATTATTTTTAGTTGTGTGGTAACAAATCATGGAAGATTAAGCGAGAAAGCAATATGTACATATTTGCAGCCGCATTTGAGGTACTCAACAATGCTCGTTATTATTTCGGTGTTCGTTGCAATTTTGAGTATTACATATATATATTGTATATTTATAATTTGACAGATTATAATTCGTACATATATACAATACAACTCAGATTTTATTTTTCTACAGCATCATAACTTTACACTGGAATAATACATACATCCATGAAAATGTACACAACACAAAAAAATTGTAACTCACTGAAACCTGAAAAAAACAATACGCAATATTAATATTAGTTTAATTCGCCTAACATGCTTTTATAAGTAGGGTTGGGATTGCAAACTACGAAATCAATCATAGTACTCATGTGCCTTCCCAAGTTATGCCGTACTTATAGATGATCTAAAATTGTGAGTCATTACCAGATTAGAAGAAATAAATGTATATGCATAACCTGACCAAAAACTGCCTTAATGATAATCCTCCGATTAAGGTTTTCCGGCGTTAATAATTTCCAGTTTTCTTTTCCGAACGTTAATTGTTGTTGGGTTTTGGTACCTCTGATAACCCAAGTACCACAGCACCTTTTAACAATATAATAAAAATAGACATCTACCATTTACCAGTTGTGCTTTTTTACATATAATAATTTTAACTTACTGTGCAAATATGTGCACAACATCCCAATGTCCGAGCGCCTTGTTTGCATTTACAGTAGAAACCAATTATTGCGTCAGCACCTTTAACCTCTGGGTCGGAAGAATATTCGATCCATAGATCGTGGGCTTTATTGGCTGTAAACCTTGATTCAATCTTGGCTCGCACGATGTTTGGAAATTCTGAATTCAGTTTAATTTCAAAGATTGGAGAATTTTTCATGTGCAGATTAGCGTATCTCTTGGCCAATCCAATCTGATACACTCCAAGGGTTATGTCTTCCAGATCGTCAACGTTAAGCTTCGGGAATTTTGGAAATTCTTTCAGAGAGGCCGTCTTCCATTCCTTAGTCCGGCGATCCATCTTCTCGTCCTCCACTCGCTTTTGTAGTAAATTCTCCCGGTCAGCAAGTTCCAATGCTCGTTCGGCTATCTTATCATGCTTGGGTGAGTGGGTGGAGAGAGGAGGGCAGAAACAGTTAATAAGGGCGCAACCAATTCTGAACAACATGGGCAGCTTCTCAAGGTATCCTGCAATTAATCGCACAGTATAATAACTTTAAAACTTGCACCAACATACATTGACATTGGTACGCATAAATTATTATATAGACTTACCTCCTGGAACCGTCTCTCGAAATAATTTGAACTTTTTCTTGATTCTTCCATTTACTGCCTCCACCAACCATCTAACCAACGTGACCCGTCTTGACTCATTTCCTTGCGAAGTGGTGAATTGTTTATCATCGGTGTCTAGTAGTTCTGGCATATGTGTGAGGTGTCCAAGGCGAAGAAGAGTCTGAATCACGTCTCTGAATCAGGTGGCAGCTCCGACAGGATGGATTTTAAGATCCCAGCGTCGTTATTCGCACCTGCAATTAAAAATTACGGATTATTTGACAATTATGTAACTTGCAACGGATTATGCATTTTGCTACATCTTCATCCAGCTTTGCCGCTAAAATACACTTACCATTTGCATAATAAGGACCACACGCAGCCAAGATATACCCTGACGGAAGAACTATCATAAATGGTTTGATTAAATTGCGTTTTTTCTGCCCAGAATAAGTTAGTTTCTGCAGGTGAAAGTCGGCCGGCTTTTCAATATAAATATAGGTTCCATCCATGATAAGAAACAGCTTAGTTGGGTCTTCTTCTTTAAATAGCTTCGAGTATATTGGACGAGAGTGGTCACGAAGGGCTGCTTCACAGGACAAGTGTTCAAAACCGAGGTATTTCTTGACAAAATGGTTGTCCAGCGCTGTAGCGACTGCATCAATGGTCTCACTCACGCATGATTGATTGGGGATTCCAAAAAGACTGCCCAGCACTTTCTGCACACAAGAGTATTTCAGCATTAAGTATTCATTCTAATGAATTTTGCGGTAAGAATAAATCTTAAATATTAATACCTGAGCCAAATTGTGGCGAAGCAGCATAAGGAAGATGGCCAACGCATTTCGGACACTTCGGTTGACACTGTTATGTACATGGCCTGATATTTCTGCTAGCAGCGAGTTAAACTGAATTTTAGAGAATCCGACAAGATTTGGGTAGTCGTCCTTGTCCACGTCAGTTTGATCGTCGAAATTATAACGACGTCTTCTAGCACCTAACTTGTTTCTGTTGCTGCTGAGATCCAAAATCCACTGTGCAAGTTCTTCATCCGACATCAGAACACCATGTTTTGTAGGTATAATCAACTGCATTGCGTCATCTGTGAAAAGTTTTCCCTCAAGGTGAATATTGCAGCAGCGATTGTCATGAGGGATATATATTTCCTTCTCTGTCTATGCTTGATGAATGGCGCACTTTGGAATCCTTTTTCTGCCGTTGGGGTCATGACAAATAAAGCACCGCTTCTGCGTGGATCCAACGGAGCTGATCATTGGTAAGCGCCGTGATTTACTTGATTGAGTGCTGGACATCGATACTTGGGAGTTGAATGGGTCGCAGGAAAGAGACGAAACGATTGACGCTTGAGAGTGACTTCGGGCGGTCATCGTCACTGTTGTGCCTTGAGTGCTCCATTCTGACTGGATCTCACTTCTGCCACTTATTGAAATAGCCATGGAGTTTTCATGACGGGATGTAGTATCAAATCCACCTGGTAGTTAAATATACTATCATAGTATTGTAGCATTATGATTATAGTATTTAATCTGCTATACTCACTATTAAAATGGACTTCGTCAAGCTCCATGTCCAATAATCCATACTCGAAGCGGTCAATCTCTTGCTGAGCATCGTCAACTTTACCCTCATGAGCATGGTCGTCGTCAGCCCAACAAAAATAGTCGTCGTCACCTCCACGAGCATAATTTTCCTCACGACCACGGTCTCCATCATCGCCACGACCACTATCTTCCTCAGCGCCACCAGCACCGTCTTCATCACCACTACGATGATCTTCCTCCTCAGCGCCATGAGCATCGTCTTCGCCACCGCCACGACGATCTTCCTCCTCAGCGCCATGAGCATCGTTTTCGCCACCGCCACGACGATCTTCCTCCTCAGCGCCACTACGATCTTCCTCCTCAGCGCCATGACAATCTTTCTCCTCAGCGCCACGACGATCTTCCTCCTCAGCGCCACGAGCATCATTGTCTTCTCTTCTCATATTTAATCTTGTTCGGCTCGGTAGAATGACACCCTCTCCCCTTACTTTAGGTTTTGACCTCCGGAATTGTTTCGTCCCTTCATCCTTCAATTGAGAGCGAATCTGCAGAATAAGAAGCAATTAAATACATATTACTAGACTAAATTAAATATTTTTCGTACCTTGATGTGGCATGCTTCGCATATGACCTCGGTTTTGTGTGCTTCCTCCTCATCATGGTACAGTCGACAATACAAGGGCCAGAGTGCAGACGCTCCCAGTCGATGCCGTTTCTGGTTCGACTTAATCCGTCTGTGACAGTCGTCCAAAAAACAAATAGTGTGCGGCATGATTGATAAAAGCAGCTGGATTTATTATCAAGCTCGATCGGGTTATTTTTTGGTATTTTCAAATAATAATAAATAATAATGCAGCAATATGAAAATATGACTCCATTTAGTTACCTCTAACAACGATGCACAGCGCAATAAATTAAAATGCATGAGATAAGTATGGCAAAAGTGGTGGTGGTTTACCCTAAAATAAGTGATGACTGCAAAATGTCCCATTTTTTGTTTAAAGTTAAATTCAGTCTTCAGAATATGTAGAAAATTTTAAAACACATTTCAGAAATGGGACATTTTGCAGATATCATTTATTTTGGCTGTAAAGTTGTTCATGAAATTCGATCAGTGTCTTTATAAAATAATGATTTAGATTGTCATCGCCGGTAGTGACCACGATTAATTTACACCGCTTTCATGGCTCGGTGCCATAGAAAAGGCGTCAATTTTATAAATATTTTATAAATTTACATGAAAACGGCCTTAACTTCGCGTGGCAACGAATTTTTTTCCAAAAATAATCCCAAACTCGTCCCAAGCTCTCGGTCACAAAATTTACCATCAAATGAGCTAACCTTATGTAGACACGTAACTAAGTAAAATTCAGGACCTTGCTGTGATGTATGAATTTCCATAAACATGTGTATACTATCCGTGTGTATAATATCTGTGTTGTATGTACAAATTATATTGTATAAAATTATAAATATGCTCCTTAATATTCCAAAGTAAACGAAAAATCCCTTATGAAATTAAGTTAACATCGACTTTTTACATTGTTAAGTATCCCGCTTCAAATAACTGCAAACATGTGCGTATTACTCCCTCGCTTAATATTTCCAAATGTGCATCACTTGTTACCACACAACTAAAAATAATTATTAATATCTTATCTAAGGGGGGGCCCAGCATTTTGCATTATAATAAACCGTAGTAACTTTAGAAGTAGCTCACCCTGTCATAATGATTTGTATATAACTTTCCACCAAAGGTACGGAATAAGCGGACAAAATAGATAATAACTCTCCTAGATTCTTGCACCAATTGTGCAATATAACCGGAAACATAATTTTGAAAACTTTGAAAAAATTGTCTGGTTCTTTCTCCCGACATTCTGAATCATTGGTGCGTAGGGCCTCCCTTCCCCAATTATTTATTATAAAATTTATATATTTTAGCGTCAATGGTGCAGAATAATCGAACAAATAGAACAGCATTCTGACATGATTTTTGGTGGGAAATAGATGGCCCAATTGTTACGCATCATTGATTTTTGGGGGGAAATAGATGACCCAATTGTTACGCATCATTGATTTTTGGGGGGAAGTAGATGACCCAATTGTTACGCATCATTTTTAATAACCAATTGCTCGGTACTAAAGGTGCTACTTATTCCAAAATTGTAGTCATTTCTTGATCAATTTGCACAATTAATTCGCACCATTTGCGCCACGGCTTGTTCGATACCAATGGTGCTCCTCAGACCGGTAATAATGGAGCAGGGACTTATTAATTCGCATCAATTGATGCAAAAAACTGGTCAACAGACAGACGGACGGACGGACGGACAAGAGGAATTCAATAGCTCTCATGCTACGCAGGGTGAGCTAATAAATGAAAAACAATGCAAAGAGGCCCACGGTTACCATCAAGTTCGATCAGTGTCTTTCAGCTCGATATGAGGATTTCAAAAAAATCGGCATGGATCACCCAATAAGGTCCCCCAGATGAAATTATTTTCTTATTTTACTTCATATTGCATTAGGAGCTATTACCAACTTGTCTATCAAATTTCAGCTCGATTTGACGAATTTGAAAAATTGGTATGGGTCACCCCATAGGGTCTGTCCAGGTTTTCACACCTGTCGAATTTCAATTCATATTCTTCTATTGGTAGTCATTAACAACCTATGTACCAAATTTCAGCTCGATTGGATGAGTTTTAAAAATCTGTATGGGTCACCCCCTATGGTCCCTCCAGATGAAAATTTTTGCAATTTTACCTTATATTCCTTCATTAGAAACCATTATCAACCTCTGCACCAAATTTCAGCTTTCTACGGCAATTTTGAAATTTTGATGCATAATACCCCGCCCACCTATATGACCCCCACCGGTCAACCACTTGACCGATTTCGCCCATCTTCGAACTTAACTCCTTATTTGACCCATACTACATTTGTGAAAAATCTCAAGTCGCTCGGATTAGTTTTACGGCAGTTATCGCAAACCAGACAGACGCACATGACGGGTACATAAGCCCTGACTCGGGCTAAAAAGTGGAGTTTCGCCAAAAAACTCAAAACTTGGAAACTACTGTTGATTCAAAATTAATATGCAGTAAAAATTCTGTAAGGTTATTTGGCGGATGATTGGTTTCCATTGATTGGTTTTGTTTATATTCTCAAAATTTCACATGATTTTCATTCAAAACGTAGAAAAAATGTGCATAATTAAATCGTTGTCAGTGTCAACCAGCAATTTCGGCCATTTTACCTTTTAAAAAATTTCGAGGAATTTACTGCATATTAATTTTGAACGAACAGTAGTTGAAATATGACCTATGGCTTTTAAATATGGCTTTTACAGAAAATCATGGAAATTCAATTGGTTGCTACCAGATGTAGTTATGAATTCAACATCGTACTCAACGGAAATTTTAATCGAGATAAATAAAGTTAAAAGAGGTTAAACACCAGAATAGCACAAAATCTCTGTCTGACGCAGGAAACTTTGGCCACACAAATGACCTTTCAACTGTAGAGATCAGATTAGCACTGAAAAGTGACCCTAAGATCAAGGTGTTTTAGATTAGAAAGCGTTACATGCTACAGATTTCCCAGGCCTAAGCAAGTGTCAAAAAATCGACATCCTTCCCCAAACGATACGGTGAAATACGGTGAAGAAAAAAAAATAACCCGTTTACCGATGATCATTTCTTTACGACAGAAACATATTTCAACAAAAAAACTAACACATTTTATGTCAAATATTCTAAGGGTTAGCTGATTACAAAATAGGGATCAAAATGTCATCTTATAAACTTCTGACTCGGGAATGATACAGTTTGTCAATTAATTACGGACGTATTCCTAAAAACTAACCTAATATAGTCGTCTGCTCTACTATCACTTTTTTAGCCCGAGTCAGGGCTTATGGAACCGTCATGTCCGTCCGTCCGTCTGTCTGTCTGTCTGTCTGCCTGTCTGTCCGGCACGATAGAGCCAAAACGGCTGAACCGATTGACTTGAAATTTTTACCATATGCATATTGGACAAAGTTAGGAAACGAGTTCGAAGATGGGCGAAATCGGTCCAGTGGTTGACCCGTGGGGGTCATCGGAGTGGGTGGGGTATTATGCACCAAAATTTCAAAATTGTTTTAGAGAGCTTAAATTTGGTACAGAGGTTGCTAATGACTCCCAATAGATAAAAATGACTTCAAGTTGGAAAAATTTTCATCTTGAGTGACCCTATGGGGTGACCCATACCGATTTTTCAAAACCATCATATCGAACTGAAATTTGGTGGAGAGGTTGCTTATGGGTTTTAATGAAAGAATATGGTATGATATTGGTAAAATTTTTATCTGGAGCGACCCTATGCGGTGACCCATGCCGATTTTTAGAAATTGCTTTAAAAGATGAAATCCGGCACAATGATACTTGATGGCTTCTAATTAAAGTATATAAAGTTAAAAGTGAGCAAAGTGCAACCAGAGTGACCCTGTGGGGTGACCAATACTGATTTTTCAATCGAGCTGAAATTTGATATGGAGGCTGAAAACCACTGCTGGATAGCACATACATACGGCTTAGAACTTCAGGATGTTAAAGAAGCCCACTGGTCATGGTGGTCAAGGCACATGATTTGTAACTTATTCAAAAATGTGGTACCAACTAATAGAAACTATCTAACAAACTTTTAACCATCCACAACACGGAAGTTGGTGATATTATGTCGGTCAATTCGGAAAAAAAATTAGAAGCGGGCTCTGACTTATTGAGTCAGGGACTATGTCCCTGACTCGGGCGGAGTTTTTAAAAGCTCGAAAAAGCTCCTCCCTTTTACCACTGCAAGGGTGTGTGGTCCAAAAACTGGTGACTTTTTTTATCGTCGTTCGTATCGCCCTCCCCCTGAGGGCTGTGGGGGTGGTTTGAATGTGAAACTCGTTTAATAAGGTATTGTGAATTTTGTAGTTCAAAAATACGTGAAAAAAACGATAAAAAAAGTCACGTTTTTGGACCACACCCCCTTGCAGTGGTAAAAGGGAGGAGCTTTTTCGAGCTTTTAAAAACTCCCAGTGCTCTTGTGGAAGACATCTACGAGAACGGAATTTGTAAAATATTTCCGAGAGCCGAGGTAATTTTTTTTAAAATCACACTTTAATTTGTTTTAGCATGTGAAATGATAGGGATGACATTTGGTTTTTGATTTTTCCTGAAAAATTTATAGCGAACGGAACGGGAATTAATGTTATATTACGATGTCGCATATGTTGGTGCATGTGCATGCCAAATTTCGCATCTCTAGGACAAAGTTTAAAATTTCACATAAATCCGTGCAAAAGTGTATCCGAGCGTGTGCACGCTCCTCCCTGCCAAGAAAACAGGACTTTTTAGACCCGGAGGATCGAGCCAGAACCCCTGTAAAATTCACTTTTCGTCACGTTGTGACGATATTTGTGACGAGCGCATGACCATCGGGTTGCCAGCGGGAGAGGTCGGCCGCTGAACGATCAGGTCGACCACAGAGAAGCGTCGTCGTCTTCACGTCTTCAGAGATTTCGAATTTTTTCAAATTTTGGAACCATTCTGAAATTTTGAAGAAATTTCAAAATTTTGAAAAAGTTTTGAGATTTTGAAGAAATTTTGAAATTTTCAAACAATTTTGAAATTTTGAAAAAATTAGAGGTAAGTTATTTGAAATTTGAAATCTCTGAAGACAACGTGTGTTCGATCTGATCGACACACCTCTAATTTTTTCAAAATTTCTTCAAAATTTCAAAGTTTTTCAAAATTTCAGAATGTTTTCAAATTTCTTCAAAATTTCAAAATGGTTCCAAAATTTGAAAGAATTCGAAATCTCTGAAGTTGACGACGACGCTTCTCTGTGGTCGACCTGATCGTTCAGCGGCCGACCTCTCCCGCTGGCAACCCGATGGTCATACGCTCGTCACAAATATCATCACAACGTGACGAAAAGTGAATTTTACACGGAAATTCCGTCAGTTTGTCTAACAAGTCATGTATTGTGGTCATTTTGGTATAGGTGTCGACCCTTAACTCGTTGGGCACCTCGGTATGTTCCCTTGTGAGATCTAATATAATGGACCATTATTAATGGAATATACTTCCGACAGCGGTGATTCAAAAATTCTGCAATCTAATTTTATTTCTTAGTTGAGATTGCACTGCCTCACTAAGATTTCCAATTTTTTTTGGACCTTGTTTATTAAGTTGAGACTATGTAAAATCTCGTAAAATCAGTCAAATAATAAATTCGTTGTTCCACTGATTTTAAGAGATTTTATATATCGATTAGTTTTTTGAGAATTTATTGTTCGGCTGATTTTACGAGATTTTATGTATTGATTCGTTTTTTGAGAATTTATTATTTGACTAATTTTGCGTAAATAAACAGTAACTGTTATGTTGCACTACGACGCAAAACGGGGTATCCATTTTGGTTAAATTTGCAAGAAGAAAGTGAAAATGGGTAGGGTAAGATATAATGGGGGGCAGATCATCTCGGGTAGCATATAATGGGTAGCATTTCATGGGTAGCAGATCATCACGGGTAGCATATAATGGGTAGCAGATCATCACGGGTAGCATATAATGGGTAGCATATAATGGGTAGCAGATCATCACGGGTAGCATATAATGGGTAGCATTTCATGGGTAGCAGATCATCACGGGTAGCATATAATGGGTAGCATTTCATGGGTAGAAGATCATCACGGGTAGCATATAATGGGTAGCATTTCATGGGTAGCAGATCATCACGGGTAGCATATAATGGGTAGCATTTCATGGGTAGCAGATCATCACGGGTAGCATATAATGGGTAGCATTTCATGGGTAGCAGATCATCACGGGTAGCATATAATGGGTAGTATTTCATGGGTAGCAGATCATCACGGGTAGCATATAATGGGTAGCATTTCATGGGTAGCTTTTAATGGGGGGCAAAGATCCGCAAATAGCCAATACTATATTCAAGTGTTGATGTGTTGAGCGAACCATTTCGAACATCCAACCACTGTTGATAACCAACGGCAATGCTAACACAGAGGATGGCACGTCTTTTTATGTCATGTCATGCTATGATGAGTCAGGCAGGACCAAGCCTAAAGCTACTGCGTACATACTTATTCGCTCACACGGTGCGTAGCATGCATTTCTATCGGCGCATCGTGCAAACTCGTGCTGGGCAACACCCTTCTTGCGTACCTACCTGAAAGGTCAGGGTTCAGAGAAAAGGAAAAACATTGTCCCATTCGATAATGATGATGATTATGTAAATATTATTGGCTCAGATAGATAGCAAAATGCGACGTGAATTGATAATGGTTACAACACCAATATTAGAAGTCGTCTGCTGAATAAAGATCGAAGTTCGAGTTTGACTCTCCATTGAGCTTGTATGTATAGAAACCCCTATAATTAATCAGCAGCGTCCCTGATATTGATACTTCGATTATCTCCACCTGCCTGGCAGTTGTTACTTATGGTCTGGAGTGGTGGTTATTATTTACTTGCTGGTGTATTTACCAATATTATAGAAGCATCGAGTGCCAATCGATAAGCACTGGAATTGTCGGGTTCATAAAAATTGCAACTCTTTATAAGAATTGAGGCAGCAACTCTTGGTCCATTAATTGAACTTTGTGCCCGACGTGTATCCTTAGCTGTTGACAAAAGTAATAGTTTTTATTTTTAGATTTTCTTTCTTTGAATTTTATTTTGAAACGTTCGTAGTACGAACTTGGTACGGTCAAACTGAACATGAACGACACTTTGTCATCCATCGGCATGGATCTAATCCTGCACGGGATACGAGAACTTCAGGATTTGAGGGGTACATTTTAGGAGGAATTATTTATATATTTTTTAAACTATGTCCATAAATATGTACAAATATGAATATCTTACTGCATTCATTATCATGCATACATAATTAAGCAATGCACTTGCATTTAATTTCAAAAACAGGAGTGTTGAGACGCCCCCAGATTCAGGTGACGGTGGGGCTGTTCCTCTTCGTCCTCTTGTGCCTGACCTCCTATGCGATCATGACCCTGACGAGGAAGGCACGCATGTTGAGAAAGTTCCCAGCTGCGTGGAAACTCCCCATCGTGGGGTCAATTCCACTAATGCTGGGTTCACCCGAATGTACGATTCACGAAAGATTTCCATGCATTCTTGTTACATGTAAATTACATATAAATTATGTATTTGCCGCACAGCAATGTCGTCCAGAGTTGCAATTGGAACGTGGTTGTGGGGGAGAGTTTTCACGTTTTGGTTGAGCCACATCCCGTACCTCGTCATCACTGATGCCGACGCCGTCCAAGTAAATCACTCCATTCTCACACAGCTTTTATTTTGAGTAGGAATTACTTACGACGAATAACATCTTTTACATCTTTGTACGCCTTGTAGAAAGTCCTGTCCTCCACAAAGTACATTGAGAAAGGGAAGAACTACAATCAGTTCGAATGGCTCTTGGGGAACGGACTCATCACTTCGAACGGTAGGGAAGGAGGCCGATTTTTCAAATGCCCAATAAATAAAGTGTGGTGATGTAGACAAGTTAACTATTTGGCTCACAATTGCTAAAACGCAGGGCACATGTGGAAAGAAGACCGCCGTTTGTTGAGCCCCTCTTTTAAGTATCAGCGATTTGACGGTTTCCTGACCTACTTTAACAAGCACAGCAAAATTTTGGTTGAAATTTTGGACAAAGTTTTCGTGGAGGGTAACAGTAAGAAGGACAAATCTGGGGGGAAGGAAAAGGACGTCAACCTTCATCCCTACTTGAGCAGAGCCACCATGGACTTCATTTCGGGTAATTTTCCCATGAAACGTATCCCGACATACCACTATTTCTGGGCAATCACTAAAATTTTCGGATTACAAAAAATGATATGCAACAGAATCTGCTCTGGGCCTTGATTCCAATTTCCAATCGGATATTCATGCAAAATTTCTGGAAGGAGTTCACATGTACTGCTCCCATTTTTAGTCACATTAAAACGCAGTCCCATACATAATTGTTTTTTTTCACTTTCAGGGCGCTTGCTGCTGTCAGAACGAGAGTAACCCGACCATGGCTAACTGTCCCAATTATTTGGGACATATTTGGCTTCGGAAAGGAGGAAAAAGCTGCGACGGCTGTGTTCAGCGAAATTATGAACGAAGTTAGTGATCCTACAGTTGGTATTTGGATTTGTTGGCGTAGTACGTGACTTTACTTTTTAAATCGTGGGGGATCGTTTCTTTCAGAATATCTTGAAACGAAGGGAAATCCTGTCGAACAACGATGGTATTCAATTATAGAATTTAAGAAAGCTTAAGATAAAGATAAATCGATAAACTGTGCAGCCGGAAAAATGATTCTAATCTCGACAAAATCATGTGTTTTTTCCAGGAGCCATCGCAGGAACGAAACCATTTATTGATGCTCTTCTTGATTGTAAATCCAACAAGGATATTACCGGACACATTCACACAATCTTCGGGGCTGTAAGACTCGACTACGACGAAGAACACTTGTCGCTTTTGTTAACACCTTCACTGTTATGGATATGGTATTATTGCAGGGATTTGAAACGACGGCGAGTGGGATGAACTACACCCTCTTCCTTCTCGCTCTCAACCCACACTTGCAGGCCAAAGTTCACGAAGAGCTGGACCAAGTGTTGGGGAAGACCTCTGAAGACCTCGACGTCACATTTGCGCATTTAGCCGACCTCAAGTACTTGGAAATGTGCATTAAAGAAACGCTGCGCCTCTTCCCTCCAGCCCCGGCCATACTTCGCAATGCCGTCGAAGACATTCCGTTGGGTACGATTCTTCCGTTCGAATGCACATAATTTATGGTTGCCCTCGTAGATATGTACATAAGTCATGCATTTTTGTGTGTATGTTCATCATCAGAGACTGGCCAGGTCATCCCCAAGGGCGTGGACATGCTCTTCTTCCTCCGAGATGTCCATTTAGACCCGAGACATTTTCCGAACCCCGGAAAGTTTGATCCGGACAGGTTTCTCCCTGAAGCGTGTGCCTCTCGACACCCTTACGCCTACATTCCCTTCTCTGCAGGGCCTCGAAACTGCCTCGGTAACACATGCATAAATTCTCACATAACAAAAATGACAAACTACAAACTTTTATAATAAAAACACAAAAAATGTTTGATTGGCTCAGGGTTGAAGTACGCCATGGTACAAATGAAATGTTGCTTGTCCCACATTCTCCGACATTTCAAGGTGTCAACCCAACAAAAAAGGGACGATTTGAAGATTGTTTACGGAATGGTGTTGGAAACTTCCCCTGCAATCGAGCTGACACTGACCCCGCGAGAACAATGAGAAACTGTGAAACAGGAAAACTGTGCTATAAGCAATTAAATATTTCGATAAATTAAAATGTTAGTTACAAAACTTTGGCAGAAATTCTAGTAATTAAAAATCCATTGCATTCACACTGTTCTCACTTTATTTATTTATTCATTTATGCACAGTTCATCGGAATTTGCTTTTGGATCTACTTTTTTTAATGCGTTTTTTACTTTTACTGGCTCTACTTTTGCTCCTTGCGGAGAGCGTACTGCTCCTTCGCCTGGACGAGGAAGTAGCAAGTGACAACACCAAGGAAGCTGCAGAAAGAAACACAAAACCTACATATTATTTGTAGAAGCGTGCCTGGCCAAACTTGCAGTGATTTCGTATGCACATATTTATATTGATATGCATATAAAGTAGGTCTCAATTAATACCCATTGATTCCGTTGCTACTTTGTCATCAGACCGTTTCAGAACGACCAGAGTTTTCCCATCCGAGTAATACCAGTAGTTTGGGTGGTCATTCCGAAGGTTGCTGAAATCTGAACATGCAAAATGAGATGACAATTTATTGATGCATCGATAAGAAATAATACTGTGCATGCTCATACGTGCGTGTGTACTGTGTACGCATACTTACCCACAATTCCCCTCGTGTTATCAGGTGGCAGAAATATGCTCCTGTTGGCAGCTGAAACCACACATTGTGAAATCGACGAGTTTAATTTAAAAAATGCTCACTTGGCGAGCTTACACTTTGTCTGCAAATAATCCCATCCTTGAGAATGCGGTGTGTGTTTGAAGAGACTGTCCTCCGTCTCATGTGCTCCCCCCAGGGACGCAGCCTCTCCCTCCTCGTCCAACGACAAGTCACGCACAACAAACTTGTTGGAGGATTTCGTCATGGGCCTCCCCCTCTCGTGGATGAGGACGACGGGGACCTGGAACTTGGCCTTCCTCCTTCCCCAGCTCAAGTGTGGGACGTGGATGTCAGACTCCTTTCTTCGATCCACATTCCCCGTCCCCGTGTGACCCCCAAAAACTTGCAGCATTTTATTTTCGTCGAGAAGCTGACTCGACTCGGTTGGGGAATTGCTGCCGGAGCTTCTCCGTGTGTCCGCAGTGCTTCTGGTGGGCACATTGAGGGAAAATGCACCTGGATGAAATGCTTGGCCTGAAGGATGGTACAAAATGTCGGATGGTTCATTGAACAGGGCGTCCTTCTTCTCTTGTTCTCGGTCTCGACGCATGAGCTCCACCACGGTCACCTCTTCATAGTTGAAGGTGAACTCGTGTGGGGGGTCGTCGTCAGGGAGGGGCGGTTTTCTGCGCAGGGTGGGCGTGATCCATCGCCACTTGTCTTTCCGAAGGTTTGCCACGTAGTCGTCTTCCAGCACCACGATGCAGGTTTTATCCGCTTCGATGAAATGGTAAAATTCATCGTTGATATTTTGGAGGAGGGAGATGCGGTTGCTGGGTCGGAGGAGGGTGGACAGCTCCGTCTTCCACAAGCGTTGTTTCAGCGTGAAAATCGCAAGTTCGAAAATCTGCTGGTTGAGACTATCCGCCTTGAAGTGACGGTCCAGGTGGTTTCTCGTCGTGTGCACGATGGGCGGTTTGGGAGTGGGCAGCCGTTTGGTGACAAAGTGATCGTCGTGGGGAAGGATGATGACGCGGAAGCCGACCATGAAGGGTTCTTCCTCCTTCCGAGCAATCCTCACCTACGTCCAAATATTTAGTGAGAACTTTACTCTAATGTCGCAAGATCACCTTATATCTAACTCCACTTGCGCCAATAGAAATGGTTGGTCCGTATAAATGTCCGTAGAAATGTGGCATATGAATCCTCACTAACTCACCGTGATGAAGTGCTCTTGAGGCGGCCCGTCAAATCGCTGAATTATTTCTCGTTCTTTTCGAAATCTCCACTCACGCAACTTTTTTAACTCGTCCAACGTGCTTTCGTACGGAAGATCTAAACAAATTCAGAGCGTGTAAAATACGGGTAACCTTTAAGGTACCACAAGAGGTTGAATATTTCAATTTTTTATGGACTTAGCAACATGATTTTTTAGAGAACATGAGTCAAGACATGAAGTACAGCTCTGCATAGAAACAAGGGCATTGGGGTATTTTTAAGAGCTCCCCGAGATGGAGGGGGAGGACTTTGAGGTCATAATGGTTGTTATTTGGAGTCACTATATATTTCTGCAGGGTGTATAATCGGTTTGTGGGCTCATTTGTGTCGGGTAATGAGATGTGAACCATTTTTGTCCTCAGAAACATAAAATAATAGGGAGGGGCAAGTGTAGAAATACTATTTCGAAAAGTATGGAGGACAATATGGAAATGAGACCCATTATGCTCCCCATGTAAAACTATTTCGCACGATATGGGAATCGTCGCACATTTGTGCTCCGGATGGTTTTGACGCTAGGACGTTTTAAAAAAATTTCATCACTTTATACTATTTTGGCTATAAATACTTAAGTATAAGCAACAGCAGAAGGGGGCATTTACCAAAATTTAGAGCAGTATATTTTGTACAAAATTTCTATTTGAACCAAATTTCTACCTACCATAATTTCTGAGAAAATTACAATCAAAGTGAGTGGTATAATTCCTTGCCAACTCTCTTGTGGTACCTTAATTTGTAGGCATTCACTATCAAGTCGGGGGGTATTTTATCTTTCACCTATTCCACGTCGAATTCGAGTTGAAAATTCCAGTCTGACTTCTTGGTCACTTTTCTTTGGCTTTCCCACGACTCTTCGGTACACGGAGGTGTTTCCAGACTCCATGGTTGACGTGGAGTGGACAAGGTTGTCCAACTCGGATGTACTCTCCACGGCAGAAAGCTCCGCGTTGTCTGAAGATTGAGAATCGTCCTCATCTTCTGACGACAAGGATTCGCTCTGCGATGAGGTCCCAGAGTAGAGACTCGTGTTGTCAATTAAGTAGTCGAGGAGGAAGACTTGCTGGTCGACTTGTTCCTTCCCAAGCATTCGCTCCTGTGTCCCATTCCCCAAGTCCAACACGCTGCTCTGGTGAATGAGTCGTCGCAGGAAGGACAGCTCGCTACTCGCCGTCTGCAGCTCCTTGTGTCGAAGCACAACCCTTGTGGCATTGACGATGGACTTGAGTGGTAAATTGGCCAACTGACAATGAGTACATGGTGTGCATGTAATTGCTTATTTTACTTTGTAGGCAGAGATGCGTGTAAAGTATGTGGAAATAAAAATATAGCGCCGGCTCACAATTTTATCAAGCAGGGTGATCCATTTGACTCGAACCTTGAGAGATCTGTGTATACAACCACGACGGAATGAAATGTTGTTAGTTTATCCTGGTCTTTTATATTGTTCAGTTGTTGTTTGCGGTTAATCTATGGGTTTCATTCAGTTACATGGAGATGAAAATGGGGCCAGCTATTAGGTTAAGTTAGGTTAATAGCTGGCCTAATAACATTATTGGTGAAAGGCCCAATACTAATTTAAGCCGTAGCGATCACTACCTAAAATCACTAAAAACAACATTTGGTGCGGCCATAGAAGTAATAGAATATTATTTATCGGTATATTATTCCAGTGGAATCTGTGCCTTGCAGCAGAAGCTGGAAAGCCAAGCGTTTCCGTGACCTTGCGGCACCCATACCTTGCTGAAATTTTCGAATCTACGCAAGTGTCGCACCAAATGTTGTTTCTCAAGCAAGAGTTGATCTTTCAAAGGAAGGTGGTCAAAAAAATAATATGGGCTGAACATGTTCGCGTCCCCATTGTTCGTTCGTAGCAACCAGGAGTACTTAATAGACATCTCAGCGTATCGTAAATAGAATGTCGCAAGTGTGTGCTGTATACCTGTACCACGTGCGCAACTTGTCCCGCAATTCGACGTGAGCCCAGTATGCCTCCTTCAGGTCCCGTTGAACCAACCGGTGCTCCAGCTCTCCATGTTGATAGATGCTGAAAATGGATCTGTGGGAACATGACCTCTTTTTATGGAGACAACGACAAGTCACGCTGGCCATTACTTTGTGTTCTTCTTACAAGTGTGGGGCAGCTGCGGTGTGCACTGCCGAAACTGCCGCACGACGTCCAAGCCATCGTGCCTGCGTGTTCCAAAACAATTTGACGCCTTTGCGCTTTTCCGCAATTTTGCTAGTTTCATTGATGGGCACAACTTTCTGCAAGAGGTTTGTGCGCACACAATCGTGTTGTAAAATTGTCAGATCCTTATCAGAACTGATATTTCGAAGGACTCGAAGTTGATTACGTTTTTGCTGCTGTGGAATCCCCAATATCCAAATACGACAAGAATGAGGATGGGAATGGCATTCAGGACAAATCCAATCCAAAATGTTGAGGGGCTAAGGGCTTGTACGCCGTGGACGGAACGTTTATACCGCGGTGGATTGAAGAACCAGGATACGGCGATTACGAAGTATGCAATCTGAAATAATGGTCAGACTTAAAACCACCAATTATTATTGGGAGTGACTCCGTACGTATAGCACTCACCCCAATGGCATAAGGTGCATAGTAGCGCATCTGAACTTGAAAGGTGAACGACATCGGAGTGTCCAGCATGATCTCAATGTCCGTCATAAACTCGCGAAACCCGCAGAGGACGAAGGCGATCCCCATTTCCACCGCGAGGATGACGCAGGCAGCCCCACTGCCTCCAAACAAGTCGTACGAGTCATTCTCGGCGAAATCTGCCTATGACACATGCACACACAACGAATAAATGTGGACTCTACTTGAGCCGAGATTTGCAGAAAGTGCAAAAAAATTGGCCAACTGGATACTACATAAATATGGGCACGTACGTGAATAATGTACACGGAAACCACGACAAGTTGCAGACTGATTCCAACGGCCACACTTGTTAGTTTGAGAAGCTTTGGATTTTTAATTGGGATCCAATGTCTCAGATACGACACTCCCATTTGTGCTGACACGATCTGTACATTTGAGCAGTCAAAGAGAAAGTCCACGCAAAAACCAAATGTACATGCGCTGGCTCACCAGTGGCCAAACGTTGATGAGTGTTATCCAAGCGAACGTTGACGCAAGTATCCAAGCCGGTCCGATTTTCAACAGAGCCCCAGACAGACAAACAAACGATACGCCAAAACCTGCATAATTTAGGATTAGGATTGAGTACTGCACGATTTTCATATTCAATCCCACTAGCAGATCACCTCCTGCAATTATGTGAATGTATTCTTGTGTGTTCATGATCCTGCCCAAGATTCCCAACTCTGTGAACACAACCAGAGCGCTGAGGAGGCAGAAAGCCATGACAGCGATGGACATCAACCAGGACAACCTCTTCAACTTGTGATACTTGAAATCATTTCGTCCCGAGACTCGAACCAATCCACCAAATCCGACCCCAACCGTCGTGATTGCTGAAATTCGTTAAGTCTCATAACGAATCATTTCTTGCAGAAATTTCTTAAAAACTCACCCATCTCAAATGCGTCGCACCAAAACTGCAAGTTCAACGTAATTAGTTCGATACGAACTTCATAAAGTAGATAAGAATTGGAATGTAAATGGAGTCGAAGGTTGGATTAGATTACCACCAATGTTGACATCCGTTCCCACTTAAACTTAGAAAAATAGGCCGGGATTTGTCTCCCTCCACGAAAGAAGTACTGGTGACAGAGGACAAAAGTTAGGAGAATGGGGAGGAAGCAAGCCAATTGGATCCACAGCTAATTTAGACATAAAAAAATTAATATGTAATTTTAATCATGCAAAAACGGCATTAAGAGAAATCATGTCAAGTTAAGGAGGTTTACCCGTGAGACTGCGGAGGCGAGATATGTTTGAATTGAGGATGGGACGATGCAGACGAGAATGACAAAGAAGGCGAGGACAAATCTCCAGTGAAAAGGGTCCTTGAAGGTCTTGGACTTCCAGTTGTAAATGTAAAACCTGTGGCAAGGATTTCTTTAAATTCTGGTCAATTTGACTGGGCTGGGGTAAGAAGTATGCGCTTGAATGAAGAGCTCTTGCCTGAAGAACATCTCGGTGGACAAGTAGACGTTGGCATTGTAGAGCGTTTCCCTGTCCGTGGTGAAGTGCTGCTCCAACCAAGCGCTGCGTTTGGTCAGAACCACCTTGGAGCTCCAGCTCTCCACGACGGAGTAAGGGACACATCGGCTGAGGTTCCCCCACACGGCGTCGCACTCCCCAGGGCTCGACAGCAAGGCACCCACTGCGTACAAGCCCGTGTAGCCAGCCATCGTGCTTTGCAGCGTAATGAACGTCATGTTCACAAAGAGAATGGCGTACGAAAATCCTACGATCGAGTTATCCGTTTATTAAAAGTATAAGGAGGCTCTACGACAAATCTGCCAGCCTCTAAGGAACTTCAAACTAGGTGTATTTCGTACCTCTGGCACACTTGTGGAGGTGCGAGAATCCCCACTCCCCCTTGAAACTGAACTGCCCAATGAGCATTTCGAACAGCACGAGGGGCTGGATCAAGGTCACAATCAGGAGACAGTAGACGAAGAAGAAGACGACTGAAAACAATACCAGCAAATTGGGCACAAGCTATTTTCTCGAATAACATCCTGAGTATTATTACTGCCTCCATTTATGTAGCACGCTTGTGGGAACCGGATCAGGTTTGCTGCACTAAAAACCGTCGCCAGAATCGTCAATTGAGTTTCATTCTTGTTTGACGCCCAAGTTTGGTCCGAGTGATGTTTCGAGTCATCAGCGTATTCATCAATTTGCTTCAAAAAATATTCGACATCAGACATGTACATTTAGATTATTATACGTGAGTGCATGTTATGAAGAATAGTATTCTGAAGCCCGCTAGATCACAACCTCTGCGTCAAAATCGTAACGGTCATCTTTCCGGAGACCGAACATAAATTGTCGTCGTCGTGCCTGCTTCTTCCTCTCGTTGTCGTAGTCCGAGGCGTAGAGAGGAATTCCCACGTCTCGCACCAAGGCCCGGTTCGAAAAGGCCTTGTCTAATTGAGAGAGTGAGAGAAATTACTGGTAAACATGGCCTTGTTTCCTTTCCACCCAACTCACTGACAGCACGTCGAGTGACTGGTACATATGTAAATAAGATCTCACACTCAATGCTGTACGAGGCCCCTTCTGCCAGAGCCATGGCTTCAATTTTTTTCCTGAGGGCGACGTAGGGGTGGTCCTGCTCCATCCGGTTCGACCTCCGTGCCACGAGCAGGTCCTCCATCTTCCTAGCGTACTCCTCCCTCTTCAGACGAAGTTCTCTCATCAGGTCGGACGCCCCGATGGCGGACCTCACCTTGGCCATCATGCCCTGCACCTTGTACCGCGACGCTAGCTCCCCGACGTCATCCAGCCTCTCGCGAAGTAGAGCGACGGAGCTGTAGGATTCGATCGACGTCAGCGAGTCCAGCGACTCCCTTTTCACCCCCTCTTCTCGGCGAACCACCTTCTTCTTCATCTTCTTGACAAAGGTTCCGAGTTGCTTCAAAATGTTGCGTCGTCCTTTCTTCGCTGGTTGATTTGTCGTTTGGTGGTGTTCTCCGGAGAGGGCACGACGTCGGTGGGGCAGACTTGGTCGTTGTTGGGGCCGATCGACCCCACTCCGACCTCGCCGTTTCTCATTGTTGGGCCGAGGGGAGGGAAAGCTAGAGTTTGATGGCGAATTGGACGAGGGAGGGGTGGGCGGGTTGGAACTTTCGGAACTTCTGGAAGATCTGCTCCTCGGACTACTCCTGCCGGGATCGTCGCCATCAGACAAGCTGCCCTCATCCTTTGGCGCTCCTCGTTTCATCTTCTTTTCTATTTTGCACGATAACTAGTCAGGAAACGTGGGTCTGATTAACTGGGGATTGAAATTTGAACCAAGAGCGCATTAATTTAATTTTTATAAGAATAAGTTAATTAAGCCCCTGTTGCTTAGAGAGAGGTGAGAATTTGAAACTGTGAAATTCATGCCAATAGCGGAGGATTATTTGGCACGTTATCATTTTGTGGGACAGTGCGCCATAGGAACGGTGTCAATTAATCGTGGCGAATCGATGTATTTCGGGTTCCAACCTTCAGCAGGCTGAGCAGGTCCTGAACGGAAGGTAGTTATGAGCAACTCTTGGTTTCCTCTCTCGCCATCGCGCCACAAATATTCTCGTCGTCGTCGTTCACGATTCGCAACCCGTTTTGTCACTTTTCTGCCGCCTATTCTCGCCTTCTGGGAAATGTCAGCAGGTAAACTTGCACTGGTCTCAGGATTCGGGTCCAATTTCTCCGTTTCGTCCACAATGAAGAGCTTCTTCTCGCGGAACAGAACTTCTGAGGGTGGAAGGCGAAACGTTGTGGCTGGTGGGATGGGGGACGAACAAGCCCAGGGTGCCAATGGTACGGACAAATCATATTTTTACCCCGCACTCAAGTTCCCCAGATTTGCAAATTCATTCTTTGTAGACATTGGACCCACTCAGGATGACGGTCGCCCACTGGACGGCCGCTCGTGCGAGTTTGAGAAGTCGGACGAGGACACCCACGCTTGTGAGGTCTACATTGAGGACGAGAAGGTTTTCGGTGAATACAATAGAGCATATTAAATTATATTAAAGATATTAAATTCCCATACGTGTGAATAATTTTATTTGTAATCCTTGGTCATATATATGTATTATCTATGACTCGAATAATAGACCAGAATGGCAATCCAATCTTCAGTGAGAATGTGATGGGACCGTGGCTGAGGGTGCCACATGAACTTGGGTTCTCCAAAGATGACACTGCGAAAGTGTACATTGCGAAAATCCAGCTGAAGAATATTTCACCCCTGATGATTAGCTACAAGGTAAGCGATAAGGTTGACGTTAGACCAACCTGACCTTAACCAACTGTGGTGACATTGTGACGAAGGTGGTTTCCACCCTTCGAAATACCTTCCACTTGACTCCGAGCCAAGGAATGCTGCCTCCCAAACAGTCGGGCGAAGTTCTCGTCACCTCCGTGAGGTTGGAGGATCCCTTCGACAAACTCATGAGCGCCTCCTTCATCGTATTTGCCACGCCCATTGTCTTTGACAGCCAGACATCCGACTTTCGAATCAAAATATTGTGGAAGGTATGAAATAAATGCCAAATATATAGCTGTGAAAGGGCAAGATTGCAAATGTGGTGTCGTCGTAACTGCTCACTCATCCAGGCCTACGGATCGTCCTTGTTTCCCTTGGAGGCTGCCGAGAGTCACCTCATCCACCGCATAGTTCCCGAGCACGACGCCTACGTGGACGGATTCTCCATCATGGAGAAAGCATTCATTGGAAACTATGTCATGCCGCAGCAGCAGATTAAAGGCTTTCTGGCCAAAGGTGGCAACGTCGGATTTTCCAACAGGAATTTCATCAGGAGTTGGTTGCCCAAAGACGTGGGTCCAGGTCATGCGAGTTTTGTGGTACATGCAGCAATCAATGACAAGCCACATCCTCTCTCATTTTTTAACCAGCTTAATTTAACGGGTTCTCCTCAGAAGGATCGCCTTCGACACATGGCTGCGTCCGTGATGGAAATGCAGTCAGATCTGAGCGGTGCTGTGGCGTACACGAGATTCTCGCTCGTCGCCACTCTTGGAATTGGTCTTTGGCTCTTCGTTCTCAGGTACACGAGCTGGATTAAAGATTTCGGTGCCAACGGGGCGCAGCTGGTAATGGACGAGCTCAAAAAACCGGACTCGGGGTTCTGGGGTTTGCTCTGATAAGTTCTCTAAAATGTTCACTCAATAATCTAAATTTTGATAATGGCTATTTATTATGCATGAGAGATAAATGATCTGTGTACGCAAATTATGAGTGGAAATAAAATGAAGCACAATGTACTCATCTATGTCAGAACTTGATTTAATTTCTCTTTTGAAGTGAGAACTCATTACTGAGGGTCGTCGCAGTACGTCATGGTGGGTAAAGAGATGCACATTCATGAGGTTTCTAGAAAATTAGATGAGTGGAATGTAAGCTATGTACATACACAAGTACACATATATTATATAAACACTATCATTTTTAACCCTTTTTCTGTAAAAATGTCAAGTTGTTGAAAATTAAAGCTAGGCCGTCAAACACAACTGTATTGTCAGTAACTCATTAACCAATAAAAAAAATCGTGCGTATGCACACATAAGATGAACTCTTGTAAAATATTATTTACAAACTCAACCTCGTGAGGTGTCAGGAATCTGTACCTACATAATTTTCAGACCAGCTCAGAAACCGATTATCATTCACATATGTAGATTAACTCTGAATATTCAAAAATTCGACCACTAGAAAAACAGTAGAAATAACAAATAAAATAATTTTCTTGAAAGATGAAGATTTGAAGTTTCTGTAATTTTCAAATTCAACAGAAGCTTGTAGAAGGAGTTTTGGTTGTTGGTATTTTTTGTTCTTGAATCACATTAGAAATCAGTAGACCCACGTGACGGGAACCCATTGATGATCCGTGGAAAGCGAGTCCAGACTTTGAGCAACTCGTCGGAACGTAGTGTCGAAATCTTCATTGACGACTACCAAGTCATAGTATGGAGCGTATAGCTGCTGAAGACGCTGACTTTCTTCCACCGAGTTGCGAGCATCGTCGTCCTACGTGACACGTTAATTCATAATGTGAACTCACGCATCCAGATTAAAAACATAAGTCAGCCCAGCTTACTTCATAAAGTGAAGCGATGGACTCCAAAGTCCTGGCACGCCTCGAGCTGTATCGTATGGAACTCATCCTGTCAAACTGGAGAACACAAGGAAATAAGTTCAGGTAAATAAATTGCAGGGGCGACAACTTTGGAAAGGAGTAAATCATGATCTCACATTAAGCGTTCGAGACGAGTAGCCGTGCTGACGGTTGAAGGCATCCTGCTGCTGAATATCGCCACCCCCTCGGGCAGCCAGAAAGACAACGTACGGCATAAACTCTGGAGAATTGTGTAGAATCTTCAGAACTAGTGAATAAATACAAAATATTCGTGAGACCATGTTGTGGCACACAAGTTAATTGCAGATGTATGTTCATAAGTACTGGAAGTATTCGTTAATAATAAATGCACAAGTCTCACCCGTCGGATTGCAGTCAATGATGCACATTTTCCCCTGTCTGAAAATTTTAGAAAATATATTTTAAAAGCTCGAGTAAGGAGAAGAATTTCAAAAAAAACTGTAATGCAGACTTCGTTTAGCCCGAGTCAGGGCTAGCGTCCTATTTTAAATTTTTGAACCGACGACTCCACGACTCTTGCCAAATTTAATGAAAAATTTAACGACGCCATACTACTCACTATCAGTGTTTTTAGAAAAATTTCAAAAACAGCGATCCAGCAGGGTTACCCTGTTGGGTCCCTCTGGCGAATTAAAATAAATTTGATTGTATTCTTTGATCCTATGTGCATTTGCACCAAATTTTGTGTTTCTAGGATAACTTCTCACATGCCGCCCACCGGTCAACCACTGGACCGGTACGCATGTTTAAATCAGTTGAGTGGTTCCGTCCGCCAGCGAGTCACAGAGAGACAGACGGAATCACGATTCCATAAGCCGTAACTCGGGCTAGAAATGCCCTTGGACATACCGTATGATCTCCCGAACACTGTCAGCATTGATTCCATACAGATTTCCATCCTTTTCTGCAAACTCGAGATATTTATTGGTTCGAATTCCTTCCTCAAATTCCTCCCTGGACAAAAAGTTGTAGGTTCCCATTTGTTCCTCGCCCTCTCGCGGTGGTCTCGACGTGGCTGGAGTTAAAGTGTCACCAGTTTAATAGAGTCGTTCCTCCACACACGCTTTACGCAAGAATTTTAATGATACTCTGCTCCAACTTTTACTACTGATACGCAACACGCGTGCTACATATGCAGATATTTCTACTCGCAGTCTCAACTACACAAAGTTGGGCAGAAAAAAGTGCTGTAAAAGAACTAACTCGGTAAGACTGCTCCAAATCGGTGGGGATCCCAGTTAACCAACCGATTTTTCAGCGTTCTCCTTGCAACGCCAGAGGTTCCAACGATTACCAAAGTTTTCCTCCTGAAGGGCGGCATTCTCGTGACCTCCTCGTACAGCATCAACTACTCACAAAATGTTTACAGTATGCAATAAGCAACAACGACAATAAATACCTTGCCACCACTTAAAATATTCCATATCAAACTGTCCTCATCTTACCTCAGCACGATCAAATTCAGCATTTTGCTTGGCAGTGTAGGCCTGCAAGTATGAGTGAATTATTCATTCATGATTATTCATTCAAGTAATTAGTAATTACTAATTACCCAAGCACTTACAATATTTTTCTTCTTTCGGGCCACTCTAGTCCCACAAATCCCTGTAAATAAAACCATCCTTAATTTAATTCACCAAAAACAAGATAAATTTGCGCTACAGGGATTTAGTTTGTTTACGTAGCTAATCGGACAAATGAACAACAGATCACTGCGTATTCGTACAAAAAATTGGTCGAATTGAGAAGAACTTTGTAGTTTGTGGTAAGCAAAGCTACGGAGGATATGCTGTAGAAAACAGACAAAATTTCACGAACCTATGGTGTGCGAGATATCGGCCTCCGGAGGAACAAACGCTGCACGACGCTCTTCCAACTCCCGTGATGGGATCAGGCCAACGACGTTTTCACCCACCTGAAAAATAATGTCACCACTTACACACAAAATGCAAAGTTTGTACCACAAGTCATCCATAGTGCATACGCCAGGAAGATCACACGCTCTCACTTTCCTCAGAATTTGAGATCCACGTATTTCTAACTGATGAATCTCATGTAATATTACCTTCTTTGACTGCCACCAATTCGGATCTGACTGGTCCACGATCTGGAGAATGTCCCCGGTTTGAAATCCAAGTCCAATCTCTTTGCATCTACAGTGGTAAAACAAAATGCAATATTTAGCTTCATTTTGCGTACAGGTGACGTGACCAGATAAACGTTTTAAAGTACTTGGATTTAAAACGTGCGTGGTATTTAAATATTGATAAATGCGTATGAACTTACGGTTGCAGTGTGTCCAGGGCAGGATTGTACGTGAATAAGGCTCTCATGAAGCACTGTTTAAAAAATAGAGGAAATTACTTTTTACTTTGTTTCAAACATCCAGAACGGTGCACTAAAAATACAAAAGTGAATGTGGCATTCATTAAACGTTAATACACTGGAGTTTCTGTTGTAGCAAAAACAAATGAGAAAATTCTTTCAATCCTGCAATTTACGTGTGTGTGTGATGTTGTTGGATTGAAGGAAGTGAGTTCTAAACCTCTGCGTGGGTTACGACTGCGGGGTGTTGCTTGTTAAAGTTTCAAAATATTTAGTGTCGCGAGACAAAAATATGTCCCACCACGCGAGGAGTGACAGTGCTCGCAGATACAACAACTTACAAAACAAAATTCACTAAAAAAAAGCTCTAAAGAACTTAAAAATAAGGGCGACGATGATGGTTGTGAGAAATGTGTGGTACACAAAAGGAGATACTTATTGGCTGGCAGTGATTATGCTGATGAATTGTGATAAAAGGCACGCACGAGACGATGACAATCAACAAAATCTGGACCTCGATCGACTTACAATTGTTTTTTGACCTTGTAAAAATGTGGTTGTGGACGAAGTAACGAGCTTTCTCTTTGGCTTTTCGACTTTTAGCTGATAAATTGTATCGCAACTTGTAGATCTTTTAGCCCTATTTTTGGCCAGTACCTGTCTTCCACTAAGAACTGTCTTGTCCTGAGTTGGGGACCCCACTTTAAGCTGGAGGTTATCACGAGCTTTGGCAATTTCCGCTTGTAGTCCTTCTGGGGATATGACTGGCTTGGAATTCACTTCGAGAATCACGTCACCAAGTTTTAGCAGTCCCTGAAAAGCAATTCCAAAGCATTTGAGAGTTGGACACATTTAATTAACGAGCCTCGCATACTGTTCAGAGTGGAACATTAATCTGAGAAAATGGAAATAAACACAAGTAACAGAGCCACTTGAACGAAACAAAACATGTTCCAACAACGAACAAAGTATGCAAGTATTTAAATAGCACAAGAAAGTGTAAACGTTCAATTTTCAGTACAAAACTCAGACGGATAAGAACTCACCAAGCGATCAATCAAGCCTCCACCTATTCAGTCACAATAAATAATTAGTAACGATTCATAGAGGATTGAGATGTGGATAGATCTTACTTAGAATTCGGGCTACGACGAGGTTTTTTGTATCCTTGTCTTCCTCCACCGTCACTCCCTACGTAGAAGAACAATACAATGAACAGAACTATGTATGTAAGTACTTGCATGGCCGTATGGATGGATGGATGGATGGTTATGGTGAAAGGTGTAAAGTTTACTTGCTCTCGAGTAAATAATAATGTACTAATGTTCTTCGAAACTCATGGATTCATGGAAGGAATTGGGAAGCTCAATAAAAAGAGAAAGGGGAAATTGCAACCGGAGAAAGCTCTGCATCTCTCAATTAATTATCTGTACAAACAGTGCATTAAAACTCACCAAAGGTTGGCTCGGAGACTTTCGCAGGCTGATGATTCTAATTGGTTGAGCATACTGGACGTTGCTGTCCTCACTGTCCACGCTCATGTTGGACTTGTCCTTGGTGGGCTTGAGAATGGACCCAGCCGGTCGGATTTCTTCCCACGGGGCTGCTTCGGTTAGGCTGCGACTTGTCCCTTCCTGTGGACCCAACTTGTCCGCTATTTTGTCGTGAGCTTCAAGCAGCGCCTGCAACCAGAATCATTGGATGGAATCAATTCTGCTGTTTGGCAACATTTTCTTATGAATCCTTGTGCAGTGATGGGGCAATGTCTCATTAGTGTCAACACCCATCATGGAATTCATAGGGAACCCGTGATAATAATTGCGAATAAAATCTACGTAAAATTTGAGACAAGCCAGTCACACTCTAAAAATCTCTCCCACTCTGAAAATATGTTGCAGAATAGATTGTCTGTTTTGGAAATGCTGTGAATGAATTTTGTCGGAGACGAGAGACATAAAAGTGGATTCACCATCATCCATGAACAAAGTTTACGGCTTGGGTGCCAATTCTGTCAACGTATTTTTACGAGACAAATATTACAAGCTGACCTGGAAAGGAGTCTCGTAAATCATTTCGCCAATTTACGATGTGCACCGTTGCTCCCTGTCTGTCTGCCAGACGACATCTCCCACATTTTCATGTCATTCGAGGGCAACATCTTCAGCTTTGTACCAAAATCTACATGTACACTACTCAACCACATCTTGGTCATATTTGGTGGAAAATGGATTGATGCGGTACGACCAGAGAATCTTGGTGACTTTGTTATGCATTTAGTGAGGGAGTCGACTAATGACGTGAACCTGGCTAGGTTTAAGTAAGTACGAGTGTTATTTAGTTCGTAAATCACTCACTTTGAAATTTCTGTCTCTGAGAATATCGGAGAGTTCTTTGGCTTCTTGGCGGAAGGAGCGATCGTATCTCTGACAAATTTCTTGCGTCAATGGGACATTTCCACTGCCAACTGGGGCGAGATCCTCCTCCAGTTGGTCCTGCACCTAAACAAACACAAGGAAATAATTAATAAACACACACACCTCAACGAATATCCGTCTACACTCTGCCCCCGAGGTGGTGCAAATAGTCGGTCCGTCACAAACAAATCAAATACGTAATACCACAAATCAGCGTACGCATAAATTGTACCATTAGAGCGAAGGTGAATCAAATACGATGAAATATCCAAACCCAGAAAATGAGTATCAATCTACAACAGTGATCGTAGGGGTCAATAGTACCACGAAACTGAAGAACGGGACACAAGTACAAGTGCCAATGTTTTGCTTATAAAAATTATTGTTGATGTTCCATCAGTATTGTGGAATCCAAAACAAACTTATTTAAATACATGGTGAATCAACCCTTCGGATTTTATGTACGTGTTGTTGGTACCACAGCAGTTGTGCTATAATTTGCCATTAACGTTATTATGCGTGAGGCTGTGATTTCAGATTTCTCAAATTTCACAACCCTCCTTCGTTATTACCTGGTATTTATTGTGGATAGTGTTTTTTACCCAGCCTCCTCCGATATCGCAGCAACTTTCCAAACTAAAAAAGCATCAACAGCAAGCAGTGCACTGCACACACCTTATTCCTCCCATCCCATTGCATCGCGTAACATAATCGTAATGCTGATGAGTGAGTCTACTTGTCTACAATGGGCCACCTAATAATACGTAACACAATGCCTATATGCATGCATGTACATGTGAGGGAGGGAGGCATGTTACAGGTAGGTGAGAGCCGCCATGGATGGACAAACCCCATCCTTCTCTGAAACTGAGAGTCTTAACGACACAACAATGGGCACAATTCTGTTGAGGGCGAGGAGGGGACAACTCTTTTTTAGCATGAACTTTTTAACGCGATCCGTTATTACGTAAGGTTGGTTCCTGGGCTCAAATTTTCCATCAACAATCCTATCCATCCATGCACCTGTTACTCTCCAACAGCCTCCAGTAACATAATGCTGGCTCAAAATACATTTATATTTCTAATCCCGTGTGTGGACTGTGGAGTTGTTGTGGAGGGGATGCGATCTCTCAACTCTACTAAAATCTCCCTCTGGCTGTTTTAACTGCGAAAATTTTCGAGTGGATAATTTATATTAATGTACAATTACGTATGTGGCATTAACTTATACACATGCATGAATCCATATATGAGTGATCTGGTATATGGATGTGCTATTCCATGGCATGAATCGAAGAGTAGAAATTGATTTGGATCTGCCCGGTGGTATCTGTTGATTGATGTTCTGCTTTCTCTTAATGTTTTGCCAAAAAGACGTCTTAGCTTCATTGGATTCGTTAGGAGGGGATCAGGTGCAGCGTGAAGCTATCGTTTCCCATGGACCACGAGAAGCGAGAACCTTGTTTCGAGTAAAACAATGCAGTCTTTGTCTATTTACGAACCACAATTACCCACTTTGATTTGCAACAACAAGGATGTTGCGCCTGCAGGAAGGATAGGAAACCCGGGTGCATAATGGCAGAAGTGGGGATGAGAGGAAGGCATACACAAAATACTGACGGCCCAAGTGTCGGAGGAATAAAACCAGTCAAAGGATCCAAAAATAAACATTTGGGAACAAGGAAAGTGGTTGAAGATCATACATAAATGGTGCATTCAGAAATCCCATGTTTGTCCTGCTCACAAGGAACGAATGTTTCCTCAACTGTCATCGCAGTGCCATTCTGATTCTGCTTTTTGTTCAGAGTGAAGATGTGATTCGATGCACTCGAGGGCTGCAAAGTGTTTGCATGTGAAACAGAATCGCATGAAACGAGGTGAATTACATAGCTGCAGAGATACCAAATTATTGAGACAGACAATAGCGACCGACCGTCCGTCTTACTGTCAGAGATGTATTTTCGCCAAGCTAATTCGTCTTGTGGGAGATTTATAGCGTTTAAAGCGCTTCTTGAGTTTATATAAATTTGACTCAGGGCTAAAAATAAAAGAATGTCCACCTTTTTGAAGCCATGATGCCACGGTGAGGAAGTGAGCTCGGGAAGACTAGATCGTGCTTTGTTCCTTTCCTTAGTATTATAATTCTGTACAAAACTAGAGCCGATTCCCATCACATAAGTTACACACACATAAACACACACAATTTCACAAAAGGAATGTTATAGAGCCTTTGTATTTATGTAGTAAGAGATGGCGCAAATAAAATGCTTTAAAAGTTTGATAGTATTTAGATTCAAATATTCAGAAGGCTTCCACTCGTGCAGATATTCCATGAATTAGTGGCCTGCCATGCGGTTACACTACTGCTCAATTCTGTCTCTTTGACGAAAATGGATGGCTCTGCTACTAACTCGAGTTTGGCATTCCAAAGATGAATGTTCACACTCCTGTCAAGCACACTGACGCACAAACGTAGCAAAGTAGCCCGATTTCTAAAATTGTGAACTATGCTATTATCGACGCGTATTATTATGATTTCCCCAAACCCCGATTAGGCAGAAATATCGTGTAACAATGCCTCTGTTGAAATGATCCATTCTCGTTATTAAACCCTTCCTCACTTCACCAGAGATCCTCCGCCAGCAGACTGCCCCTCAAACTGCCATGCAAATCGATTCATACAGCACCGATTAACTATTCAACGATGCGTTTGGCGTTCTTCGCATCGATGTAAAGAGCTTGGAACGAGGCGATCCACTTACTCAAATGTGCAGGTTTGCTTTCACTATCATTAGTCAGCAGGAGCCACGTACACATGCATGGCTCTTGTTATCATAGGTGCATGCCATGGTCAGCCAACACGTTGGAGAAAGCGGAGAGGTTGCTAGGAAGTGAGGGCAGGCTGCTTTTCGACAACAAACTCGTCGTCGTGGGCTGCATGAGAATAATTGGACACGATGCTTGCCTCCTTTCTCTCCATGCTACACAACGGCTAAAAAGTATTATTAGTCACATGCTCACCTTAACTTTTATCTCGCCTAAAGAGCACCTTAACTCTGATAAAGTTTTATTCTTTAACCGCTCTCCTTATTCGCTGCGTTTCTTCACATTTCGCGTGTGATCATGGGAAACCTTATTCGCCTCCCAAACATTATTCGTACACAGTAATGACGGGATGGCATGTTTGTGCATGGTCGAGAGGAACAATGGGCGCTTACCTTAACTAAATTGGAAACAATGGGCGACTCGATAAGCGACTTGAGGAAAATGAGATCTGTGTTTTGCTGGTTGAGCGACGCGATGTGATTCCGCACGGTCTCGAAGGCAGCTGAAACAATAAACATAATAAGTTGTCGCATGTTAGATAATCAGGCGAAAAGGAGGTTCTCCGAAATATGAGGCTTCTCTTATCAGATTAAGATTGCACGACACGCGAGACGCTGAGTGACATCAACTTGAACTCAGGACGTTTGAGCAAATACATAAATACTTAATTAAATAATCTGTACCATCTTCTCCCATTCGAGATTTTGCTGAACAAATACTATAATCTTGTCAGAGGGTTTTCACAACGACATAATTCGGACATAAATGAATGTCCATAAGTAATTTTAAAACTCTGGTTTGTTCGAAATTCGTACGCGGATACATATTTACATAAAAGCTGAAAGAGCGTAGGCGAAAAATGGAGAAAGAACAACCAAGCACCATTCCTGAGAACGTTGTCTGGCTGGTGACATAATCAACTGAAATACTACGGAGAATAACAATTACTCGAAATATCTCGACTGTCAGAAAATCCATTATTATAGATACAACTTGACTCCTAACTGGATTTGGGTTGAAATCTTTTGTTCCTTATTTCGTCCCTGAACAATGGAACGACCCGTTTTTTTTTGCTTTTTCTCAGCTTTTTGGCAATGGCATACCGATAGCTTTTGCCTCACTCCATTTCCATTATTTCTGCCCTCGTTGGCTCCTTCCTCCCTCTTCCTCGGCCAATATATTTATTTTTCCCATTTCTTATGAAGAATAAAATGGGATTTCTCATCTCTGGAATCTCGACTATTTTTCTCATCCAGAAAACCAGGATTGTTGTCCTTTCGGGGCTTTGGTTGAGATCACACGAGTGCGGATAAAAGTCGGAGTGCGTATAAAAGATGGGATTGCAAAAAGCTGTGACATGGAAAAGGCGTTTTAAACTTTTAAAGTGACTCGCGAGCAAAGTGAGAGATTTAAAGGCTTGGAGTGGCGTGGAGCGGGGATTGGAAAAATAAGGTTTATAAGGTTAAGGATCATTAACTCTAATCAGATCTGGCAAAGATGGAATTCCGTCGTTTTCTCCAATTCTCAGCAGATGCATCCTCATCAAGTATTCGGCTGGATTTTGGAGGAACAAGCACGAGGTTGCAGACAAAATTGCAAAACGGCAATCCGGGCTTCACGGTTTGTTTGCAGCTGTCTCGTCTTTCATAGCTACACGGAAGTTTAGCTGTAAAATGGGGGTAAAGTTGACCCTTATCTCTTGTGCTAATTTATCACGTGGCGTTAACTCCACAGATATTACCCAGCAGATTGTGATGCCTGCTTCTCCGTTGTCACACAGAAGCTCACGTATGCAAATGCATGGTGGGGGAAGTGACAATGGATAAGATTCGTGCATGAATATTTATGTGAGTTGCGTGGTTGGTTGGTGAATCCGAACACTCGGTGGTGGTAGCTCTGGTTGCAGCACAATATAACATTTTCCTGTTGGTGATGTCGATTTTTTGGAAGCTATTAAACACAAAGTAAAAGTACAGTGCAGACTTCAGTTAGCCCAAGTCAGGGCCAGAGAGTCCTATTTCAAATTTGAGTCCGATGACCTAATGATTATTATTACCAAATTGTAATGCACGACGCGGGTTATGTCCGTCTTAGAGCTTTCTCGGCACAAGTTTCCATACATATTTAGTATTCTTAACCATCACCAATCGTCAAATCGCCCCCCACTGGTCAATCGCAAGACCGATTTCGCCCATCTTCGAACTCGTTTCCTAGCTTTGTCCAATACGCATATGGTAAAAGTTTCATGTCAATCGGTTCAGTCGTTTTGACTCTATCGTGTTCACAGACAGACGGAGGGCTATGACAGTTCCATAAGGCTTGACTCGGGCTAAAAAGACGACATGGTTGTAGCAACCAAATGGGGCAAGTATCCGTTACACTTCACCCAATTCCCAGTTCAGAAGTGAAGCCATGTCACGTCATTCATATTTCTTGTTTAGTTGTTGAAAGATGTGCAGTCGGACAGTATGTTGATGTTGATGACGATGATGATGAGGAACATTGGTTTATTTTTAGAAGCAAATTCTTTATGCAACTAGACTTTTGTACTCTTCGTCCGTCACCACACATACAAATCTGCATGGACATGTGCGAATGGGCCTCTAGGACCACGACTCGAATACTTCCAACATGTTTCGTCTTTGAAATTTGAGCATAACTTGAAAATAAAATCTGTAAATATGGAGGACGAGAAGTTGTGTGAATATGTGGAACAAAGTTGGATAATAATTTGCATCGTCACGTCCGCTTGCATCCAAAACGTAATTTCTGCTCGCTCAAAGTCATTTACGATATAGCACCGGAAGCATGACGATGACAAGTTTGGGAAGAAAATTGGCAACCCAAAGTGATAAGCAAATGGATTAATAAATAAACGAGCTTTGTTCAACTATTATAGAGACTCGTCAACTTTAGAAAGCTTTTGACCTGTGGCTACGTATTCGCACTAACTACAGCACAGAACTTGTGCGACAAGGTTATATACATACACGTGGTAAAAGAAGCCCTTGACCCTTTAATTTGGGTGGCTACAGAACAGTGAGCCTCCTTCCCACTCCGATAAAGGTATATGCACGACCTCAACAAAGGTCCTCATTGTTGTGCCTGATACTCTCGCTTGCAGGAGTGGTGGTAAGTAATCCATCATCGGTCTATGAAAAACTGGAGTGGGCACAAAAAGAGGGAGGCATATCGACCCCACGGACAAGTTTCGTACACGTGTAGCTACTCACAACAATAAACAAACCAAAGTCGTGTTTCCAGCTCATCGCCGTTCATTTTCATTGTCGAGTACATGAATGCGAGAAGTCTCTGTAAAGTGGTATTTTGGGAATTGCACACGTTTAGTACGTTCAGTTGGAAAAACAACCAACCCTGCAATTTGAGATTGTCATTTGCAACTAGGCGTTTACTGGAAGAGGTTCTAAAACAGTTTAAAAGGGTTTAAATGTCTAGAACTATTTGGAATTGACTCGAAGCAGAAGCGCTGTGAGAGTGCAGAAGTGAGTCAATGAACAAATTATCAGCCCATTCCGATTACTTTGGACAGTTTTGCACCTTCATCAAATTTATTGGATTTGTATTTGGAAATCAGCCAGACAGCCGTGAAGGCAGCTTTTTGCCCCCACTTGACTTCAACGCTACACACGTATGCATATGTAGTTGTACATATATATTAGTTGCATGACACATAAATACGTAGTTGTTGTAGATAGTTTAGTTTGTCTTGCAAAAGCGATATGAACTTATTCGCCGATGCCTTGAATGGGAAAATTAGAGGTTTACCATTGTCTTGCTCCACATCCAACGCTTTCTGTTTCCCGTTCAAATCCATTTCGAAGGACTCGAGGAGAGCACGTCTGTCTTTTCGGGAACTTCCAAAAACCATCGTCTTGTAACAAACCAAAAACACGTTGAGCACCGGTCAGGGCTTCAGCTCTTCCGTATCACCAGTTGAGTAACTTCACAAGTTAACACATACGAAAAAGTGAGAAGGATTTACATTTTTCGAATGCCTCCACTTTTTGATCTCCTTCAGACGGATGGACGATGAATGAACGAATTATTCTCATACGCCCGAGGTTGTGAGCATTTGCGTAGAACGATAAAAACCACACGAGTGGAAGTGTCTAATGCACGGGAGACAATGTCACGGATCCACACCGGCGAGAGTAAGATGCAAAATTCCACTCATCACCCGCTGTAGCCAAACATGCAGAAACATGGTTTTAAACCCATGACCAGAAACCGCAAGTTTTTTTTAAATTACACCACAAAAATTGTGGATCTTACTGCTCTCTGGAATCAACCAATTTCAAGAGCAGAATGTAGAATCACAAATTCGTGAGGAGGTCCACTTATGAAAATTATCATTACGTGGCGTGGTCTCATTGCGCGAGAAAGGGCCGAGTTGGGAGCAGGAGGAGCAGTGTCGTACTTTTTGGTGGGCAGGAAAAGGAAGCAAAATTCCTGAAAAGCGGAACCAACGGAGCGAAGCAGGCTGCACTGACTGACAACGCTCTCCTCCACTGCACCGTTTCAAATGGAGACCGAGGAGCGTCTAAAACCAACTGATTGTGTTCCGCGATTGTGATGCCATTCGATGCAAAGTTGTTGAGCTCTTTTGCAGAAGAGGAGCAACAGCAGCACATTTGTGTATAAGCACAGACAGCCACACGCTCATGGTTTCACGAGTGCAGCGTGTAATGTATGCAGCACGGAGGGTTCTTCTGATACGCGACGCTTTGCGAGATCCGCTCTTTCGAAACCCACACTGCACGAGCTAACCAAAGGGTTATGACCGTGCAGCATCAACATTGGAGTCGTGGTTTATTATTCAGCACTAACCAGCGAGCATGCCAAACTAGTCAGTGGGAAGAAGATGGGCCAACGCAACAACGGCACGAAGGGAAAACCAACACCATGCAATTTATACGAGACTCAGCCACACAGAAGAAGTTCATGCATCCTGAATTCGTCTGACCACGACACATTTTCCTCTGGAAATGATATTCCTGAAGCTTTACATCTAAATCCTCGTGGGAATTAAGCGGCTTGCCTCATAAATAGTTTTAAGTATGCATTGCCCTTCTTCTTAAAATTGGTGTTCATCAAAGAAGTTTATGACCTTTGAAGCACTATCTGTTTCGTGGAGAGGGCATCCAATTCGTGGAACTGGTAATCCGATAATAATGCTCTGTCCGTCCAACGCATTCTCCTTCTCGCGAAGTGAACACTAAATGTTTCGTCGAGTGAGTGGTGTGAATTCGGCAATCTCGGATTCGTCACTTTTGTCGCCAAGAAATTCCATCCGACCAAGTGAGCGTCGTGATCTATGCCAAATGACTCCTCGTCTCGAATTGCATCATTTACACTTGTTTGTACAGCTTAATTTGGTTCATTGTGAGACATTTATGTTGCGAATGGAGCAGATCCGTACTCAGACAAATTTGATTATTCAATCATTCATCCCGGTCTGATCGGATCGTCTCGAATCTTATTTTTTTGTAGCAAGTGGGGCAAAGAACAACGAAGATTTGAGAAAACTGTGAGTAGTCAGAGAGTAAAATTATTACTCGAGTCGCACATGATAATGATGCGCAATCAAGCATTTGCTCCACACACACAAACTTTAACTTTAAAAACCCATTAGCTGTTTCTGGACTGTCACCAAATTAAACATTGAGTCAGACCCACTATTTTCCACTTATACATAGATGGGCAGACAAGTCACACAAAACTTTCACGAAGCAAAATGTACATTCAATTTGAGTTTATCAACTTTACGTATGTGCAATTTCAGTGCTCTTTGTAGAGGAAATCTTGCAACTTGATCTCGAGTCGGCAATCCAATTACGGAGAAAGGGAGTTTCCTTCCGTCTCCACTTTGCAGGGTCGAAGGAGCTGGAACTCCATATATTACCCTGCTGATGACACTTTCCGAATTTCAGGGCAATTGCTCCAGTTTGGAGTCCCATTTCTCGTCCCATGCCGTGATATGTACATATGCAGACTCAGTCGGAAACCAGCTTCAATACTATTGAGCAACTCCACTGATCAAAATAAAGTGAGCCGCACTTCTTCTTTACGGCGACTCGTGCTTTCCCACACCAAATGCCAACGTCGTTATCTCTTTAACGACTTGCGAAGAAGGAGAAGTTGACTTATTTCCTAATTTTAGACGATGGCCGGATAGGATTTGGGAAGAGAAAGCAGCCAAATTGCAGTCCAAGTGGTTTGAACTAGTAAGAAGTGCTCTGCCAGAGTCCCGGTTTGTGAAATCTGCTCCTCGGATATGGATTCCTTGGAGGACTTTGGTCTGCTGCTGCTGTCGTGATCCTGCTCCAGACTGAAGATGAGAGCCTTAACTACAGAGAGGGACGATGTGCCCGTGTGTGCTTGGCACACTTTCTCCTCCATTTTTTCTCCACAAAAGATCGAGGTCTTATATAAGTATACATATTTTATTAAGCCGCTCTTCCGTCCCACAACATTGGCTTGGGCTAAATACTGTCAGCGTCAGATGGAATTTACATTTGCCCTTTTGCTGGAAACCTGAATCGCTTCAGGGTTTTAAACGAGGTTGAAATGTCTCGACCTGTTTTTTTATAATGTGCATGCCTCGTTTGGAGAGTAGACTACGTATAATATGCGATTGCCCATTTCACTCTGAGGATGGTGGAACGGAAAAAGGCACTCTTGTCGGAACATCTTCATTGTCGCTTTTCACAGAAGGAAGGATGGAAGGAAGTCGGAATTTGAATGAATTCTGAACCTCTAAAATTTATCTAGCACCGTTGAGACTCCACCGTAGAGAAAAATACGAGGACATTTGTCCTTGTGGAACAAGTGAATTGAGAAGGCAAACGCCTACTCTTTCTGTTCCTTGGGCATCATGCACATGATTCTAAAATTTGTGATCTTTGTCAGGAGAGAGTTGTTCTTCTCTGCAATTGCGACAGCCTCAACGATATTCTATTTCCCGATGGATAAACAAAATCGCAAAAAATCAGCCACATATGTGCCAACACTTTATCAGTTGAGAAGTAAATATATTTACTTATAGCTCTCTGCTTCCGTAGTCGTTGGAGCATAAACTTTGTAGATTGGAGGACACAATTTTGAGTGGAATATCGAGGAATGGGAAGGAGGAGAAAGTTTCTGGCTGCGGAGGAAATAAAAATAATCCAGAGTCCTATGGCGCAACTTGGAGTCAAGTCTACAAGAAAATAAATGCGGTTCCGGTTGTCTCCTCGAGCAATGTTTCCTGCCTGCCAGTCCTCCCTTTATATTCATTCCCTTTCCCTTCGTCCCTACAAAACTCCACGAATAAATAGCACAAGGCTAGATCACATCATCACCGGGTGGCACACAACAAGAGCAAGTTTTTAGCCAACGGATGGATTGATGATACATATTCTAGTCTATTGGGTCAATAGACGTTTGAAATTCGGGGTTCAGAAAGATTAATTTTTTTGGAAATTGTTTTTAACGCCATGAAGAGTCTCATGAAGAGACGTTGTGGGAGTGTGAGCGGGGGCGAAAGTATTTCTGGATGGAGAAAGGAAGGGAGAGAGTTTGGTGGTGGGCTCTCTTGGTGGCAGTGGCGACTCCTTTCACTCCGCTCCTCCGAGAATGCTCCGGAATCGGGGAAAACAGCCAAAACCAAGAAACGGGCCCATCCGTGGCTCAGTGGAGAGCTTTCCTCCAACAAGTTCATGCTCATCCTGAGGAGCAAGCGAGGAGCTAAGCCAAGATTTTAAACTAATCTCAACAACTCTTTTATTGTAGGCTTTTTTGTGGCGATGTGCTGGCAGCTAAAGTTTTGTACCGTCACTTTCCATCACAAGTAAATAAAACCTCGAGGAAAGTGGTCAATATTTTCTGAAAAAAATTTATTTTTCTTTCCAGCGGATCTGATTTTATATATTTATTATGTCTTAAAGTTGGCAAATACGCGTTTTGTTGATGAAAATGATCATGCAAGCATGAATTCGCATTATTTCCGATTCCATAGCTCGTGAAAAATGGAGACGACGCGCACTTATTCCATAAACCGAAATACCGTTTTCCATCCCCATCATACAAACATATATGTAAGTGTATTATAAATGGTTATTAAGCTAATTTCCTGAGTTGGGGTCCACCAACATTGTTGTACTACACTCGAATTTGGTGACGTGTAAAAAATGGAGCAAAGGAATCTCCGCATTTCCATGCTGATTTTGGCTGATGGGAACAATATGATCCGTCATAAAGTTTTTTTTTCCTCTTCCACTTCCGCAGTTTCCATTTCCTCCACGAATTTATTCTTTTCATCGCGAGTTGCGCTTACACTGCTTCCCGGCCATCAACGCCGTTGTTGTGTGGACTGTGGACATGCTTCGTGATACCATCGTCGTCGTGCTCCTGTGCTGGGCTAAAGGGTTGGACAATGCAGAGCACAATGTGATGCCAGGAATTTATTTTGTTGACTTTTGGCAACGGCATGCTGTTGAAGTGCATTTACTACACGCGACGACGACTGTGGGCAGGCAACAGGGGATAAATATTTCCCTTTGTGTGCGACAAAAGTAGTTTTATACCAACAAACAGAATATGCAAAAGCGGAGGAAATGCTTTCACCCGTATCGGACCCATAAAACCAGAGAGAGAAGTAAATAAATATACAACTCGGGAGCGGAGCAGAGACTATTGTTTGTTCAGATGAGATTAATAAGTGTCAAAACACAGCCTGTTCCTGGATCTTCTCCGCCAAGAGGAGCCAACTCGATAATGACACTCGACATATTTGGCCTATCCCACTGTTCCCACATATGTAGTAATGAACCTCCTTGCAATATTTCCAGCTTAGCGTTCCACAAGGAGAGTGAGAATTTGATCGAGTGGAAACACTCAACCAACCCAAAAAAGGCGATATTTCCCTTGGGGAAAGGTTAAGACGATTTATTGCCCCTGCCGTGCCTCTCCTCCTTCTCGTCTCACCCCGACATCTGGACAATATTTCCAACTTCGATCTGCGGTTCTGGAGACGGCTTCCAGACTTTGCTGACCTATAAGATTAACAATTCATACGTTACTCGTAGGTATATGCCACCCTCGATCTCCAATGCACTGCACTGCTCCCACTCATGAAGAGGCATTTAATTAATGGTCCAAGTTCTGGAAGTTGAGGCATATCCTGAATTGTTAATAAATCTGCCCAACCCGCACAAGAAAAAGTTGTCTTGCTGGTCCATATAGCCTTGTCCGAGTACTCTGAAGCTGAATATCACACCTGTGTGTGCTCTTGCAATATGTACGTAGTCTTCTGCACTAATAATACTACTTTGTGCGTCCCTTTATGGGAGTCGTCATACCAGGGTTTCCACTTTCACACGACGTGCTTTAATGTGGATATGTGTGGCGCACTCCCGTTTGGGCTGTCTCAGACTTTTTCCATTTGATTTTGACAATATTAGGGCTAGGTTGTTCCTCTCAGAAAATGGATTTGTAGTCCTGGAACACCCTCAAGTTTAAATTGATGCATCGAATGCGAGATCTCTGATAAATTATCACAAGTTGATTCTCGCGACGCGAGGGATGCTGTTCTGACCGACAAAGGCCAAGAGAGGAGGAAAGTTGGCAGATTTCGCCATAAAACGCGTGTCACGGAGGTGCTGTTGTGCAATGATAAATGCAATGTTGTGCCCCATCCAACTGCATGGCGAATGCGCTACGTATCCATGTTTAACAGGCCGTCGTAGCCACTCAGAATTTATAATTTCCTCCGTTAAGTATGCAAATGGGTCGGGAAGTCGCCCAACACGGCTTTTATACGACACGACCGAGGGCAACTCCATTCATGCTCATAAAGCAGAGTCGTAAACCCCCGACTATTTTTAAACATTGACGCAAGTCACGACGCATCAGGTAAGCAAAGAGGAAAGAACAACATGCTGAGAAATGGCAAAAAGCTCGAAAAGATTTGAAACGATTATCGCTTTTATAGTGATGACGATATCTGGAAATGTGGACTTAAGTACGTATAGCTTCCGCTCTTTTTTCGCAATATCGAGGCATTAAATTTGATAAAGACTAACTGCTGCATTTTTCATACAACTTTTCGAATTGTTTTAGACGGTACGGGAGGGTGCATAAAAATTAATGGGTTAATACAACGACATATTTGGAGCAGTTTCCGCCTAGGAGACCGTAGACATGTTTGTGTCGTTTGCAGTGAGTGTGGCTGAATGAATGGAATAACACTTCAAATCGCGACAATGGCATAATTCCCGTCAAAATTTGCATTTCTTTCCATGTGTCATTTCTTTGGACTTTTCCTCGACTGTCGCTTCTACTGAACCTGAAAATGTTTCCCTTTTCGCAACGAATGTCTTCATTCCGTTGAACAGAAATGTTCCTCAACTTCACATCTGCATGTGAAGCTTGGAGATCATCAGTTTTAATGGTGATGCATTTTACAAGCAAACTTTATCATTGGAATCTCATCTCATCCCATCAAAAAGTCAACATGTCAACTTAACTGCGGAATTATTTGTACTTATTTTTCAGCAATAATGTAAAGAAGTCAATGCAAGCAAACCCATATTTTCACAATTGCCATTTCAACTTTCACCACGCTATTCTGGGCCTTATCGTGCATGCGGAATAATTTGGTTCTCGTACGGACGAGGAGGGTTTATTTGTGGTGAGATCGATCCTGCATCGACTTTTCTATCAAGTGAGAGAAGAGCCCATTAAGAGATATGTATGATGGTCTCATTGGCTTGTCATGCTCACACTCGTTCTCATAATAAAGACCTCATTTCATTGCACCAACTTCCTCCTTCGCAGTCCTTACTTCCGCCCAAGAAGGAGCAAAGGTGAGTATCGACTGACTCTGAGGTTGGTAGCCATCATATATCGGGATGGAATAATTCTCCTGCCAGACAGAAATGATG